ATTAAATAGAAATACTTAGGTAAATGAGTACCGAGATTCATTTTACCACTGTGTGTGTATATTCAGTGTCATTGTTTAAGTGTGTACCACTTTTTCGAGCTCACTTTATGTTAAAGGACAAAAGGCGGGGCAGCTTTTGTGCAGCCGCTGTTAACGTTTTAAACAAGCCTTCCCTTCACTCTTGCCAAGCTCATTGAAATTGTTGTTTTTCTAGAAGAAGTTCTGCTGGACTTCATAAACAACAAACACATGCTGCCACATATAATACAAAAACATGATTAATAACCACAGGCCTGATGGGAATCATGATGTGACTCAGGCATGTCTGTATGAATGGATGCTGTCATTCCTCTCCGTCTCTCTTTCAGACTATTCATCAGTCTCGTTGTTTCATGCAAAAGTACTGGGGTGAGAACGGAATGTTCTGTTAGGGTTAGGACATCGCAATACACTGACATTATGTGTTCTGATGTTGACACTCCTGTGAGGGAAATAGCATCACTATATATTATTGGTATTCAAGGCAGGGGCGGACTGGGACTACAAATCAGCCCGGGACTCTCGACCGGCCCACTTCGGTACCGCCGGCCCACCTCGGTACCACAAGTAAATACCGCTAGTAAATTGTCGACGGGGGGGGGTGCTAGTGACTTATCCGACCGGCCCACATCGTCTGACCGGCCCACTTCAGTACCGGCCCATCGGGATTCGTCCCGAACGTCCCGATGGCCAGTCCGCCCCTGATTCAAGGCCCCGAGCCCTAACTTAACCACCGACCAACAATCTCAGTGATTAAAACAGGGGTGTCCGAAAATGTTTCACTGAGGGCCACATAAGGAAAAATATACGAGGGGATGGGCCACTCACTGGTGAGGTACATTTCCTCATAAATTAAGTTATAAGTAAGCAAAATCCATCAAATGTAGGTCGATTTTGATTGATATTTGAATATGCTTTCCATAAATAGGCTTTCATTTATTTTTGTTTGAAAAAGTGTTGGCAGCTTTAATTGACAGAATTTATTTGAAAATTGGGCTTATTAAAACATTATTCTGTGTAATATATGTTTACATTTATATTTAAGAAGTACAATATGAGACAAGTTCAGTTTCATGTGTGGGCCATACTCAATTATACTTTTAGGATTTGCTGCGGGCAAATCCACGGGCCGCAGTTGGCCCCCGGGCCATAGTTTGGCACCCCTGGATTAGGGCATAATGAATTGCTGAAAAATAATGCTTTAATCTAAGAAGATCATAAAAAAACAAGCTACATTGTCTATAAAAAACTGTTTAGGAAAAAAGTGTCTATAACTACTGGAAAAGTTATTAAATGTAAGCCATAATTCATGTATAGTTTTAAATAAACCTTCAAGGCAATACATTTTTATCAGTTTCATTTAGGTACAGCTATTTCTCTTTTTTATGTAATAACAAATGTTTGACTTGAGGGGAGAGATGGAAATAAACACTTTTATGATCTGGTAATGAGAGGAAATAAAAGTTAATGAAAGAGCTGAAAAGTGGTGGTCGGGGTTCGTTCTTTAAAAAGGTATGTTTTAGAAAGCCTACTCGATTTCTGAGAGTCCTTTAACTCAGAGGTTTGGGGGGAAAGGCTAAAGTTAGGCTGCATGCCCTAAAGTCTGATGATTGAATAAATGTTGTCAAAAAGTAAATGTATAATTGCATCTGATTTTTCAATCCCAAGTTTATAGCCACTGATTTGCTAATAAATCGCAGGGGATTTGAATATAAACATCTGTTTCTGGAGCTTTTTGGATGAACTAAAATGACTCCCTGTCAAGATAATTCAAATTCAACAAAGAGGATAATTGCTCTGTCTATTTTTCTCTGGCTGACGACAGCGTTCAGAGTAATCTTTTTCTGAGCACTGACAATTTGTCTTTCTAAATGCACATTACTGTGGTCAAACTCACTGGGATGCATTACAGATGATGACCGGGAATGCTGACCAACCAACTACATTGTGGATACCTTCAAACAGGCTTAAATCTCTCCTCTGTTCCTTTGTGTTTATTACGCATCATGTTGTTTCCTGTTACTAATAATCCAATCAGTCCCAGTTGTTCTGGCCCATAGACACATGCTCCTAGCACAAAATCAAGCTCCGAAACGAAGCGATGAGAGAAAAGACACAGTGTGTGAGAACGTGTCCTTCCAAACTTCTAATGACATTATTCTTAATCACTGAGAGAAAGTCTCCCTAAACAAACCCTTCCAGTATGCACAACCACTGAAACCGCATCCTGGTGTTTCTCAACAGAACGTTAACCTGGTGACAGCGCATGTAATGCCTCACAGCGATGCTCGTACCCCAGTGTTGTGTTGTGTAATTCCTAAAGCCAGCGGTATCATCCATCAGTGAGCGCAGCATGAATTAGTGGGAAGAGAGGTGAGGCGGGGTGAAAAAGGAGAGACAAAGAGAGTGAGAGGGGAGGAATAACCTTTCTGTTGGGTAATATCTCCACGGCTTGAAGGCACCTTATGTAAACTGCTGGGTGTAATCTGGAAAACAGCAAAAAGGAAAGGTCAATGATGTATCTTCGTGCAGAGGAGGGACTGTGAAGCTCCTCAGAGGGGAACTACAGATGTAGATACACACGAGCATAAATGCAAAAGTCTGGAGATGAGAGACATGGCTCTGCAACACGGTGATTCATCAAAATTAAGCAGATGTAAACCTATACACAGTGTAACCCTAACACCCAATCTATCAGAAAGCTGCCTGTTGTCTCCGCTCTCCCACAGTTTAAATCTCTGCGCTGAATAATGGAATATTACTCCAGCATACACCTCCAGTAAATCATCATATACACACACTGCCTGCTGTATCATTCATTCCTGTTCAGTCCACTCTCAGTGATTTAAAGCGATTGCTTTAGCAGCGCAGGGCTTCACCCACACACATTCACAGCAAGTAAATCCGTCAGACGCATTTATCGTACAGAGCTTGATGCTGTGTGTGGGATTTCTAACGCATTGGGCATTTCAAATGGTGTTGATTAAAGAATGATATGAGTTTGTAATTTGAATTCCGTGCGATAAGTTTTGCCCCAAAAACAATAAAAAATACATATTTTCCTACTAGAGATGTCTGCCTTCTATCCGATATAATGGAACATGATGGCCAAAAAATACATTTGATAATCAGCAGTCATGTTTCTTTCCAGAAATCATGACACCAAGTATATTATAATGACTACGAAGAATTCTGCAGTATTTTTTATTAGATATTGCTTTTTAGTGGGGTCAATTTTTAAGGGCTCTGCATAACAGCTGTTATGGTAATTAGATGCTATGGTAATACCACTTTCTTGAATATAGCGTAGAGAAAATACATGTTAATGAAGTTGTTTTTCTTTATATTCTTTATATTACACTAGTAGCTCTTTGACGGCAGCGTTCCTGCATCAGGACATCACACTTTAGCTGAGAAGGTGAAGGCAAAGGCCTCATCAAAAGATCAAACTGCTTCCCGTGGACCCACCAGGGATGTGCTCCACTGTCCCCACAGGTCAGAGAACAGGTGACCCTTCACTCCAATAACCAGCAGCAGATGAGCCGGCGCAGGAAGACACGGCAGGAGTCCAGGAAGTGGCTCGGGTAGGAACATGTTTGGAGAGAGTGTTCTTTTAGGCAGGAGGGGGGTCTCTGGTTTATTTTTGGGGCCTTGGCGACATCCCTGCTGTTTTCCTGTTTTCTTTCCTTTAGTAGGTCTCAGGTTAGCGGGGACAGATAAAACAGGGGAAAGGAGACATTCCAGAGGAGCACACATTTATTTTTTCACACCGCAAAAGATTCAAATGGAAGCGCATTCATCTGATGGACTTCTAAAAAAGCCAAAACACTAGCTCGACAATAAACAAGTCGTTTTTTTTCCAAAGGGGAAAGCAATGGGTCAGCATTCACTCAGTTAAATGTCCAGTTTGAAAGGACTAATATGTAGATGTGGTGGGAAAATCCAAGAGACAACTACACAAATGATAATGATATTTGAAGCCAGTAGGTGGCAATCTTGTGAGCAACCCTCACCAAGCACCTGTGTCCCACTGAATGGAGGGTTACAGATTACAGGCTCTGGATCATTTCAGAGGGCTCTAATGATGCCGTCACAGCAGATACACTTGACTGTAAACAAAAATGCATTATCACAATGCAGAGCAGTGTCAAATGTATCAGAAATATATCATAAAACAGAACAAAAACAAAAAGATCTTATATGGTTCACCACTGTGGAGAGGATTGGAACAATGATTGTGCATCTCTGAAGGAGCTGCTCTGATTCATGTCTGCTAACCATCACAATATCAAGCTGCTATGATGCTTTAAAGTACCCCTTACCACTAAGCATGACATGCAAACCCAAGCTGAATGTCCGTGCCTTCCTCTGGCATCAGTGGGACATTACATTCATATTGCTGATTTTATCAAAGTCCTCACCATTGTTGTTTGCCTTCGGTCTATGTCTTTCATTTCCCCCCTCAGTCACTGCAATGATCCAAAATGATTATTGTTGCGCTGAGGAGGAAATTAATAAATCCCCGAGGAGGAAATAAGAGCTCCAGACAGTGTTGGTTCAGTGAAATACATGCATGCACATAAATGTACTTGTTATAGCATGTATCACGTAAAGTGTATCCTTGTAAAAGTGTATGCAAAAAGCAAATTTGGAATAAGGAATAAAAGGAAAATGTTTCATGCATTTGGATAACTGTAGTACTCTCGTTTTGTAAACTAAAGCCTTATGATAGACTCTTGACTAACAAACAACTTAACATCCATGTGCAGGTGATTGGTGAAACACAATATCTGCTTTTCTTCAGAACAACAAAGATTGTACAGGGGACTTTTGTACTGAGCACGTCTGAATATTAAACTCTGCCAACATTTATAATGTCAACAAACAACTGATCGCATCAGTTGAGCAATACTTTTAGGCACTGACTGAGCGAGCGCTGCTGTTGACAGATGCTGAGAGGAGCAGGGCTGTGATTGGTCCGTCGCGGTGGGTGTTTCCGCATTCCGCGCAGAGCTGTCGGCAGAAGTCGGAGCGAGGACCGTCGCGTGAAGAAAGCCTCCTCCAGTGATTCCCAGAGGAATAGCGGTCCATCGCCCGGAAGCAGACATGCCTTACATGTTCATCAGTACGCAGATCAGACTGGTGTGTATCTCGCATCTGTAAAATGACTCGTGTCGTTATTTTATATGTGTTTATTTTGCAGAGAAATGTAGCGCTAATCAATCAGGGTGTATATAGTTATGCAGTCGTCTGTTCCGTTCTGCAAACAACAAACAGTCAAGGCTACAAGCTGAGCATGCACAGTGCATATGGTTGTGTTATTTTCTGCCATGGTGCACTAAATGAAAAACACATGTTGCCCAGGGTTCGGCCTCTTGTTGCGCATGTTCATGTTGTTGTCTGCAAGACTCGAGCAGCCTAATTCTAAATCCTCTGAGAATCTGATGATCTATTTTTAGTCCGTCCATTTATTAGAGATTATGATCTGCACCTGCCAGAGGGCTGCAGGTGCACCAAGAGCTGCACAAACAACTGATATTGTTTTAGCAAAGCAAAATGTTTCTCAATCTGCACAGTTAATGTTGTTGAATTCTTCTTACAGGAGACTGGTCCAACTAACGTGGGGGATGAATATTCGGATCCAGCTCTCATGAACTACCTGGGAGCAAGGAAAACGACCATGCTGGGAAACAATTTGTGAGTATTGAAAATAGGACATTTTAATGGGTTGACACGATGTAAAAATGGCAGGTAACTAGTACATTGGGTCAAATCTGAAGATAGAAAGTAAGCAAGGAGATTTGCAGGCATTGTTTGTCTTACAAAAGCACCAAAAGGGTGGAGAATTTCTATTTCGATTCTATGACAATATCTCCACTAACATCCCACAAACAGGAAATAGAGAACTCTAATGGAACTCCCAGGGATACTGTGAATGTACTCACACTGGGCCATATTTCCATATTTAGGCACTTAACACTCATTTTGGCAGTTAACGGGTACATATTGGCGACAGAGCTGAGATCAGGTCACATGAAGGAGAAAAAAAAACTCCCAATGTGGTTGAGGAAGGCTGCTGCTTTGCAGATTTAGAGTAAACCATTCAAGCTGATGGAATACAGATCAGGGAAATGTTGTCATTGGCAATCTGATTCAAATTCTGCTGGGAAATGAACCAAGGTGTGGAAGGAAGTGAACAAGCACCAGAACAATTAACACGGTTCTACTTTCCAAGCAAAGTTTACTAAAAGACAGAGAAATCCCACATCTGTGAAAAGTAGAATGACTTTGTGTTTATGCTCATTTAGTGCCGAGTACCAGGTGGACGACCCGCCTCGCCTGGTGTTGGACAAACTGGAGAAGATGGGGTTCCGCGTGCAGGCCATGACGGGGGTGGGACAGACGCTGGTGTGGTGCCTGCTCAAGGAGACGGAGTGATCGGTCATGGTGCGAGGGTTGGCTGTATCATAATGCCTCCAGAAGAACAAATGTGAAGAACTTATTTTTTTAAACGTTGGCTCTACATTGAACACAACGACAGCTCAAAATCTGCCTTATCTCAGGCGTAAGGTTTCAGATTACCTTAAAGAGGTGAACAATTTCCGGGTAAAACTAAACTACATTCCAGACCTTTTGCCTATTGTTTGCTGTTTACTACTGGTGATCAAATGGGATTGTTAGGGAGTGAGGGCCAGTTTAAGTGTTTGCTAAATCATATGGCAGTAAAACTTAATAAAGCATGTCTCTAATTTCTGCCTGTACAAAAGACCTCACCCAGTTCTCCCCGTTTTCTGTCCAATAAATTAAACCCTACTCCAGATAGAGAGGATTATACTTGCAGCACTGTGTAAAGATGTTTTTGTAAGTTTATCATATGCTTATGATTAAAATGATGCATATTGATTGTAAACTTATGAATAAAAGAAAACAATCCTGTTGCAAAGGATACATGCCTCTGACGATAATTTAGACATGAGATAAAAAAGTGACGCTCTCGTTGTGAGCTATCGACACCTTACAGGGATGCTTCATGCCCAAAGATGAGGCACTAGCTCTGCAGCGAAACACACAGTGTGGGTTATTCAGCTAGTGGGAGCCAGATATCGCTGGGTGGTTTCAGTACAGCCTCCAGGTCTGATGGCATATGTCTGGGGCCAGCCCGGATCACTAACCCGCAAACCAGAAACTCTGCCAGCCAAACTCTTAACAGTCCTGCTGCCTCACACATGACTTAGCTTCAACTTCCGCACTGAAGATCAAAAATGTGCTGGTGCTTCCCAGTTGTGTGACGGCGGAGAATCCAGATGCTGTGTGCAGATGCCGGCGTGACAGCCTCGACAATATGAGGGAAAACGGGGCAGAAGGAGATGCTGTGAAGATTCCCAGGCTGTGCTGTAATTGTTGATAGGACGGAGCACACACCAGGCTCATCCTCCCATCCTGCTTTGCATGCAGCACAAGCCACTGTGGGCTCAGGGCAGGGTTGGTGGTGAATGTGTTTCCTGTAATTGTATTTCCTCTGTTGTCATTTGGACAGAGTTTGTGTGTTTCTGGGATTTTTTTTCATATTGCCTAGATTTGAAAAAGGCCACGCATAAACAAAACCATGTGATGAGGGGATTTTGCAGGAGGAGAGGAGCAGATGTCTCCGACCACACCGCTCCACAGCTGGACATTGTGTAACACAGCCATGGCGAGGCAGAACAGGAGTGGTGGAGAGATGAATAGCTGGGTTGGATCGGTGCAAGAAAAGCTGCCATATGGAGCTCCCCTAAATAACACAATGACAAGAGAAAGCGCAGCCACACAGGCCCAACAAATACAGACACTGCATTACAACATAGTCCCCCGAGGGACAGGAAAATAAGACGATTTGGATGGATAGTTGTTCCACAGGCAGAAGACCGAAACTGGGGGTGACCGCAACAGTTTGGCACTGAAACGTCTGACTCAATGTGGGTCACAGAGCGGTAGAGTGTCACTGCGGAGAGAATAAATAAGCAATATAGAGTATCTTCTGGGTATCGGTTACATAAGCCTATTATGAAACAGCGTATAAATTAATAACTTAACTTAGAGAAAATATCATAGGAAAGGAACAGTTTTTGAAGCAAGAGGCATGTTTTCAATTCAATCTGGTAATTGGACTTGTACGAAGTGAAGACACCAAGGTCAAAAAAAGTTTTGACCTTACATTTTCCTGCAATAATATGCATGATGGAAAAATGGATGCTCATGTTCTGCTTATGATTCCTGTAGCAGTTATCACACGGTAGAATTTCAGAGATCATTCCAGGATTCATAACGAAAGCTTTGGCTCTTTGCTGAGTTAGATGAGAAGATCGATACTACTCTCATGGTTGTCCTTTCGATTTGAATCCTGAGCCACATGTGGTTGTGTGGGGGGGGGTTATGTGCCAGACAATTGCTTGGCCGCGAGCAGTGACTTCTCTGGTAGTTGCCTTTCAACCTCACGGTGACAAGACTCCAGAAAAACCACCTTTCCCTGCCAAGAAAGAGTTCAGCACCTAACCCCGTGTCAAATGTGTTGTTTTGATTGTGTGGTTTTGGGACAGATTAAACAAACTAAACTTATTTTCTTTCTGACTGTCAAACGGACCTGAGCGAGCTGTCTGGTGGGAGGCGTGTGGTGCAGTGGGTTGTGCGTTGGTGTTCGGATCAGGGGGTCAAACCCCACTGCAGTCAGCATGTCGTTGTGTCCCTGGGCAAGACACTTCACCCCAAATTGCTCCTGTGGGGATTGCCCACAGTATTGAGTATGTAAGTCGCTTTGGATAAAAGCATCTAACAAGTGACATGTAATGTAATGTTTCTCCATGCTTGCAGGTTTTTAAGTTCAACTTAATGTCTTCTAGTAGTGTGTTAAGCTTCATTGGAATGTATTACTTTTATGACTAGAAAGAATATCCCCACAATCTTTAGAAAAACAAATATGAGTATGTGGAGGTTTAATGGAATACATTTAGATGAAACATCTGTTCATCTCAGTTTATTGCAGCAAAGTCAACAGACTAGATTTTGTAACCATCTGAAACAGATGGAACCGCAAACGCAATACATGCTGCAGGCTTGTACTCTTTATTTTGAACAAAAAGTCAAATTTACAATTAAAATATATACACGCAATAGTGTGCAGTACTGAGTCCTCCCTGCAGCCTGAGTATTATGATCCTACCTCTGGGTCACCACTGCAGCAGCTCTCACTTCTTCTCTACTCTGTCTCTCTGTCATCCTACGTTCTTATTAAAGGAAAAAAACATGACACGTCGATTAGAACCACAGATTTTAAAATGTTTCTTTTTAGTCATTAAAAATATTTATTTTTTAACATAGTGTATTGCATACAAAAAACAATAACAAACCAATTAAAAGGCTTTATGAAACTAAAGCCTAAAACAGGTATTGATGGATTTGTTGCAGGCTGGTACCGAGCTGTGCCGTGACTAGGCTTCCTCATCGTCTTCCTTCTGCATTTGTTCTATGAGCTTCTGTCGCTCAGCCGCCTGTCTCATCTTCATCATCACCACGCTCTCATAGTCGCGCTCATTTGACAGTTGACCCTGTAGAAGGGAGACAGAGGGAGGGGGGGGGTTATTATACCATGGAAAATGTAATAAAGACCATATTTCATCTGAAAGAACACATTATAGTCAAAATTGGATTCATTTCTGTCTGTGAATTCAGACACAATGAGGCTGTGATGTAACAATTGTAGCCTAAGCATTCATGGTTTTATAGGATAAATATTGATTTGTTGTCTCGGAGCCAAAGCCGAGAAAACCCAGAAGACATGACATCAACTGTGTTCACAGGGTGTGTAGAACTGCCCACGTGTAAATTGATCTACGAGTGTACACTTTGCGCAGTAGCCCTTTAATCAATATTTAAACAACATTTCCACTGATGCATTTCACTGGAAGGGAATCAGAGAAAAGTGAAACATGCCTGTATTTTATATCATGACAACATCGACTCGGGGCAGCACACGAATGACACCACTGTCACCGTCTGCTGTCTGTTTGCTTTCACGACAGGGTCTGTGGGCGCCCGGCGGAGGAGAGGCCGGCTCGATGGATGCTCTCATCTCTGTAACCATCGCCATGACGGCAGGGTGAACATGTATGAGACAGCAGCCCGCAGAGCCACTGTGACAGGGTAATTCCGCTGCCTGAGGTCATTAAACCCCAAAATGAGGGCTTGGATTAAGCCTGGCAGTCGCCCGGCCTCTTACTGTGTTTGTGTGATTTCTTTGAAGGGCCTGAGTTTGGCCGACGATGGCGACGGATTATCTTACTGTGGGGGGGGGGGGGAATCGGAGAGGGCAGCCACTGGCTAATGGCTAATCAAGCAGGGTGGAACACCAGACGTCTTACACACAAACACACAGGTCACGATCTATGCGGTAACACATCCAGAAACAAGACAGATGGACTCTTTTTTAAATATTATGATGCATAAAAAACACAAACATACACACTCACAGAGGCCATCGTTCCTATTTTTAAAGTGGAGGGAGGCCATGTATCCACAGAGTAGGCCATTGTTTTGTAGGATTATATCCATGAAGTCTGCACGGCCAAGGAAGTGTCTCTATAACAAGACAGTGGGCTGCAGCAGAGAGAGAGAGTGAGTGTGTGCATGAAGGACTGAAGGAGCGATTTGAGCAGGAGAGGTAGGTTCCTGTCAGTGCGCTAGCCGAGCATCTGGAAAACATCACGGGGACTCCAGCATCTATGTGCTGAGAGAAAGAGGGTAAGTATGGAGGAAGAAGAGAGGAGAGGGTCGGTGAGGGGAAGTTACCACCCCCCCCCCCCCCCACTCCACCCCTGGATTGAGGAAAGCTGCGATTATCATTCCAGTAATGTGAGCTCAAGCCCTTGTCTGACACGTAACTCTGAAATATCACGCGAGCACCATTAGGTAAATAAACAAGTCTTGCATCTTCCAATTAAACAAAACACAAGCAAATATACATGCAAGCCGCTGAGCTCTTTTTCAGGAGCTCCACTCTGCCCTGCCCTCTAGTGGCCGCTACGCTGAAGTGCAGGGGGAGAAATGTCACGATTGGTCACTGACCTACTCTCTTCCCGATGTGGTCAAGGGCGGACTGTACCACGCTAATGACTTAGGGGGAATTCTGAGCATTAGCAGGTGCTTTATGGGCAGCGTGACGCATTTCTTCTCAGGATGAGGGCCGTTTCCTTGCCTGAGGTGTTGTTAGCTTATGTACATGTTTAGCCAGTGCATCACCCTGTAACTAAACACTTGGTTGTGTACGTATATGTGTGTGCGTGTGTGTTGCAGTAACACTGGGGCCCAGGGTGAGGAGGAAACCGCAGAACACAAACAATGGGGGCCCCCTTACAAAGCCAAGAGAGCGGGGCACAAGGCCACCGCAGAGGTAGGATAGTAGTAAAACACACACACGCACACAAACAAGCTGAGGATTAGCTGTGTGACATCAGCGCATGGCCAGGCCTCCAACCAGCACACCCCAGCCTGACCCCGGGCCAGAAATGACATCATGAATACCACCAGTGCTGTGAGTCAGGCAGTGTAACACACACACACACACACACACACACACACTCTCACACTCCTTCCCACACACAGCAGGAGGCATCTCTCAGCACAGGTGGCCACTGTGTTCCCCCGGCACGAGTTGTCAGATCAGCTGCACATTACACCATTCCTCAATGTGTGTTTGGGTGAGATGTGTGTGAGAGTGGAAGCGTGTGAGCACGAGTCAATGTGTACTTGAGGAAACAAGTGTGTGTGAATGCCCTAGAGAAGGGACGAGTGTGGACTAGGGTGGATGTAAGATATCGCTATCAGTACAAAAAAGAAAAAGTTTTTCTGTCAACTCTTACTAGCATGAGAAGAAGTTTCTGACTCTAAAAGTAGTTTTTTTACGGACAAACGTATATATATGAACACAAATTTAAGATCCAGTATGAGGAGTTTAAAGGCCAGGCATAAGGGAAAGAATGAAAGGAGAAAGATTAATTTTTTTTTTTTTTAGACTTCCAGGCGAGGTAAAGAAGGATTTATTTCTTTATATACGAAAAAGACTCATTTGGAGAATAAGGTAGAAATATCAATAATCTATCTATTACGTGCATCAACTAAAACGTTTACTTTCACCAAAATACAAAACACAAATTGTGTATATGATGTTTTCCTTCTTAAAAATGTCCCTTATGCATTTCCCAACTAAAACATCAGGACAAAGATCTCCGAAATCAGGGTTAAGATCTTGTGGCTGTTCTGCATATTCTTCACATAATTTACATTCTCATCAAAACCATCCCCTCGTGCCCTACATCCATTATGTTTCTTCACTCATTTATTCTGGTTAGGTATTTAATTTGTTGCATACACAAAGATCTCGACAGCTGACATCACTTTCCTGTTACTGTGCTATTGATGCACCTAAACGGGAGACCACACAACTTCACTGCCACACGGAAAGAGTTGACATGCAATAAGCGCAATTTTGTTTTCTTCACAATCAGATAGTATAAAGCTCATGAATATTTTGTAATGCATTGTCAGTAAACAGTGCGTCAACCCCAAGCATTATAAATGATTGTAAATGTAAATGAACACTAAGAAAAAAACAGAGACTATATAAACATGCTTGTGCAGCTACTTGATACACAATTTAAGCCACCAACGTAATAAACTGGACATTAAAAGCTTTGTGAAAATGTAATTTAAATATACTTCTTGGAGGATTGTATTGCTCCAGCCACTGAAATTACACTGTAGTAACTTTTAAACATTATACTGTCCCTTAACTTTGTAGCCTGAGAGGTTACCAATTTGTGTTAGATGACTGGATTACTCATTAACACCACTAACTATCAGACATCTCAAAGCCAAGAACTTCACAGACTTTGCTGCCAAGGGAAGAAATGGCTTCGTCTTCACAACCCCGCTCTGTGGTGCCGGCTAACATGCCTGCCTCTAATGCACTCTGGTGAAGTTAATCAAGGAGCTATTTATCTGAAGCGTGTGTGGTGGCGTGGTGTGTGTGTGTGTGTGTGTCACGGACCTATGGAGTAGGTGATTTATGAGAGGCGAACACTTATTTAGAAATCATTTGTGTGTGTGTCTTTGTGTGGGAGTGTGTGAGTGTGTGTGTGTGTGTGTGTGTGGGGGGGGGGGGGGGTGGTGGCCCGAGCACTCCTGCTAACTCAAACAAACAGTCGGGTACTGCACATGCAACGCTGGAGCCAAGGTGAAATTCCTCCGCAGACAAAACTGAAGCTTTGTAAATGGTGGAGGATTAATCATCGTTCATTATAAGACTCGCAGACATAAAACCCTGAAGGTCTGGTCTATTATAATGTTTTTGTTAGTGAAGGACAAACACTACACAGAGATTAAGACCCAAATGTACTTCCTGTATTTAACCCTTTGGATGCACATGTAGTTCAAACATCTGTTTTTTGAACGGAATTCCCAGGCAAGCCCTCCTTTCCTTTGATCATTGACTCTGACAATTAATGTGTATGTAAACTGTAAAGATTTACAAGGTATTTACTGTGTAAAGTTGTGCTGCAATATAAAAAGCGACAATGCATATTTCCTTATTTTCTCTGAGACTAAATCAAAAATAACGGCAGTGGATAAAACATTTTTTTAAAAAGATTTTAGATTAGAGGCACTACAGTTCCTGGATGAACTGCTGTACAGGAAGTGATAGCTGCGTGTGGACTGTAGATAGCCAATAACACTCAAAAGTTATTCAAGGGAGAAAAACGTCAATGGATTTGAAGTGCGATGGAAGTGTGTGAGCGTCTGTGTGTGTGCGTGTAGGCATGTGGTTGTAGGTGGTCACGGTATTAAGACAGAATAGAACCCTGTTGGACGGGGAGGGAGAGAGCCTTTTGGAAGCTGTTAAAGTTAAAGAAATAAACAGCGAAAAGAGAAATGGCAGCGAAGGCCTGAACTCCCGGTGCCCTGGCATTGCTCTTTATGATGGATGAGCTCAGGGATCCTAGAATAGGGAGATGTGGGGGTTTGGCCTCTTTAATATCCAACAATACATCGTTGTAAAAGCAAAATGATGTCTTTCACATCCTGGCCTTCCGGGAAAAGCCCTCTGATTGCAACAGACTTCTCAAAAGTGGCCACAGGACTGGTAAGAATGCAGTCTGAACCTTGGAGATGTCAAGGGAGGAAAAAAATAAAATGAAATCAAGGTTCCAAACATAACATTTAAAATGTCTGTGCACGGGTCCTTATCTATATTATGTCGTGTTACGTGCAGAACAAACCAGCGGTGGAATGTATCCTGCTGTGTAACTGTTTACATCATACCTCCAGTCTTCAAAGTAATGTAAATATCTCAATCATGATTTTATAATTACTAATGATTCTGTGCCAGGAGACACAGCAGTACTTTCCCAGCCTTCACTGACAGAATAAGTATGTAATGAGCTATGCATATGTACATTACTTTTTTTTTGCTCAATCATGAAAAACACTAAATAGAAAGCTTTATACATTGTATACGTTCAAACCCATAAATAAAGATCAACAAAAGTACGGAATTTCTGTATTGAATATCACCAAATTACCATTTTATAACATTTCTTTGAGGGAGAATACTAAGTCCACAAGAATTCCCGTAAAAATCATATTTCTCTGACGGAAAAACAGATGCTGCATTTCCTGCTTTATGTCCAATTTAACACGAAGTCCTGAACACATTTGCAAATAGTTAAAAATGTGGGATGGTGCTAGAAAGAAAAAACAGGCACCGCAACGTATTTATGTCTAAAACCTACATGTAAATAATTAAGTTACTTTGTGTTTTTGTGGTATTTGGCATCAATATACATTACCTTCCCAGAAATGTATGTATCTCCTTTAATCATCCAGATGTGTCATCATGTTGGTTCCTCACTTGATTAGAGGCTACTGTAAGCTTTGTCATGTGATAATGAGTCTGCACTTGATATTCAAAAAGATAACACCTGGACTTTGACTGATGTCAGATCTTTGTCATGTGGCAAATGAGAAGCAGTACTTCCTCTAAGCAGCCAGACTGCCAGACCTTTGTTGGAGCACATTCAAAAGTGATCATACCAGAGTCATATCTTTGGAGACAAACAGTGACGACAATGGTTGGGATGATGACGCATGCTTTCACCAGAATGGATTAAAGGACATGACGAAGAGTAGCTACTGGGAACTGATTTGGAGACAGATGGTTTCGTGGACGACCCAAGATTGAGCAATGAATGGACCGTCTAGACTCATTCTTGACATACCCATTCATAGATGTACTACAATCAAATTGTATCGCAAGTATAGTTTGTCCGATGTTTGCAGTCATTTGGATAATGTTTTTCATATAAAACAATTTGACAGTTCTTGTAAATCTCGTCTAGATGCTGCTGGCAGTCTGAGGGCCTCGATACAGCGGAAGCTGAAGAACACACAACAAAGAGCCAGAAGAATATCCACCAAAGCCTCAGTTTGGGTTTCTAGCGCCAGTCAAAGCAATATCTGGAAGCACTTTTTATCCTGCAACAACAACAAAATATGCAGCATCCCAGATTTCAGGCCCAGCATAGCTGCATCCAACCACACTGCCCGCTATGGTCAGGCCTTAGAAAAGAGGCTTATACAGAAGTCCAGCTAAGGCTTAACGTACCAGCCCTGAAACTACATAGCATGCAAACATAACTGCAGCGTGAGGCCGACCTTGGTCAGTCAGAAGGTCTTATAAGGCCATCCCAGCACTACAGATAACCTGAGCTCTTCACCCTGATTGTCTTCCAGCATTAAAGCAGCTTTGTGATTATAGGTGGAGAAAGTATGGGGTTTCTCAGAAGAAAGATGTTTTTAAAATGTTCCGTTTCGATCTTGAGTAAATGTTATGATAATTTAATTTGCGTAAGTAATTGTGTCGGCTCTTACACACTGGTCTGGCGCTGGAGTGCAGGGCGGGAGAAGAGATGATCACACGGCCTGCCTATTGTTTATTGGATCCATTTGAAAGGAAAGGAGGAGTAGTGAAAGATATGATTTGTCCATTTCCTTAACATCCTGCATGTTTAAGTCTAATGAATAAGGATAAATGGATCCACAGCCGTGTCCTCCTTTCGGTTGGAACACTATGTTCTGTCGAAGTTGGTTGGGAACCCAGAGCATGACTGTGTCTAAGTTTGAATATATTCTCCTTATAAACACTGGGACTCGAGTTGAAGAATATAATATTTTTTTTTTTTTTAACTTTCCAAACCATTATGCAACCAAAATGGCATGAACATAAGTAACAATTACTCCTCGTGAGAGCACAACAAAGGGCTTTAACCCTGCCATTTTTAACACAAATAAATTCCAAAGAGCAGGGAAAAAGGTTTGCTGTTCTGACACAATTTCCATTCCTTTGTTGCTACAGCATTCATAAAGGCAAAGGCAACATGCCGGGGGCGTGAGAATTGGAAATGCAACAAGTTATCTCTCCTGTGCAACCCAGCGTGCCTGTACATACATGTCTGTGTGTCATAGTGTGCTTTGATTACACAGAGAAACTAAAGGCCTCCAGTCAGGCAGAAGGGCCTGTGGAGCGGGCTTTAGACACGCCAGCAGCAGGCAGGAAATCAGCAAACCAGCAGCGCTCAGGGACAATGACATGGAGATTAGAGATCAGTTAACCCCCTCCACTGGGTGGCTGACCCGTTTGTTCACTGACGATGACTTCCCTTTTAGACACAAGCACTCAATCTATGAACCACACGCAAACTGTCGTACACTCAGTAACCCATTCCAACTTGACTTCAAGCTCTCCGTTTTCTGTTTCTCCCACCACTGTCCCACAGGTAATGGGTGCAGCCAATCTGACCGCAGGAATTACTTTAACACTTATGACTAAAAAGCCAGCTCACTCCGCAATTAGGATGATATCATCTGACGGCTGGCAACCATTCTAAAGCGGGACGACTACAACGTAAACTAAAAGCCTTGAGGGGAAAAAAGGAAGGAAAGCCTTTACCTGGACGGACCGCTTAGCGCTCTTGTACTCTGACCTCACCTGGCTAATCTCTCAGGCAAAGAATACTTTTACCGGCAACACACCTGAATCACTCTTCAATGCGAGAGGGAGTTTACACTGGAGAGGATTAGCTAAAATAAGAAAGGGATCAAATGTCCAAGGGCTGAAAAAACGTGCTTACTAGACAAAGGTAAGAGACACTCTTTAGGCATTTAAATGCTACAGTTTATTGTAAAAGTTGACTGTGATTATGTGACTGAGGAGAAGTCACTCAGTCTGTTGTTGTGTGTCTAGGCTGCTCAGTGAGATCTTCTGTAACCGTTGAACAAGCCCCATCATGTCGAGGATCATTTCGTCAGGGTGTGCAGGTAGACGCTGCCCATTTTCCTGACAGAGACGTGTGTGCATTTGTTGGATTCAAATATCTTGTATTTGCTCAGCAAGACAGGTAAGAACACATTCATCTTTATCCTATTGTTTTCTAGACAAACTGCATTAAAGGAATAATCTGGAATTAGTGTTAACCCGTAGTTAAAGTTTACATTAGACAGATTTGTTGTCCGCTTCAGAGATTTATGGCAGCATTGAGGAAGTTTTTTTTTTTAATCGTTTCTTGGCCAATCTGTTTTAATGGGGCTTCTTTAATTTTTTACTTGATCATGAAGTGTTTCCCGAACAAGATTCTCATGGCTGAAATCCTAACACTCCTCCTTGGCCAAACTGACATGTTTGGAAAGGAATGCTGTTGTGTCCACGCTCTCCAATCTCCCGCTGCTACTAAAGTGCCGATAAAACCTTTACAGGCCAACAAAACCTGTTTGCTGTAGTGGCTTACAAACGTACAGAGTGAGTGTTTCAAGTCACGAACGCAGATCTAATGTGGGCCGAGCTGTTTGGGAGACCGTAAAATCACAGACACTGGGCAGATTATCTAATCGACATGCCAGCGTTGATGAACCGAGTTCTGTTTTACTCAATAAAATTATTATAGGTCACGGAACGCAGAATTATGTTGTTGTTTTTAGGACAAAATAAGACTTTAATTTTAAGTGTTATTGTATTGGTTAAATGTGACCATGAATGTTTCCTTTTAAGTTTTGATGGTGGATATAAACATTTTTATAATAACGCCAAACTACATTACAGAACTTAGTTTGAACTGTGTTGCCTACAGTGTTGTTTATGTAATAAAAATATCTAATTGTATTCACTTCCACATCCAGAGTCTATCTCTCACACTACAGCAAAATAAAACAACTGAACTACAGCTATTTGTATTTTTTTTTACAAAATCAGAAACATATGTTCAAATGTGATTTTGTGTTATCGTGATTTCTGTCAGAAGTTACGGTAAACCTCATGTTCTTCCAAAAACGAAATGTGAAGAAATATGATTCACTTTAACATGCAGGATAACAACAACCGTTTGGGAACATGCATTTGTGTTGCTTTTGTTACGGGAAGTGATAAGAAGGCTAATAGACTTCCTTAAGAGAATAGGCTGCAGACCACACCTGCATTCACGGGAAGAAACAGGGATCTGAAAAGTAAATATTTAGAAATGGAAGCTTCAAAGCATTGTTCGAACAACTCTGTACTGCCAAATAATATCAAGTATATTAAATGAAAATCAAGTGGAGCAGGTGCAATCTCTTAACAATTGCTCCCGATTCACATCAAGCCGACTGAATCAGTCCAAAACGTACAACTGGTGCTACAATTACAAGCACAAGCACAGACATGCGCCATATTTTCGCATGATGTGAAGGAGGCCTGAGCGATCAAAAACGGATCTATACGTGTCAGTGTTTTTTTTATATCAAGAATGGCTGTCATGCATGAAAAACATTTAATTGTACAATTGGGTTTATATGTTTTTTACTTGTTATCCTTACTAAGAAGTGCAATCAAGTTATTAACTTGGTGAATTATAATTTCTCTTCTCTTGTGTTTTGATGCAGATGGAATTATGAGCTTCATCACTTCCTAAGGAATCCTTGTCGAACAAAGAAGGATAAAGGATTTAAAGACTGAGGATATATAAAAAAAGGATAGATAAACATTTAGGTTTCTCTCACAGTATCTGCCAAGATGCCCCTCAGAACATCGTTGCACAGAAAGCCAGCCTCCGGTCGTTGGCCCAACAGGAACACCAAGCGCAGGGAGGTGCTGTCTGTCAACATGATCAGCCTCCCACTGGCTGATTTCCGCCACCTCTCACATATTGGCAACGATTCCCACACAGACAGCTTTGGAGATCTGTCGTTCTTAAAGATGGGCCACAATCTGCTTTTACAGAGCTCCCAGAGCGAGCAGAATCTTTTCCTGGCCTGCTCTCCCCCGCCAAAGCCCCCTCGTGTGAACCTGGAGGAGGCCGAGGGCTCCGAGAGCCCCGACTGGCATGTAGGCCGCCTGCACATGTCCCAGAAAAAAAAGATATGCAACTCTATGCCGCTGCTGGACAATGAGGAAGCAGAGATGGAAAAGGAGGATGGGTACAAAAGAGGGAATAATGTTGCTCCCAACCTGGCTCACAGCGGTGGACGGGGCAGTCTGAATTCAGACAGAGATGAAGACTCCACAGAGACTTTTGACAAAACTGTTGGACCGCAGCATAAGGAGGAGGACAGTGGCTTTTCTTTCAGCCTCGACCTGGGCCCTTCAATCCTGGATGATGTCCTCCAGGTGATGGACAAACTCCACAAATAGACAGCATAGGAGCCAGGCCGTCAGCAAGGCTTTACTAAGGTTTGGAATATGGAGAAAATATCCAATTCGGCAACCTTCTATTGGGATATGATCCGGATTTTATGGACAAAACAATACCCTAAAGCAGTTCTTGTTGAAATAAATCTGGAGATTTCTGATAATACCTGGGAACCAAGTAAAGACCCAATCCTTTCGGGAGAACTTGACTCACCCTGCTTTAATGGATGTAAACTACTATTTTAAACCAAAACTGATTTACAGGATGAAAATGCTGATTTATTTTTGACTATTTCAGGAAAACATTTTTGCTTTTTGAATATGAGCACCATTGTGTCTGCACACATTGGTCCACAACATTTGTTAAACATTAAACCTTAAAAAAAATGTAAAAGGGGAAACCTAGAAATGACAAGAACCCATAGGTAATGTTCTCCTAGAGTTACCCCTTGGAGAGGTGGATACAATGTTTTAGTTAATAATTGAACTCTGACGGATGTCAAACTCCGAGCTGGACATTTTCACCTCTTCTTACTTTGCTCCTTTGCTTATGTAATCCCTCAAACCACAAAGCAGAGCACTGACGACGGCTGTTAAGACTTAAGAGTGTTGTGTTTAAGAAAAGAAAAGCTGCGGCTGGAATCCAAGGTCCTCGAGCTGTGATGTCTTGGCTCTTGGCGTGCTTGCCAATCTATTGTGTGCAGAGGGCAATTTTTCCTCCGCACGCATCCCAGAGGCCCCACTCATAGGTAGACCAAGGTACCCCCCATCTCTCATTCCCAACAATGCAGTGAAAACAAACACTTAGCTCTGCTTCCAATAAAAGCCAGCCAGTGGTGGCAGGTTGGGCTGCAGACCAAGTTGGGCCACAGGTCCAAGACCTTAGATGAAAAAAAAAAAGTTGGAGTAGGCTGTTTTCTTAGCTGCAAATCAGAGTCCGATGCTCTGGTGAGTGGCGCACGAGAAGGAAAGTGGTAAAGGGTAACGTGATACTTCCACATATGCAGGGGGTGTCAAGGGAGGAGGACCAGAGACATCCATTACTGCAGCAAAAGTCCTGATGAGGGTTTAAACACTACCTTCTGACAAAACAGACCCCCGTCACGTGAAGAACGCACGCTTGAATCTCACATACGTTGGCACACAAGTATAGAGAAACACACATGTACTTCATGTAAGCACGCATGGTCAAACTGAGATTTGTGCAGACAATCTAGGTCCACTTTGCTAAGGCCTGGAGAGCTGGGACAGAGCCTCAGTCTGTGCCTTTGTGGGGGGTTGCCAGGAAAGCCTGTGGGGCAAACCCAGAACCCGTCGCATTCCTGAGTTCCCAACGGGGCATTCTGCAAAATATACCAACCACAAGTGTCCCGCTTCGAGCAATAGATTTAGAATTCTATGTATGTCCAAACAGAAACAGCAACGTCTGCACTGTATATCTGTTTTGCCATCTCCCATTTTAAAGTGGATATCACTGTTCATTTTTCTTTTATATGATTTGACAGTAACGCATTGTGAACGTTTTTTTTTTCTGGATTGAATGTACTGTTTTGTATTTTTGAGAAGTAAAGAAAAATATCTTTCGAATTCCAAGATTGGTGGTTTTGTGGGATAGAGCTGCTCGTGTCAACATTTTAACAGAGCTCGTATATGAGATTGTTTACACACCCTGATGGACAGACATTTATTTGGCTTTTCATCTGTCAGAAGTCACTGAGCAGGCAATTAGCCTTGCCTAACAGTTTCTCCAGATAGCCTTGGATTATCCAACAAAGCATGCAGCACAACATTATTTCAAGGTGGAGACACACAAGCCCAAATTACACAGGCATGTCGAGCAGGATTTCATGTAGACTCAAATACTGTGTTACAGTGAACTGGACTTTAAAGCAACTGTCTGAGGCACACCTGCATCATAAAGAGGTGACATTAAATAGCTAACCAGGGTGTGTCTATTGTTTGTCAGACTTTTCTTTACAGGCTACCTTTTCCAGATAAGCAGGGGAAAGAGAATTTCAGTTCCCAAGACTTTATATTGGACAGTGTCTGGCTGATATCATGAAAGACGATCAAAGTCTCATTGATTTGAAAGAGGCAGAAGAATTGTGAAATGTCAAGATCGCCACATATTGTGAAACTAAGTAGGGGTTAAAAACGTCAACATAAAAGAAAACATAATATCAAAGCATATTGGTATTCAATGCACAACAACCATTCTTGATATTCAAAAAAACATTTTAAAAGTTTTTTGAAAATCCCAAAATTCTTTACAAATTCAAATCTCGTTTTGGCTTGGCTGAAAAGGCCTTGGCTGCCATGACGACACAAGCTCTCAGTTCTAAGAATCACATAAACTTAAGCTCAACAAGTGTTTAGCCACATGACTGATGCGAGAAGAAAGAGCCTGTAATTGAGGACAAATGATCTTGTCTGCACAGCACATACTGGCCGAGCTGTGAAGTATCCCAATCACATCTGGAACCACTTCTCTCCCTGCAGAAATCTCAACGTGCCGTCATACAGAATACTGAGATATCTTGTCATCTCACTAAATAGAAGCTCTTATGAGTTGTTTATTTTGTCAGGTACAAACTAAAAAACTTTAAATATTGTTTTGGCATATAAGATGGTGTCCGTATACTGTTATTACAGCTCCTACTCGACCTGATGCTACTGAAATGTACTCAATGGTTTCACACACACAACGGGGGATTTTGTGAAACTGATATTGTTTATTCCGCCTGTATGTCGGAACATACAAGCTATAGACGGTAACGGCGATAAACAACAGCTATCCCCTCTCATGATAATAATAATAATAGATTTATTTTGTTAGCGCTTTTACAGGTGCTCAAAGACACTTTACAGATATAGTGAAAAGAAAAGAACAAATAAATATATATAGTTAAAGTCAAATTAAAATCAAGCAATACAAAAACAATCACACATTAAAAGCCAGATTGAAGAGGGGAGTTTTTGTAAATTATGATACGTATAATTAACTGAGTGTACCATAATTATTCATTTGTGACCAAACCATAATCAAACAATTCATTCTGCGTCTAATGAGAAAACATATCTGTGTATTTTAGGCTTCCCTAAACCAGTGTATATTTTCTGTAAACTGTGTGGTCTTGTGTTCCTTGAGGGTTTTGGTACATATCCCCAACCTTGAATATAATGTCTTGTTTCTCTCGACTCACACCTCCTCCCACTCCCCACGGGCTCCATTGGCACGTCCACTCTCTACCAGCCATCAGCCTCGCCACATTGGGTGCCAGTGCCTTCTCCCAAGATGCATTTAAACCTTTGGAACTCACTACACTGGACTCCATTACAGAAGTAAAAACTGCTCTTATAACCCATTTTTTTTATAGCTTACTCACTTAACTGCATCTTATTTTTTACTGCAACATTAATTTAAACTCTTTGCTGAGCTATGCTCTGTTGCTTATTGTATTGTAAGTTACTTTTGATTTCATCAATGTTTAATAACTAATCTAAACCATCCGATCCAGTCAAATATGATAAATATTAATATCAGGTACTAAACAATTATAGTTATAATGATATTTGTTCCTTCTAGTAAATCCTAAAGTCCCTTATCTCTACTCAGAGAGCGGGTCAGGCCACGGTGGACTGTGCCACATGCAGAGCATCTCTTCCAGACTCAGGGGCTATTTTAGGTGAGAGTGCACTTTTCAAGCACGAGCAAACCAGCGGGTTGGAAAAACAATCCGAGAATAGCAGATCTGCTGCATCTGGTTTCTGTCGTGACAAGCCCGCGATGGCTCTCCAGCTCTAGATGGAAGAAGCAGGCGTAGGAAGCTCAAATTCAAAGGCTTTACGATAGATTCATGTTAAATAATATGGTACGCTAAACTGTGCTATGAACCATGAATCAAGACACAGTGATTTATGATGGTATTATATCTCCGGAGACACGAGCATTAAGTCTGGCAGAGAAAGAAAATAGTTAGATAGGGATTCTATAGCCGAGAAAGTCACGAAGGTTAGATATGAATCATAAGTCACATTCTCGCATGTGAAATCACAGTTTGATGTGTCAGCTTTCTTTAAACGCTACATTTAAATGTACAGTATGTAAGGCATGCACTCTTTCTGTAAGCCCACGGGCCACAATTATTCACCACTTTAAACAACGGTTTATTATCTTTATTTGAGTCAGGCAACGTGACTCATTCAGAATTCACTGAGATTTGCAACTGTTTAATTCAATGCTAATATAGCTACTGAGAATTTCCCAAGCACTTCTTTCATATTCATGGCCAGTTCCCAATCTCTTACTAAATTATATCAAAGGGTGAAGACACAACAACATCCATTCCCAAGAGAGGGGTCTGAATTGAGTCAGGAATAGGGGAGCACATGGTTCGGAAGATGCGCCCCTTCCTTATTTTTGCACTTTTTAATATCCATGGTGAGTTAAACAGTTCATTTGGGTGTCCCGTGAAAGCAGTGAAAATCAAAAACACATCATGGTATAGTTAGTATTATTCAAGGTCTCAGGACTATTCAAGGGGAATTGTGCACCCTCTCCATTAGGCCCTTCACATTGGCCCCAAATTCATTCAGCAGAGCTGGAACTGAAGCTGAGGCTGAAGTCATACGTCTGTGTCTCCGAGCTCCCTGCAGTGAGACCCTGACTCTCTGACTGATGTGTTTGGATTGATGAGGTTAAAGAAGCACTGGTCCTCACCGAGGCTGCTGCTCTGTGAGTGCAGCTGGCTGGTGTGGGGTTGCAATGCAAGAGTACAGGACAGCAGAGGAATCAGATTTTTAGATTTCAGATAGTCGTGGGAGAAGGACCTCCAAGGCTTTGGCTTCTTATTACGTCTATCTCTTTTTCTCAAATGCCCCCCCATGTCCACTGACCCCGAGCCAGATGTGGAACAACATTACTAATATCTACACTGGTTCACCCAATATGTCAGGTGGGGCCTCTTTAGCGAGAACTTTTCTCGCTGATGGCTAATGTGAAAATTACCCGGTCATAGTAATGTTTTTATTCCAGTGTGCAGGACAAAAAAAGAAAGATGAAGCAATCCGTTTTGGATATATGTAACGCAAAACGGGTTACCATAATAACATTTAAAGAGATTAGTGTGACAAGTCCCAGTGTGCAGGCTGAGCCTCACATGCTAGCCTTGACAAGGGGGTCCGACACAGAGTGGAGAGGTGAAGCCCAGTTCAGCAGCAGCTCTGCAGATAGAGAGAGTCTACTGATCCAAAATCCCTCACAGGTAAGGATCACAACATGAAAGAAGTGAAATGGACACAGTGGGTTTGAAAAAAGACATTACTTCATACTAATGTAATGTCAAGTTAAAAAAGGACAAAAAAAAACCTTTGTAGTTTCTCCGTGGATATGGCTCAAATGAGATTATCCTTGGACAGGAAAAGAGTTAGTGTACCTTTGGTGTGTGCATGCGAGCTGTAGCGAAAGACAACATTTTAGGCGTGCAAAATCAAATTTCAAAAAGTCGAGATTGTAGCACGAACTACTACATGATTTCCAAGTCACGAGAGGCAACACATCAGAGGGAAAATGTATTAAGAGTTTCTGAATAAAGCATCTGGGGTTTGTGCAGTAAACCTTTGGCCTGCAGAAAGTAAATCCTTCAAATAAAAAAATAAAACACATTACACCTAAAATAATAAATATTGTATTATCAACAGCAATACAGGCTCACTTGGCACCCATGCAGACATCCAGTCAGTCTGACGTGCCATGCTACCATTATTTCACTCTGCTTCTCTTGGGTTGCCATGTGACTCTGCATTCCTGGGGTCTCCCAGGTTAGGTGTGTTAATGAGTGGCCGGCCGGGGGCTTCGGGCCAGTGCAGGGCCAGCGCCTCACCCACTCCAAAGCAAATAAACGGAGACCCATTCAACAAATCACATTGTTTTACACCAGACTAGGGGAGTGCAGGCACTGGGGTAATATTTCCAATCGCCGATACAAAAGTAAAACCTCAGAAGGTTTACATACTTTGTCTTCCTGGGACAGTGTTTAGGCAATAGCATTTGTGTTGGAAGCCGTGTACATTGGAAGATTTTGTAACATAGGGCGGACGTGCTTGATGAGGGAGGGAGGAAAAACAGTGCATTTTTGGGTTCTATATATCGGTACCTGTGAAGACATGAACAGGCCAGGTTGAGATGCTGGAGCAATAACCTGGGGCTGTCCCTCGAGCCACGAAATCTTCAAGGGGTTTTCACTCAGGCCACTTTCATTCTTAGCTGCCAGCTCCTAAAAACACAGAGTAGTCAGTGAGTGCATCTTCGGATTGTTTCTGTACAACTATTTTATTCTCCTTGTTCTGAAAGCTGTTAAATGTGTCTATCTTACACCTGGGTATTATATAAATCCGAGGAACACATGTAGACACAGACAAAGGTGTATTGTAACTGCGAGTCTGAGACATGAAGATGGACAGACGGAGACCGCAGAACCTGTGCCCAGATCCCTGTAGACTGGCAGACATGTTCTCTGTAGGAAACCACATGTTGTGGGGAGGAAACCACAACAAAAAAGTACACCATCATGACAAAGGGCCTTAGGATCCAGACAGTGTGGAGAACAATGAAGCGGCTCAAGTTCTTCCGTCCTGTGGTTCCCATCAGCAGAGGTTTCTATGCTACAGAATGACTAAAACATTAAGTTGAGGTTGCAGACACTGTCCTGAGGCTGGGGAGTCTTTGACAGGTGTCTTATTTAGTCATATTCAAACTCAGTAGGTGACTCGAGAGGGACAAGTGAGTAGTAAACAAATGTGGCTCTATGCAAATGTCTGCTTAGGGGAAGATTTCCATTATTGAACAAACAGAATGAGGACAATGTCCCAGGAGGGGTTAGGTACTTACAGCTGCTCGCACAGTCGCAAATTCAACCACAGCGCTTCCTTTCTTCTTACTCGATACAATCACATTCGACACGTCCCCATACTAGAGGTTAGAAATGGGAGAATAAAAGAAGAGGTCAAACGGAGGAAGAGGAGATGCAAAACATTCAAATCGGTATTTCCTTTCACGGCTAAACCCCAAACTCTGAAAACACAAAGCATATGCAGACTGAAAATATAACAGACTTCTGGAATAAATGTTAGGATTCAATATGTGTGTGGTTGTTAGAACTGATCTCTAATGATAGGTTTTGCATGTTTGGGGCCGAGCCAGTAATACTCTACAGAACATCGTGTACAAAGTGAGACGTCTGCCACTTCTCAAAAGAGACAAAAGGCTATATTGGATCATTTTAACTACTCCTTATGCAACGACTGTATTTGATAAACAATGTTTTTGGCATGAAGTTAGATGTGGCTCTCATCCAGTTTTATGCTACAAATCAGAACAGGGAGGAAAGGCAGGTCAAAAAGATGAGCGGGGCAAAGAGCATCTCAGACATTCCATGATATTTGTCTGAGAGATATGGAGAGAGGAGGAGGACGGATATAAATGTCTTAGCAGGGAGACAAAAGCCTGATCTCGACTGAAAAATGCTATAAGCAGAGCAGCACCATTTTTTTATTCCTCAGGATTGTATCACTCAGGGTTCATACACTTTTTCACCAATGATTTTCAATGACTTCTCCATGACCTTTACCTAATTTTCCATGACCAAAAAAATTACTCTTTCTCAGCGGTACCACTGAAAATGGTTTATTTGAACATGGAACAGGAAAATAAGGTCTGCATATGAAACATGTTGTGCCTATCTAAAACAAATCAAATAGTAGGCTTACTAGCTTGTACACGCTAAAGCAACTAAAATCTCTCACCAGCAAAATACCTTGTCAGTTAAATGCCATTTTACGTTTCATTACTATACGATACAGTATTTATTATCATTATAGTATTACTATTTCGGCGATTAGATAAAATATAAATTATATTTTATGCAACTTTAGTTACATTTCCATGACTTTACCAAAACTTTGGGAAAAATATTGTTTTCCATCACTTTTCCAGAGCCTGGAATTAGCATTTTGAATTTCCAGGTTTTTAATGACCGTAAAAACCCTGATCACTTATAACCAACCTCTCCCAACCTAAAGCAGGGGCTTGGGAGCAGAGAGGAGGATGGCCTTGGAGAATCTCGTCCTGGAAAAATGAAGCTTTCTGGGAACAGGAAAGTCCAGGAATGCTAATGTCTACGAAAGACACTGGAGCAGGCCAACAGTGACAAAGGAGACTCTCAAAGGCCTCTGTTTCTTAGAATATTAATATCTTTAAATGTTTTTTTTCCCCCCGTTAAACTAAGAATTATTATTTGGAGCGGCCAAAATACACAAGTCCGGACACGTACGCATGCACAAGTACACACGTACCGTACTTTCCCACACAGTGGCGGCTATTTCTTGCCTGAAACATTAACTGTCAATCATTATAGCTTGCCATCCCAAACAAAACCTTTCCTAAAATGTATTCTCCTTTGCTTTTGAGAATTTAAAAAGAAACAACTTCCACAGTCTTTATTACGACACAGCCCTCCTGCCTGGAGCCGTATTGATGGGGTTCGTGCAGAGGAGAAATTCATACGCCCGTTTTCCAAACAGCTTTACGTCAGTGACACTTGCCCTATCCTCATTCCAGGCCAACCTATGCCCCCACTAAAAGGCCCTGTCATGAATCATGGCATAAGGTGGTACTGCGTTGCATGAGAAGAGCACATTTCCTAATTTATCCCTTGGCACTGCTTAATCACCTGGTAAGAGGGGCACAAGCGTGCATGGCTTTAAAAGGGCACTCCAACATTGCCCTCAGCACTTTCACTGCAACAAAACTTAATGGGCCTTGTTTAAGGGGAAGAATAAAACAATCTACAGCGGTGAGGTCATGCAGGCCTCAGATATGGCCGGACTCTGCAGGCGAGTTTGTTTCTCTGCTTGGATCAATTCAAGGATCAAATTCTATTATTTCTAAAAATCTATTTCATTTTGCATTGCGATTAAGAAATAAGTACTGAATTACTTCAAATAATATTATTTAATACTCCGATGGGAATATCTGTTTTTGGTTAATCCAGTAAAATAAATGGCTCACATTTTAAGTACTTCATCACATGCATGATGCAAAGTTCTTGTAAAACAGTCATGCTCATTAATTTACAACATTGCCTGCAAAGTACTAGTACAAATATATTAAAATGGGATTGTTACCTCAGTTGCCTCGAGATATATATTTCATTATATTACCTAGATTAAGTTTTAAGCTGGAAAATTGTGGAAGCACTAATTTGATTTTAAGAGGGTGTACCTTTTGTAGAAGTCTGAAAAGAATGTCTTGAGAGTAGCCTCCGTTCGTTTGGTCATCTTTTTTACACTTCCACTTCAGCTGCAATTAGAAAGAAGAAGAAGAAGAAGAAGAAGAAGTTAATCATCAGAACTTTGAAGAATTAAAGAGGTGCATGATAATGTGTAATCATTACAGCTCAATTGATTGGACTCAGCTGATGAAAAAGACAAAGTCTGCCAGGTAGGCTTGGCTGTGATGACACACCGATTACAATAACTAGGAGGACACACGCATTGTTAAACTCTTGGAACATCTCTCTGGCACCACCTGTGAGACCTGCAGTCAATTTCCATTCATACCGAGCATGCCGGACAGCTAAAATGGGGGAAATTAACACGCAAAGACTTGGACCAGAAAATACACGGTGACTCAGTTTCTTAACTATAGCGCCGCAGACTGAAGCACAACACCAGACACAATAATGGCTACGTAATCAAAAACAGCTTGCCCTACTGTAGGTACAAGGTTGTTGTATTTGAACTGTGGTTCACTTATTCGATTGTGCAACAATGTCTCTTAAGCTAAGTCTTGATTATATTTATATTGTGCTGTGTAAATGTTGATTTCGAAACTATGTTCTGCTACTCCAATGAACAGCCTTAACAAAAGACAATGAGATCATCCATCAAATTGTTTTATTAGTTTAGAGTCCTTTCACTTAACACTGAAATCAGTTCCCATACAGAGATATTGTGTAACGTCTCGTATAACGAGTGTAACTGCTTCAAATGGGATATAAATGGCAAGCACTAGGTGTTGATTCAGCTCCAGCATTCTGCTAACTGTCAGAGAAACATGATTTCTGGGAATGACCCTGTCTAAGTAGACTTTTTAACCAACAATTAGTCAGTCTCCAGAACCCACTGATAACCCATTTACTCATTGATCTTTGAATAAGATGTTTACGTTTGGGAATGATGGGATATCTGCGGTTTAAACTCCAACATAACACCAACTCATTACTTCAAATGTAAACAAATATACAGATAGGAGAGATTATAGTGAAACCAAATGGCTGTTTCTCAAATAACTATCATAGGGACAAATGTTTTTGGGGATTCGCTTTAAGTAATGAATGACAATCATTTGGTTGACCATCAATTGTCTAACAGAGTCAGATGTGTTTTTTTATCTATAAATCATGTTTAATCTTTAAGGATCAGTATTATATTGTATCAGATGTAATATTTGTTTTGCAAAAAAACATGCAGGCAAAACAGAAAATGTAAGACTTATTTTTAATCATCAACATAAGAAGAGCCAACATTCTCTGAGATATGTTTATGCAGTAATGTTCCCATGTTCTTGAATGTGACCCGTGATGTAGTCCCTCATACTGCTAATGTTTGTTTTTCTAACTGTATACACAATGTTGGGGAATACACTGCTGCACTAGATGGCTATCAAATTTGAAAACCAGATTTAATGTCTAAACACATTAGCTAACGTCCCCAGAGTGTCCGTTAATATGCCGGGCTAGGCAGTTTCCAGGAGGAAATATAATAAGCCCTCTCTTGGCATCGTTACAGGCCTCCGGACGACTTTAGGCCTACTCTGGAAGAATGGGCGTTAGAACAACGTGTGCGCTCAGTGCTAAGACAGCGTATGTGGTCTCCAAATAATGAATTACAAATGTCAATGGTTTTATCAAAATCAAATCAAATCAAATCAAGTTTTATTTATATAGCACATTTTTAAACGATTTTTGGTCGAGCCAAAGTGCTCTACATATAATAAAAATACCCTACAGTAAAGACACTTTACAGCAAATACAAACAGCACAGTTTGTTCAGAATATCAGAAATCAAAATCAAAATCCCCGCTGAGGTTCTGCCTGCGCTTTCACTCAGATGGAGCTGTTCCTCTTTTCCGTTTTAATATGTTAGTCTCCAAGAAGTGCAAACCTCGTCCTGACCTCTCTTCCCCGGACTTAAAGCCCATTGTTGAAAAACGTACCTTCAATTTGGGGGTCACATTGGTTTTGGAACATCTCACCACTCCTGAGACTGAAAAGAAAACATAAGGGTCAAAGGGATGAGACAGTTAAGTGAAAATACAAGGAAACAATTGTTTTGACTTAGATGTGGAAACTGGCTGTCCTATGGTAAATGTATGTCTCTTAGTGCAGTCTAATAATCCACTGAGTGCCTCTCGAGATGGTCCAGCCAGAGCGCTTATCCAGCGGAGGGCTGGGAGGCCTGCCTGCGTGCAAATAGAGGAGACTCAAAAGACGTGCCGACTATGCACGAGTAATTGTCCAGCCACAAAAAGAGCTCTACGTCTAGGGCCAAGAATCAGTAATTCCCTTAAATACCCACACTTCTATTCGTCTTATTTTACAAGCTTCTTACTTTTTTTTCATGTCTCACTGAGGCTTAAAGCAAAAACCAAGAGGCATAAAGTTGGATGGACAAACATTGTGTGTGCGTGATGTTTGGCATTCTTTTATCACAATGCTATATTGTCTTACTGCCAAAAAACATAGACATCTTGACAATGCGAAACATCCATTCAAATATATATATAGATTTTTATGTGTATAATATTTGGAGAACCACCGGGAAGCTGGTGACCGTTAAGGTTGGATTGAGAGTATTATGGTTCATTCAGGCTAGTCTTCACTGGATCAAACTAGATTCATCCAGGGGAAAAAACAGGACTGCACTGAACTGTTTTGGATTACCTGGACTGACTGGACTAGGTTAAATCTTGGAGGTACACATACTTGTGAAGCTTCCTGTCTGCTGTGTTTCTCTTTCTCTCTGGATCTGCTCTCTGATGAGCCTCTGTTCCTCCTCAAGCTGCCTGGATCCCTCCTCTCTCAAACGGGCTATCTGATAGAAACAGACACAAACCATACCATAATAAGAACAGACATACAGCTTTGGAGAGACAGTCAATTAGCTCTTTCATTAATCACTGATTTATAAGTTATCACCATAAATTGATTATATAAAAAGGTCACCACCTGTCCGTCTATCTCATTCTAAGACACCATTTCTGCTCATTTGAGATTTCCAGGACGGTGTGCAGACCTTATTTCTTCAGTTAAAGCAAAGACCTCTTGAGATAACACAGAAAATGGAACAGTGCCACCTACTGGTTACCTCTTCCCCCAACATGGCACGTGGCCACATATTTACATGCCTTAACACATTGAGCACACGCCATGACTCACCTAGGAGGCACGCACACCATTTTTATTTATTATTGGCTTCCCGAACAAAGTGTATCAAGTCATGCAATATCACCCAATGGGTTTACTGATAATTATGATATGGCAGCAAAAAAAAAAGCCTCTCTCAGATAAAGCCTTTGTTCCTGACCCAAGTCTTTGGAGGATATTAACTCAATCCGAAGGGAGTATTTGACGAAAAACAGAATAGAAAGCACCTGGGAGGAGTGCTTCAGAGTTTCCTGGATGAACTGGATACCTTTTTCACATTACAACGATAAGGACTGAAGTGTATTGATATTTGGTTCATCTCTCATATGGTTTCTCTTCATTCTCTTACCTCTTCTTCAAGTGTTCTAGTGTTAAAGGCCTCATCCTGAGTCTGAGCTTCTGCTTGTTGCTCTCTGGACTCCAAGTCTGTCAAAGCAAAATACAAACACACTCAAGTATCTTTTTACAACAAGCGAAGTAGACAAAACTGTGCAGCTTCTTGTTGAATTTCATCCTTGACATCCATGCAGCTTACCCAGCACTTTAAAATATAGTATCCCCTGTTAGAAAATAAGTAAATCATGAGCCTTGAGATGATGCAGGATATGGAAAGGGACTTACCGAGTTTTATTTTCTTCCTCTTATCATCTAGCTTCCTGTGTCTTTCTTCTGCTTGTTTCTTGGCAGCGCAGATCTTGTCATAGGCAGCCTGAAAACAGTGTTAGACACCAGGATGAAATCAAGTCTCTGTGTGAGTGTGAATAAGCATTGATGACGAGGTGAGAGGCATCCGCCGTATTACCTTGGCAGGAGCATCAGTTAGCACCTCGAGAGCCTGGGACAACTGGTGGAAGAGCTCCACTGGAAAAAAGTGGAAAAGTAAAAACATAAACATTCTGCTACTGGCAAAGGTTTTAGTATATTTTCACAGGAACCAAAGTTTCGAACATGGAATAAGCAAATATTTTTATTTAAATAAATTACACTAAGATATAACATTTGTTAATTAGATCATTTTGCACCTTAAACAAAAAGGGATAAAAAATAAGGTGATTTGACATAAAGAAAGTTGCTTATACCAAAGGAGGCTTAATGTGCTCAACATTGCATCATAAAGCTGAAGCTGGGACAAAGGCCTGAAAAAAAAGGAGACATTTTTGTCCTTTAAAAAAGGTGCCGTGTGTCTCACGAAACCAGTTTCCTCCGATGACACGGACGTGCATTCCCACACAAATCCTAGGCCTCTCCATCTATCTTCCATTAGAGCACCTCGAGGGGCCACTGCCGCAATCACCACTACCACGCAACACTCCACCTCCCCCAGTTGTCATCCAACACACACACACACACACACAGAGAGACCACAATCCCACTCTCCATCATACAACCGCCACACTGCTGCACTATACTGGCCGGGCTTAATCATTCTCTGATGGGAGGCCTAACGGGCCGATACTGTTACTCCCTCTGGGGAGCGGCAGTGCACACTAACATGAGGCTCTGGAGATCAGGCTGCCAGGAGAGGCGCTCAGGTTACCTACACGCATATAATGGCCTGGAAAGAAATCCAACTGGGGGAGACCTGCCATGCCCACTAGGCAGCTAGAGTGTCACAACATGGGGGGTTGAGGAAAGTGAAGAAATAGTGTGGGGTTGTCTGCAGTCTGAGGAATCATGACCCCTAAGTCACCTCTTACATGCATACAAGCTTCCCCCTGACGAGCAGCAAATCCAGAGTCTTGCCTCTTTTTCGTGCGATAGAGACAGAGTTTGTCCATGAGCGGGTTCAAGCGCTGAGGCCCTCCAAACCACTTCTTTTACATTTCTGGGAAACCGACCCCCTGCTTTTGTATTATCCCTCTCAACCCCACAAACCATACCAATTTCCCAGTTTTTTTCTTCCTCCTGACATAATCAGGAATTGTCTGAACCATCCAGCAACCGCATAAACCGCACTTGAAAACATGCCTCGTGATCAGTCTTTTGTCCAAGGTTTCCTTTTTTTCCCCCTTCCTCTCGACTAAAAGCTACGCTGAGATTTCCTGGTCTAATTGTAGACATGCTGGTTGGCGACAGGCGTGCAGAAGGACTCAAGCCAAAGAGGGATGGAGTGTGGAAACGCTGGTGGTGATGGTTGGGCTGCCGGTGTTTGGCTGGTCCCGTCTGGCTAGAAAGCCGGCGGGAGAGACAGGCGCTGGTTAGACGTCCCACAGAGAGCTGTGGCTAGGCCGTCTGGCAGGGTACGACTTGATGAGAGCATTACTACTTCAGGGAGCATTCGTTTTTTGGTTCTGAAGCATGGTGGCCAGTCGGTCAGGCGATTAACCCTAATTCTTTAGAAAACAATGCAGAAATTGCATAAGCTTCTAATAGCTCTTGTTCCAGTTGAATAGGGTGACTGACAGAGAGATGAGGCTCAGAATTGTGAGGAGGTGAAAAGAAACACACACAGATAAACACAATGACTACCGCACTCACCTGCTTTTGGGTTGTCTGGGTTCTTGTCTGGATGGCATGTCAAGGCTTTCTGTCGATAAGCTTTCTTGATCTAAGTGAAAAACAGAAGAAGCCCTAGAGTTATGAAGAGTGGAAAACGTTGATTAGGACACAAAGAGAAAGAATCATCCACTTAAGCACAGATTTTGGCCATGTGAAAGTTACATTCTTACTCTCAGTACCAATTATCTTTATCCTGTCATCCTTGCCCCAGAAAACCAAAGTCTGAATTAAAAAGAAATGATGGTCCCATTGAAATAATGGCAGAAGTGGTAACAGTCTGACATGAAAGCACTGGGGATTGGAATGTGGTCCGCGTTCAAATACAAATCTGCGATAGTATTGTTTGAATCAAATCAACACCTGAGCTGATCCTCTGCTTCGTGTCCTTCTGACATGTTGTTAATGGAATCTAACCACCTCGGCACACAAAGTCAATTACTTGGACAAGAATTCCAAACTGTTCCCAGGCACATTGCCAGCGTGCAAGATAAATGTGGCCTTAAGTTGCAGCCTAGTATTAGACCATCTTTATTCAAACTTTAAAAAAACGTTACAATAACATACACAAACAGAGTGCCATTGTCTATAACAAATCTGAGAAAGCTGCCATTAATATCTTAGGCAGGTAGCCAAAACTTTTGGGGGGTTCGGAGAACCAAAGTGGAAAAACTAAACAATACTTCGGAGTATTGTAATGTCATATGAGGTTTTAGTTATAGCTGATTTTTTAACCCTGGGTCACTGCTTGGAATTTTAACCATTCATTGGTCCTTCTAGGGACACGTTAATGACAAGGTGGTTTTCATTAGATCACTGCTCCTCTGGAGACAGAAGGGAAGCAGGGAAACTTTCCGTGGAGACCAGAGGGGGCTGTAGAGCGCGGCGCTGAAGCTTTCAAAACCTCAAAAACACACGCTCGCATGTATGCATTGCATGCTAAGAACTTGGCACATATAGCTCCCCTATATCCAAACTCAGACACGAGCACACATACTGACATTCATTTCTCACCAGTTTTAATCAGCCATGCCAACGTTCTGCACGTTTTCAAACACCCCCCTTTGAGCAAATCAATCTCCCGCCAGCATTCTACGGGCCCCAGAACTTGGGAGCTACTTTCTTCGTGTCTGGGAAACGTTTGCATTGGACGCCTTGTCCTCTGGCATATGTAATGTTTCCCTGAGTGTTGTTTTGCACAATTTTATCTTAAGAGTGCACGCCAAAACATACAGACTTAACTTAACTGGGGGGGGGAACAAAACTGTGAGGGAACCGAACAGAATGGTGTAATGCATCAGTGTCCAAGCATTCTTCAACAGCAACTCCAATGAGTCTCCATGACAGTCAATTAAGGAATATTACACCGCATGCCAATTTTCCAAAGTACAAGAGGTAAGACTGCACTTGATCACAAGAAGGCAACAAGCCCCCGGTGAACCCTTTGGAGTTTACCGGGGGCTTGTTGCAGGAAATTAGAACTTAAACCTAAGTTCAAACGTAACATCATTCATCCCTATACAGGTGAATGATGGTGTTCATTTCTGGGACCAAGATTAAGTTAAAAAGGCAAGAATGGTCATTATGAAAGCCATTGCATCCTGAGCAATGGCTAGGTGGTGAGAACAGTTGGAGAACTCCATTCCTTATACGGCCCAATCAGTTCTTTGAGAACGAAAGTCTGCTTCACAAAAGGACTATACAATTGTAGGTCTTTGACTAAAATTGTGTTTTCTGCCCTTGCTCAAAGCAGTTATTGGTTTCCATTCATTTCAAATCTATTTCACCTTATTGTATTGCTTATTATTCCATAAAACTTGCTTGAGTTGTGTAGTCCATCACAGTGCAGTTTAAGTGCATATTGATACAAAAAGCCCACAGTTCGTTACCTCACAACCAAAATACAAATTTGACAAAGCCTGCAACCCAATGCAAACTTCTATGCATTACACAGGTTACCAAGTTTAGAAAGGGTAGAACCAATGTTAGGCGTAAAATAGTAGAAAGATACATTCATATTTCCAAAACAGAGCAACACAGTTTGCAGCTGTGAAGTTAAGTTGACGTGATTTGAGATAAAAGGGGCATAGATATCACTGCTATGTTCCTCTAAGAGCTCCTCATACCGTGTCCTCATGTCACACTTTCATCTACTTCTCATGTTATTTATCACCTGCAGCCAGCTGACAAGGAAAACACATCTCCGCTGAAAGCTGAGCAAATGTTTGACATTGTCGGGACAAAATTCTGGTTAGCTGAGCTGTTTGACAAGTAAATACTGTCATCGATTTGTTGAAGAGCGGCGATGTATCGTGTCATCACCTTTGTCTCACTGAGTTCACTTACAGACGTAGTTAACACACATGCTTCTCTAAACTGCAGCTAATTATCCTACCGCCTTTTCTCCCCATCTCCTCCTCTTTCCTTTTTCTTTTTCACTTTGTCTAGCGTCCTCCAAGATATCTTGTCTCTACTGAGCCTCCAGAGCAGTTTTGTTAAATAATACATGATTACTCCCATCAATGCAGTCACACGCAAGCCTTAATTGATGCTGGAAGACCCTGAAGCCGTTTGGTCCTACTAAATATAAGCCAAAGCGGGCCAACTTTTGAAGAATCTAGCACATGTGCGGATAAGAGCTCTCAGATCGAGTGGCATCCTCCTGCAGGACTAATGCAGTCAATTACTGTCGCAATTATCTGTGTGCATTTCACCATGACCTTTTAGATGTTGGCTCCTAAATCAATTATGAGTGAGACTGTGTGAAGAGAAACCCAGAAGAACTCCTGGCCCGAAACCAACTGCTGTCCCATGTGCTTAGAAAACTTTTTTTTGCTGTGTCTTCATTTGCTTTTTTTAAATTATTCTAGGCTGTCACATGCTCAGTCTCCTTGTCTTAAGCACAAGACAAACTAAATGGCAAACAATCTCAACTATTTCACACGATTCAGTTTGCAAAAAGAGGAACCAAGAAATCACGGAAAGACTCCTATCGTGCAGCAGCAGTCAAACAGTAGCCCCAATGGTTAGTGCCGGCGAAAAACAGACTGTGTGTGCCTCCCTGATCCCTGCCTGCCACAGCAACTGCAGGCCCACATCTTGTCCTCATTACACCAGGCTTTGGTGCCAATTACAGTTGACAAACTGGTCCTAGAGCAGCCTCGTCACAGCCCTGGTGGGGCCCCTAGCCTGTGAGGCTGATTAGCTGCCTGATCTGCCATGGGCCCATCCTCCTTAATTACAACGCTCTGTATTTATGGGACATTATCAGCTGGAGGAAAATAATAAAAGGCACGACAGGAAAAAGTAAAGAAGAGGAGCAATGAGAGGGGCACAGAGCCAGAGGGCATGACCACACAGGAAAGAAGAACTAAAAGTAAGAAGAAAAAACGGATTTAATGAAGAGAAACAGAAAACACTGTAATTAACTTTCTAAGTGCTTATGCGCTTGAACCTGACCAAACCTCTAGTTAGGGATGCTCCGATTGATCGGCCGGCGATCGATATCGGCCGATACTCACTCTCTGCCGATCGATATCGGCCGATACTCACTCTCTGCCGATCGATCGGTGCTCTCTAAAAATGCCAATCGCGAGAGCCGATCGCATGACGTAATATTATGACTTAAAATACTTGACACTTTTCTCTGTGCGCGGCAAAACAAGCTTGCCAAAATGGCTTCACCAGTCTGGCAGTATTTTAAGGTGTCCGAAAATGACAATAAAATAGTGGTAGGCTATGCAACGCGTGTGAAGCAGAAATCCTGCAGCTCCACCCGCTGTGACGGACCGGTGAGCGGAGCAAAACAGACAGTTACGCAGCGTCCATACGGCGGCGTGCGTTGAAGCTTGCCGGCAGGCATGTCTGAAACTCGACCAACAACCAATCACATGAATCTCCCGCCCCGGACACACAAGCCCACGGTTTGATTGGCTAGAGCTTGTACTGGCATATGATTCGATTGGCTGACGCTTCCGTCGAAGCTTCAAAAGTTGAACATTGCTCAACTTTTGAAGCGAAGCAAAGCAAAGCAAAGCAAAGCAAAGCAAAGCGACGCTCCCACAATGCAGTTCGGCAAAGTGTGACGTCACCCCCATTCAGCGAAGCGACGCGCCCACAATGCAGTTCGGCAAAGTGTTACGTCACCCCCATTCAAAGTGAATGGGCAGAAGCGTTGAAGCTTCAACGCACGCCTCCGTGTGGACGGGCCGTTACGGCCCCTACACACGGCAAGCTTGAGCCCACGGCCCGTCCACACGGCGGCGTGCGTTGAAGCTTCAACGCTTCTGCCCATTCACTTTGAATGGGGTGACGTCACGCTTTGCCGAACTGCATTGTGGGAGCGTTGCTTCGCTTTGCTCGCGTTGCTCGCTTCAAAGGTTGAGCAATGTTCAACTTTTGAAGCTTCGGCGGAAGCGTCAGCCAATCAAATCATATGCCAGTACAAGCTCTAGCCAATCAAACCGCGTGCTTGTGTGTCCGGGGCGGGAGATTCATTGGCGATCGGAGCATCCCTAAGTCTAGTCGAACTGAGACTGATTTTTTCAGTATGATAGTGTTTTAAAGTTTGAGGGAATAGTAGAAGATACGTGCATTTTACAAAATAATGTTGATTAATGATTTCAAGCTAATTGTGATTGATAACACATCAGTTGTTCAGGTTTTTGTTCATAATGTCAAGGGGTTTGATAAATGTAATATCTTTACTTTATGTGTATAACAGACGCAGCAATGCATTGAACATAAAACACCTGGGCGATGCTGCCTGATGTTGAACGACCAGAAAACCGGATGACCACCAATTGCATTAATTTTGATGTGTCCTGCCAGTGCAGTGTACCTTAAAATGCAATAATAATTGTAATCTATCCTGAGTTTGACAAAGCAGAAACTAACAGAAGAATCTCATTATTGGGAGAAATTAGTTTACAATGCGCAATTACAGTGTAATGCAATCACTTTTCTGTGGTGCTTCGTCTGGAAGTAAATCATCCAGGCATCTAGTCACAGTCTGCAACACAACAGGTACACTACAATTTGACTAGCTGAATAGACCATGGGACATTTTGTGTGGTTTTGGCTGTTGACATTGTCTCAACAGGCAATCTGTGGTAGGTAAATCACACTTGGGCAATTATTAGCAAAGCCCCGCTGATATGCAAGATCATAACTCTTTAAATGGAGGCTAGCCTTAGCAACAGTCTTCCTCAGCACTACAAGGATTATGCAAACCCCAGTCATTCATAGTCACTAAATCTTAGACTTTTGACAGGCCAGTTTCCGCAGCATTTATCAGCCAGCCAAGCTTAGAAGAAAAAAGGTCAACAGCAGAACAAAATAGAGATGCTAAATAGAACCAGGAGGAGAAGCAGAACGCAAATCCCCCTACGTCAAGGCCATGTTTTACAAGATGTGGCTAAGCCCACACACACAGGCTCTGGGATGAGCTCCGTCACATGTCTGTGATAAACAACATGCATGATAATAGCGTTGAAGAAGCGCGGTAAACGACTGAGATAAGTAGCCCATCTGATCGCCCATCTGATCACACACACACACACACACACACACACACACACCACACCACACACACCACACACACACCACACACACACACACACACACACACACACACACACACACACACACACACACACACACACACACACACACACACACACACACACACACACACACACACACACACACACACACACACACACACACACACACACACACACACACACACACACACACACACACACACACCCACACACACACACACACACACACACACACACACACACACACACTTCCTACCTCCATTTTGCCACAATTTTTAATTTCCCTTTGGGCTTGTGGATTTAAGATACTGAATACTAATACATATCTAGCCTGTGACCTAAGATTTTCATCGTCATAACTACACTATAGCTATGTACGTAGGACTAATAAAAGCCTTGAACCTTGTCTTATAAAGGCTTCCTGTAGTATTACAACATTTTACCAGGCCTCATCAGATGTAATTCATTCATTAAGAATAAATTAAGAAAAAACTAATGAAATCTCATGTCCATATTATTTGTAAATGTTCCAAACTAACACAATTCGTTTATTATTCGATGTGTCATTGAGATGATAAACTCATAGGACGTCTCCCTAATCTGTGCAATGTTGTGGTTGACTTTTATTTATTGAATTTGACATTTCAAAAACCAAACTATTAAACAGTGAAAATAACTTGTAGATGAACACAATTTCCCAAATAGTTGCAGCCCTAGAATGTAAATCCACCTCTCATTCAAAATGCACCTCGTGCAGTTGTTGTATTACAGTTTATTATTTGGTATCGAAATGTAACAACGTCGCCACCAAGTGGCCTTTACGATGTATGACACTTCTGCGATTCAAACATTAGCCGGTGTCTTTTGCTACTTGAGGTCTCATTTGACCTACAATTTCAGTCCTCGCTTCACTTACCTGGTGTTTCACTTTAAAGAAGAAAATACTATTTTATGTTACGTTAGTACACATGCATGGAAAATATAACCACAGACCCACAGTTACAAGCTGCATGGTAACCAGAAGCTAAAATAGCCTTCTGAAGTGAAATGCAGCACACGTACAGTCTGTTCTTGTGCAAGTACAAACGCTTTTTACATGTAATGTTAGCCAGCACTCGGATAAACGTTCTACCGAAAGGACATCCTCCAGACTGATATGCATCTGATCTAAAGTAACGTATTTCTATCTAGCTAATTAGCTTAACAGCTAGCTTACATACATACCTCTTTTGGTGTAGCAGTGATGTCAATTCCGAGTAAACCATAAAGGTCCATCTTTAGGATATCCTTAGCCATTTTCGACATTTTCACAAAAAATTAAAAACAGTATCAACACAGAAAAATAAGATATTTTAACGCAATGCTAACGTTTGGCTAATTCAGGGGTTTGTTGTTGTCCTCGTTCCTGGCAGCGTGCGGTTGACGTCTTTAACCTTTCAACTGGGATGTGCACTGCAACCTGGGAATTGTAGTTTTTGCTCTGCTGTGCTCTGTTCTGAATTGCTGTTGATATTTTGTGCATTTTTACCATAGCATTTACATTGAAAAATAGGTTGTATAAGTCCTAACCTTTTTGACTCGGGTTTACATTTGTTTTGGCTGCTAACAAGTGATAAAATAGGAAGGTATTACTTTACATTTATTCCAGGTGTGTAATGGTTTTACACTAGCCTTGTCTATTTGTTTCACCTCTGTCATTAAAGATCCAATCAGCATTTTTTGATCATAATAGCTACATGTTTGCTTTATTTATGGCCCTAATTAAGTGTATCAATTTGTGGAACTGCATTGTGTTTCTCAACCATTATATTTATGTTTTATGTCAACAAATTCTATACAACCCTATTGACTTTTGAGGTTTGGAGTAAAAACTAAACAAAATTATGTATTGGCTGTTTTTTTCCACATATACACAGGTACATAAGTTAAATAAGTGGACTAAATAAATGTTATTTATGAATAAAACATGCTCAGTTGCACTGGTGCTTCAGATTACTGTCATCCGTTTAGATGGACAAATGATGGACAACAGCAACACTTTCTTTAAAGTTATCTCAAGTTCTTTCCTGTAGCCTAAATTATGTATTATGTACTACAATTATGTATTGCAAGTCTGCCAACATAAACACAAATTCTTATATATCTTTGATAATAATCACTTTATAACATCAGCCTGTGTCAGGCTCTACAGGATATATTGGAAAAGTTTACACCTTTGTTGTTTTTTTCGGGACTGCTGTGATCCATCTTTGTTTACATTTGAATCATGGTGAAGTCTGCTATTACCTATTAGCCTACTTAATTTACCCCGACAACACCTTGTATCAATTTTAAAATATAAACAGAAAACTCTACTGTGGGGATGTCTTCACCCAGGACAATTTCATCTGGGTATTTTAGTTGTTGTAGCCATGTTTTAAATGTTATTAAAATTGCTTTTATGGGATACTTTTAGTTTGTAGGCTATAGTGTGGTGTATAAACTGTGAACCATGAACTATTGAGGGGTCCGTTAGGATATATAGTATAATAGTACACCATTTACCTCTGAACTGTAGAGGAGTAGAAGTACACAATAAAGTACTTGAATTACGGGGACTTAGTTACTTTACACCTCTGGTATTTACACACTACTTCAAAGTAATCCTTTAAACTGTTGGATAGCAGATAACTTGTGGAAATGACTTCAAACTGTAGTGCAGTAGAAGTACACAGTAGCATGAAATGGAAAGTACAAGTTTCTCAAACATTGTACTTAAGTACTTGAGTAAATCTACTTAGTTACTTCCCACCTCTGGTTATCTAGGACAGTGGTTCAAATGGGGGTCAAATGGGGGTACGCGGACCCCTAGGGGTACGTTGGAGTACTGCAGACAGGGCGCTGTAAGTGATGAAAGTGGGGCACCGGGGGATCAGATGAGGAATGCTTAGTTGAATAATATATATAATATGAAACAGAAGAAAGGTTTAAGAAAACAGCGGCTCTGATCAGAGCATCCTTCCCAAACACTTCACAGCAGTGGTGAAAAAACAAAGTGGAAAAACAGCGGTAAGGATTAAAGCAGTGTTGGAGCCAATAAAAAGCATGTCATCAACATCTGGTATCTTGCATGGGACAAATTGTTTAAAACAAATATTTGTTTAATTAAATAACCCTGATGACAATCCAAAAGAGTTTACTTGTGTTTTTGTTTTCAGGATATGGGACTCTGTAATTTAGTGATAACTGAGCCAATGTTGCAGCATTTCCTGTTGGCAGGGGCCAGGGGGATTAACAGTGACGCAGGAACATGTCCTGACAAGTCTTAGAACAACTTTCCATGTATCAAATTTAATTAAAGGTTATGTAGTTACATGCTATTTGCAAACTACTACTTCTGGGTATCTAAAAAAAATTGCCTCTTCTCAAAATGTTCATCCTAAGGGGCTGTGTGACCTTACCTTGGTAAAACACAAAACTAAATCCTATAATCACTGACACACCCTCATAGAGATCCATGTGGTAAAAGGTTTTGCAAGAGTCAATTTGTGCTTTAATTTGTGAATGTGTGTACAGGAAAATGCATGGAAATATTATTGGCTTTCACACAGGAAATATTGGTGAGTATTTTTTCCAGAGTAATTACTATTTTGCTCTGAAATAGTGATATTTAATCATTTTGGAGTGTATTTATTACTCATAGCTTCTAGAGTGCGATCAAAAATGCAGAGTCAATTCTATTGGAGTTAAACCATGACCACGCTGTAACGGAGGTGATCTCCGGGGCCATAGATCTCGGTCTCCGTTACGGATTATATAGCTTCATTATTGGCAAAGTATATTCATTTGTTCCACGCTAAAACATTGCACAGGAAGCATGTGATTATATGTCATTTATGCATATATTTGTCACAATCTGTCTATGTTTTAGTTTGTCTGTCTCTGTTTCCTGTTTTAGTTTGAAAAGTGTTCCCCCTCCCGTCTTGTCTGCTGTTCACCTGGTGCCCTGTGTTTTCTCCTCCCTCCTCACCTGTGTCTTGTTGGTTTGATTAGTCCTGTGTGTATTTAGGTTCTGTTTTCCTGTTAGTGTGTGTGTGTGTGTGTGAGGTCCTGGTGGCTGGTGACTGGTGACTGGTGACTGTGTTCACGTGAGACAGTCATATTGAGGCTGTGTATCCTGTACCACAAAGAGGAATAAATGCCCACACCGGGTTGTATTTGAACTCTCTGCCTCTGCCTCCTTGCTTGGTTGGGCCGCTCAATGGTCAGCTTCACACACGCCCACTCATGTTCCTTAAGCACTTTGGTTTATTGACCTTTTTTATTGTAAAGATCATTATGGTTCATTTATTCTATTCTGAGTAAAATTACCTTCTAGTTGGAGTGAAATTACGTTCGATTGGGAGTAAAATTACCTTCTATTTGGAGTGTAATGACGTTCGATTGAGAGTAAAATTACCTTCTATTATGAGTAAAATGGCAGTAGAGTTGTTTTTAATATACACTACATAGAGTAAATAACCATTAAGCAGAGTCAAATCTAAGCACATAATAGAGTAAAATGAACTCTAAAAATACAACTCTGAACAAAGAGTACATTTTACTCTATATAGGTTGGGACCAAATGTTATATTTTTAGAGTAAAATTTTCTTCAATTTGAGTCAATTTTACTCAGAGAAATGTACTGTGTAGGCTAGTTCGAGCTTGATTACATTATCCTGTTTAACTAGCCAAGCAAGAAAATTGTTGACTTTGATGAGAGCATGATATTTGCTCAATAGCTTTGTTGTACTGATTAAACAAAGCAGTCTCGTGGGTGGCCATTATTCCCATGAAAATACATACCACTCTGCATATTCTTTGGTGTTGTAATTTGAGTATGGATGCTGCTGATTTCTCAGTGGTCTTCCTGATATTAGCCAAATGTTCCTCTGGACAAACAAAAGATGACACTATGGCAATAGGAATCTAAAGTGGAGCAACAATACAATTAAATTATAGCTACGCTTTCTCTGGAGCAGTCAGACTCTAGCAAGCTAAATAGCATTGCTTAGTCACCAGGTAAATGACAAAACGGTACGCTTACTACAGTAATTGAAATTCTCAACATACTTACAGATCCAAACAAAATTACTATTTGTAGATTGTCTTTCTTTCTCTGTGCTCTATGTGTTGGTATGTCTTTGCTGTATGCAACTATTGGCTTATACCTCTTTATTCCCTTCTATCAATAAAGTAATGTCGCAAAACGTGCTTTGGGAAAGATTACACAATCTGGAGACCGGTGTCTCGATCCTGGATTCTAATTTAAACATTCAACTAGCCTACATTAACTCAAAAGTAAGTTTTAATAGGTTGAACTCTGGGCATCTTGGACGATACTAGGAGAGTCTGGGAACCCTAGTTAATTTCCCTCCAGAAGGGAGGTCAGATCCAGTTGATGGGATGGGGTGTGGGGGTGGAGGGCCCACAACCACTGGCTGCCTAACAAACAGCTTCAAGTCAGAAAACGGCAAGCTCAATAATACCGGGAAATACGGAAGTTTGCCTTCAAAACAAAATACTGATTTAAAACACTGTTGAGTTTGAATAAGTTATGAAACGTTTTTTGTTTTTTTATAAAACTGCTTGGATATTAGTTTAATGCTCCAGCAGTTATTTTCAGTTTGATGATGCTGTTAGTAGGCTAGTAACCCATTAACGTTAGCAGTTTCAACCGAAATTGTTACAGATTTGTGAGCAAGGAGTAACCAAGTGAACAGGCTTATTTAGATAACTACCCACATACTGTGGTTGGAGCATCTGAAGGTAATCCATTTTAATTACTTTTTGTGTGATTGAGATGTTAAACGGTCATTATTTTTGGACTACTGCTTAGTTAGCCATACAAGCGTTAGCAGTTGAAAGCTAACGTGTTGCTAATTCTGTCACTTCTAATTCTGGTTTTATGTGGTTACATTTTGTTTATTTTGTTGACTCTAACTTTATGTTTACTTTATTGATAACAATGTTATTGCTACTATAATAGCTGTTCATGAGTTCACTTTAACTTAGTTATTACTTTTATTTTATTTGGTATTTTATTGAGATCTGTAGGACTACATAAACTGACAGTTAGGCTAGCTAGTTTGTGCTTTTGTAGCTAGCTCGTTAAATCCAGTTCTTGAAAATAGATACGATACTAGGAGAGTCTGGGAACCCTAGTTAATTTCCCTCCAGCAGGGAGGTCAGGTCCAGCTGATGGGATGGGGTGTGGGGGTGGAGGGCCCACAACCACTGGCTGCCTAACAAACAGCTTCAAGTCAGAAAACGGCAAGCACAATAATACCGGGAAATACGGAAGTTTGCCTTCAAAACAAAATACTGATTTAAAACACTGTTGAGTTTGAATAAGTTATGAAACGTTTTTTGTTTTTTTATAAAACTGATTGGATATTAGTGTAATGCTCCAGCAGTTATTTTCAGTTTGATGATGCTGTTAGTAGGCTAGTAACCCATTAACGTTAGCAGTTTCAACCGAAATTGTTACAGATTTGTGAGCAAGGAGTAACCAAGTGAACAGGCTTATTTAGATAACTACCCACATACTGTGGTTGGAGCATCTGAAGGTAATCCATTTTAATTACATTTTGTGTGATTGAGATGTTAAACGGTCATTATTTTTGGACTACTGCTTAGTTAGCCCAGCGCCAGTTAGTCATACAAGCGTTAGCAGTTGAAAGCTAACGTGTTGCTAATTCTGTCACTTCTAATTCTGGTTTTATGTGGTTACATTTTGTTTATTTTGTTGACTCTAACTTTATGTTTACTTTATTGATAACAATGTTATTGCTACTATAATAGCTGTTCATGAGTTCACTTTAACTTAGTTATTACTTTTATTTTATTTGGTATTTTATTGAGATCTGTAGGACTACATAAACTGACAGTTAGGCTAGCTAGTTTGTGCTTTTGTAGCTAGCTCGTTAAATCCAGTTCTTGAAAATATATTTAAAAGTTTGTCAAACAATTACTAACATAGCCTATATTTTTGGGGCGTTTTATTGTAACCACACTTATTATACAGTTTGTATTCACAATACCCACTTCAGCCGCTCTGGCTTTTTATTCTGAAAGTTTTGATCGGATGTCATCCTCGGTAATGTTGCTGTTTTTGTGACACCGTCAGACTGTCACTCAAGTGAATGAAGTGCAAGGGCTGTAGGATTTGAAAAAACGGTGCCATCTGCAAAACAACACGGGGTAGGATCTGCCACACAGTGCCTCATTTTTCATGGGTCCATGTTTCATTTTTTGGCAGAAAATAAAAGGTTGTCCGGATGACTGCAAAGCGCTTCCCCATCTGAGACACACCAGAGGACGCAATTCTTCAAGTGTCTTCATATTTATGGAATAAAACCAGGTAAGGTGTCATTGTCAGTTTATAGGTTATCTATAACGATTCAATAAGGAATAAGGATGTGACATGTGTTGAAGTAATAACCGCTATTATTGTGTTTTTCTGGTGAATTTTACTCGCCACTGTAATGTGACTGGTCCCGTTATGCCCCATGGTATGTGGGGGGAAATCGCAGCGCAAAGTAATGATGTTGCACCGTTAATGTCGCTATTTAAGGACCGTTTGTTTATCATACTAAGCAAAGGATCAATACAGATTGACACACTGGCAATTGTTTTCTGGTGTGTGTCAGTCTTGTCGATCCATCCTGGAGGTGGTGATCGACTGTTCCCTCTGAACCTCCTTGCCTCGGACAGAATAAAGAGGAAGACGGCAGTGAGGAAAAAACCTGTCTTGCCAAAATCCACATGAACTAAGAATGCCAGTTGTAAAGCTGTGTATTGGACCATATGAGCTGTCAATGTCCACGTTTTTTTTACATTTGAACAGGTTAAATCAATCATACAATTGCTTAAGGTTTCTACAGAAAGTCTGGGAATAAAGGAAACTAAAACTAAAAGATACATTTAACTCCAAAATGTGCTTGTAGACTTTGCAGGCATTTCAGTCACTCCCTTAAATAGCAAAGAGTGGAAGAGAGGAGGATCAGGATATTTGTTAAATGACTACCAGATGTTGTTATAATCCTTCTGTCAATACTGTATCAGACTTAAAGTTTATGGCATGAATGAATGGGGAGTAATTATCTATTATTATGCAATACTAAGCCACATATTTGACATGTATTAACACATATTGTTCCATGAAATCTAACATTATTATTTCAGGGCTCAAAGGTACAATCTACATCTTATAATATAATATGTATACCCATCAATTATCTCCAATCTATGTGTATTTTAGTGGAAGGGAACAGAATGAGATAATTTCTTAACTGGTCCATGATATTTTAGTAATCCACACTACATCGATTAGTAAATTCACACATTTATTTTTGCCGAGTTGCTCAGAACATTTGTAGGAAAAATAAACCATGTCTGCAAGCGTTGCATATGTCTGAGGAAATAAATCAGTGGATATATTTTTCAGAAGGTTGATGCTGTACAGTGGCAGTGGGCTGTGTGTGTGGGCGGTTTAACCGAAGGACAGATGAGTAGGTTCTTCCTGAATGCGGTGAATCAGCCTGCTATTAGTGCTTCATGTGGGAGAGCTGGCAGACGAGGTCGGCGATTGAAAGTTGTTGATATGTTGGGAGTGCTCAAAAGAATGTGGGTTTTTTTTCATTATAGTTGAGCTTTGACACAGCTTGACATGAAGCCCAGATCTCTGAAAAATATCCCTCTAATTAGAAACAAATCATCATCCTAGGAATGAAACGGACATTTCAAAAGAGGAACAGGAGCTGTCACACCCCCCCATGTTTATCTCAAGCCAAGTTTCCTGTCCTAGGAATGTCCTTTCCTTCCTCATGAAAAGTCCCTGTGCCATATGGGGGAGTACAGTTCATACACACCCGGTTTCAGTGAAAGTGACTTGCTCACACTTCTGAATCTGCAAGGCGTGAGTCGATTTCACAAAAACTCTCAGTGGTTTCAAAATGTTCTTGACTTTTCCACCAAATGCTCCAGATTGCAAGCATCAACTTGTAACTTTTGCTTCCTGGTCACACTGAGAATGAGAGCCAAATGTAACAAATCAGAAAGTGTTTAACTTGTTTTCTGGGCATAACCCTTATTAGCTTGAAAGGGGGCAGGGAGCCGTCCATCCATTTTGTGGACAATGAACACTGGCTCTTTGAAGAGTATTGTGAAGGCCTGTTGTAAAACACCATTGTCCGCCTGCTTGCTGCCACGGTAACACTCACACTGGCAGCAGGACTGAAAATGCTGCAGTCAGAGAGCTGGCAAATGCCGTGCCAAAATATGTGTGCAATGAAAAAAAGCCTCATTGTACCTTGACTCTGTGGAGTGAATCCAATTTGTCGGATTTTCCACGAGTCATTACTTTGCTAAATTACAAGTATAAATACTAATCTGTGGGAGTATTTGCTAATGATTTGAGTGACCACTGTGTTGTAGCCACAATTAGGGACACAAAAGTCCAAAAGGGTAAACCTCGCATTGTCATAAAGAGAGACACAAAACATTTTGTGGAGCAGGGTTTTGTACATGATCTGTTTGGTTTTGATTGGGGTAAAACGATCTGTGTGCTGATGTTGAAACTGCATGGTCTTTTTTTTATCTTGGTTTTATGGAAATTATCGATAGACACCCTGCTGAAAAAACCAGTTTAGACCAACAAGGCTGGTCTGGCTGGTCAGGCTGGTTTACCAGCCTGACCAGCCAGTCAATATTAGGCTGGATTAGTTTGCTGGTTAAGAGGGGTTTTGGACACTTTAGCTGGTCAGGATAGCTGGTTTGGTCACAGTGGTCTAGCTGGTCACCATTAGCTGGTCGGGATAGCTGGTTTAGCTGGTGGTCACAGTAGTCTAGCTGGTCAGTATAGCTGGTTTGGTCACAGTGGTCTAGCTGGTTACCATTAGCTGGTCGGGAAAGCTGGTTTAGCTGGTAAAAGCTGGTGGTCACAGTGTTCTAGCTGGTCACATGCTTGACAGAGATGCTGTATGCGAAACCAATGTGAGTTTGGAAAATTGCACAGTATAAATCTATTTTAGTATACCTCAACAATGTAATTATGATCAGTGGAAATGGCCATGACATGGGCCCTTTAAGTAAAAGACCAAATCATGTCAAGCTTTAACCTGAGCCGGTTTTTTCAGTCTTTACAATGCACTGTTGGAAAATACCTTCCAAAGGCTAAATTCAAACTCAATACCATAAATAACTGGGTACAAAAGTGCTTTTACCTGAGAGAACACGTTCCACATGGAGCAGCAACCATCCGGCTCGGCCTTTTGCTGCATATCATCTCCTCCCTCTCCACTGTTTCCAGTAGATCTCTACTGTCCAATAAAACTGAAATTCCCCAAAAAATCATATTAAAAAAAGTTAAAAACAATAACTTGCTTTTGGCATTGAAATGGATTAGAATCTCACCTTTTTCCTGGATATCAGGAAGGCCAGGAAGTCGTTCCCTTCAAGTCTGCAACCAGTCATAGGAGTTCAAATGCAAAGCCTGAACGATGACAAGAGCGAGACTTACATTTTACAATTATATTTTTCATTCATACCAGAGCAGTGTGTATAGGCCCTGTACGACATGCAGAGAACATATCAAATCCCCTGACAGAGGGTGTTTCTCAATCGCGAGTAAAGCTGCTTCAGAGCCACTATTTCAAGCATACTACGTCATCGAGTGCCGCCGAAGTACTGTTCCAATCTCCAGCATACTTGGAAATCTACAGAGCCCGGCGTACTCCGTTTGGAGAAATATCGAGGCTGCATATGAGTAGACTCCGCGGTCTTAAAATCCCCACAATGCTTTGCGCACGGACCAATTTCCCTAAATCTGTGGCGGAAGATGTAAGGCGGGGCCTCTCATATGACGCACACCTGCACACTTGCTAGCGTGTTCCACACTTCGTTTTCCGAATGGCAGGAAGTATTCTTGACTCACTTCTGAAACAAGATGCTCGGCAGACATGTGCTACCAAGCAAGCGTACTCGCGATTGAGAAACACCCAGAGCTGTCAGAGCGGTGCCTCTCAGAAGAGCAGCCGCTGGGCGGAGTCACAGAAACGCTCAACTGATCTTCACTCCCAGTCAAAACAAACCGCTTTGTTTCTGTCTCGCTGTTCCCCCGTGTCCCGCCCTCTCTGTCCCCCGTGTCCCGCCCTCTCTGTCTGTCTGTGTGTCTGAGTCTACTCATGTGCAGCCTCGATATTTCTCCAAACGGAGTATGCCGGGCTCGGTAGATTTCCAAGTATGCTGGAGATTGGAACAGTACTTCGGCGGCACTCGATGACGTCGTATGCTTGAAATAGTGGCTCTGGAGCAGCTTTACTCGCGATTGAGAAACACCCTCTGTCTGTTTCAGTTTCGCCAGCAAGACTGCTGGTAGACCAGCATACATACCAGCTTCACCAGCATAGACCAGTTTAACTACCAGCTAAAACCAGCATAGACCAGCATGACATCCATGCTGGGCTATGCTGGTTTAGCTGACCAAGCTGGTCTTGAACCAGCAAGAACAGCCTGGCCAGCTTGTCCAGCCTGGTAAACCAACTAAACCAGCCTAACACCACCCTAACACCAGCTAAAACCAGCTAAAACCAGCTAAAACCAGCTAAAACTAGCTAAAACCAGCAACCATCTTAAGCTGGTCTATGCTGGTTTTTTCAGCAGGGCATGCACCCCTGCGTACATTTAGAGTGAAGGGACGAGACAATCCTTGGTTTTCTGCTGAACTGTTTAGTCTCCTATAGAAACAAGGCCTGGGCAAAGGCTAGGAAATCAGGCTCAGAGGTAGAATGGCTGCAATTTAGGCAGCTAAGGAATAGCTTCACATCACATATCAAAAGTGCTAAGTCGAAGTACTATCTGTCAGTTACCACAAAAAACCTGAATAATCCTAGAACATTTTGGAAAGCCATAAAATCGATATCCACCGGTGAGATCCGTAATGAGCTACCTCCTTGCCACAGCATCTGGCACTATATCGGACAGGGCTACTATGTTAAATTGTTTTAATGAGCATTTTGTGTCCTGTGGCTCTCTGTTTGATTCAGTTACGAACTCTGCTTCTGTGATCACCACAGTCCGTCACTCTGAACAATGTGATCTGGAAAACCAGTTTTACTCCTTTTACTATTGATGTTGATGTTGTTCATGAAGCCTTATCCAAGTTAGATCCTAAGAAACCGGCTGGCCCGGACAACGTAGAACCTTTCTTTTTTTAAATATGGAAGTCAGCTTATGTCCTGCCTTTACTAAAAGGAGGGGAGGCAACTATTTTAAATAATTATAGGCCCATCTCTAAATTGTCAGTTCTGGCTAAGGTTCTTGAACGCCTATGAGTGAACAGGTAAAGGAGTTTTTATGTACAAATGACATCCTATCTAAACATCAGTCAGGTCTCAGAAAGAAACATAGCACCATCACTGCGACAATGAAAGTGGTGAATGATATTGCGAGTATTTTAGATAATAAGCAGAGTTGTGCAGCTCTATTTATTGACCTTTCCAAAGCGTTTGATACCGTCGATCATCGCATCTTGAAGCAGAGGCTAGTCAGTATTGGTATATCCAGCCATGCAGTGGGGTGGTTTGCGAACTACCTCGCTGAAAGGTCCCAATGTGTTCAATTTGATGGGCTCACTTCTGAGTGGTTAAACATTACTAATGGTGTTCCCCAAGGTTCTGTTTTAGGTCCACTTTTATTCTCCATCTATATCAACAGTTTAGGTGAAAATGTCGATGGAGCAACCTTATTTTTTATGCGGACGATACCGTGATGTATTGTGTAGCAGGTCCCTCCATTAAGGAGGCTGGTGTTAAATTACAGGCTGTTTTTAACATTATTCAGACTCAGCTATCTGAACTAAAGCTTCATTTAAATGTTGATAAAACCAAGGTAAAGACACCAGAGACTGCTTTGGATATTGTAACTGCGCAAGGAATAATACTTGAAGTGGTTGCCTGTTACAAATACCTTGGTATCTGGCTTGATGATTGTCTCACTTTTAAACTTCAGGTCAATAATCTGCTTAAAAAGCTGAGGGTTAGGCTAGGTTTCTTTTTCAGAAACAAGTCCTGTTTCTCGCTTGAGGCCAGGAAAAGGCTAGTCACTGTGACCTTTTTACCTGTGCTGGACTATGGTGATCTGGTCTATATGAATGCACCTGCCCATTGCCTGAACAAGTTAGATGCCGCCTATCACAGCGCACTGAGATTTGTCACTAATTGTAAAGCACTTACACATCAATGTACCCTGTATACCAAGGCAGGTTTGCCATCACTTACTGTACGGAGGTTCAGTCATCGGTACACGTTTATTTATAAAGCCATGTTGGGTAAACTCCCGTATTATATCTGCTCTCTGATAACACAGAGAGTTGCAAGCAGCTTTTGTCTGAGATCGCATGATGTAGTATTGTTACATGTGCCAAGAGCAAAGACTGTCTTAGGTAAGACAGCTTTTATGTGCGCAGCTCCACTTGCTTGGAACGATCTTCAGCTAGAATTGAAACTGAGCAATTTCATTCCTCTGCATGTTTTTTAAGCTAGGTTAAGTGAAATGTTCTTTGATACTATGGGTACTTGTAAATGTCGATAACTATGTAAATGTAGCCTGTAAATATAATGTATGATGTCCTTTATTGTTTTATGTTGTTTTATGTTTCATGTGGACCTGCTCTTTTTCAAGGGCAGGTCTCCCTTGAAAAATAGATCTATGATCTCAATGGGACCAATCTGGTTAAATAAAGGTTTGAAATTAAATGAAATACCTCTAGAGAGAAATGCCAATCGGATTTCTACTGTGTTTAGTTTACTGTGCAAAAAAGCTTCCTGAGTAGGGCCTTACATTGTCTCTAGATGTTCAAATAGAGGACGACTAATAATTCCTACCAGACTCGCCCAGTGAACAGAGCAATGTGTTTGTTAACGCTTCTCACTCAATGCCTCCTCTGTATATCTTGTGTTTGCCAAGTGTGAAATCAACAACAGGGGACAGAAGAAACACTCCTGTTTGTTCTTTTATTCTTGACCACCTAATATCACAACTCCAGCACAGAGAGAAAGTCTTTTTAGACTTTTGGAGAAAGTTGTCTTCCTTATTTGGCCGGAACCCTCATGCTGTTGATTTCATAAGAGTGTGGGAACGTGTTTATACTAGTACAATGCTTTTGGTGTAGAAAGTATTTAGAAGCTTGGTAAAGGAGGAGGCTGTGCTCTGAGGTTATGCCAGTAAAGGGCCCTTGTCTGATGTCTGATCAATGTGGGCATTCATGTCAATGTCATACATGTTGATGTGATGTTGTGAAAGGTTTCTCCTGCACAGTTCTTTACCTTGTGCATGTTTTCCAATGTTTATAATCCAGCAGGGAGCTTGAAAATACATTTATTTATACAGTAAATTGCAATAGGCACTAACCAGACAATGATGAGCCAGGCTCTTTCTAACAGGATTAAATAGGAATGTTTGGCAGAGCTAGTGGTGACTGGACTGCTGACATATCTTTTACTCATCTACAAAAATGCAGAGCTATCATTTCCTATTCTGCTTTCCTTCTGATAACGACTTGTATTGGCCTGTTTCCTCTAGTCTGGATAACAACGATGACACTGTAAAACTAGACAAAATCCCTTCGATATGGGTTGCAAATACATGCCATCTGCATTCCAAAACCTTTTAAGAAATAATAAAAAAAATTCTCTTGTCATCTGCACACATTGAAAAAAACTGTGAACATTCCCTTCTGTCCTCCACAGCCATCATGTCGGGGAAGTCAGATGTGAAGATGAAGTGGGCGGCTGTCAGGGGTCGCCTGGGCTCCTCGCAGGACTCAGATACCCAGCAGGAGGCCAACCTGGAGAGCGCTGACCCAGAGCTGTGCATCCGCTTGCTGCAAGTCCCCACCGTGGTCAACTACTCAGGGCTGAGGAGGCGTCTGGAGGGCAGCGACCAGACATGGATGGCCCAGTTCCTGGAGCTCAGCGGGCTAGATCTCCTCCTGGAGGCCCTGGATCGGCTCTCGGGGCGGGGGTGTTCTCGCATTGCCGATGCCCTTCTGCAGCTCACCTGTGTCAACTGCGTCCGGGCTGTCATGAACTCCTCTGCAGGGATCCACTTCATCATAGACAACGAGGGATACATCCGGAAGCTCTCCCAAGGTTGACCATACACCTAATTTTGTAAAAAAAATGATCATCTACCGTACTCCAAGAGTGGCCCAAAAATATTTTAAAGTATACTTATAATTTAGTCAAAATATTTTCAAAAGATATTCATGTTTGGGATGCTGCATTCGTTTTTAAATGTTATGTAACATTAGAAATATTCGTTAAATGGGTCATAACTCACTGTGCTGAGCTTTTTCCAATTTTCCCAGCCAATTCCTCTTTATGCACAGAGATGAGTCATCACGTGTTGCTTAAGAAATCCCTAAAAATGTAATATCACAGTGAGTCATGAATATTGGATTTCCCCCCCCTCAGACACTTACACGGAAAACCACATGTTTATCTACTGTACATCGCAACATCCCCAGAGGGCAAAGTTCAAGTAGAGTTGCCTTAAGATCTGTGAAACAAAGCATCCTGCTCGGGACTACACTGCAAGAGGGAAGATAGGGGCTTTCTTATAGACAAACTGATGAAAAATACAAGAGCTTGAACTGTATTGATGTGTGTGATCATGCTGCTCCACAGCTTTGGACACTTCCAACACCATGGTGAAGAAGCAGGTGTTTGATCTTCTTGCTGCCCTGAGCGTGTTCTCTGCAGACGGCCATCGCCTGGCTCTGGATGCTCTGGATCACTACAAGGTAAGTAAATGAACATGAAAAAGTCCTACTACCAACTTTCTTAAATTATTTGTATTTACCTCACATGATACCACATCACCACTCTGAATGATAAATACCTAAACAGTGCCCTCTAGTGGTGGGTTGGATGCACAGGCATTATAATCCTGTGGAATCACATTGTTCCTCACTGAAGTGGATGATTGATTTCTCCCTTCAGGGCGTGAAGACGCAGCAGTATCGCTTCAGTGTGATCATGAACGAGCTGCAGGCCACAGATAACGTACCTTACATGGTAACGCTCGTCAGTGTTATCAACGCCCTCATCTTCGGCACAGATGACCTCAGGCAGAGGGATAAGATGAGAAAGCAGTTCATTGGTAGGTTCTCCGTTCAGCTGCTATTTAAGATATATACAGACAATCGGGCCAGATACATTTTTTGGGGCTATTTTGCTTCCATAACATGTTTTTTGCAGACCAGTGAAAGCACCCAAAATACATATTATGATGTTGAGGTTAGCACACTTTATTTAGGTCTGTAGATTTCTCCAAATTCACCAAAATATAGCATAAGATAATGCCTAGTTTGCATAAACAAACATAACATTTCAGAAGACTTGTAATACAAAACATTTTTTTCCCGTAAGTAATCAAATGGGGAAGTTTCATTGTGATATCTACATTGTTTACCCTTTTCACCTGTAGTGTCTTGGAAAATGCATGGGATTTTATAATCCTTCTAATTTTATAATGTCTTTAAAGGCCGTTATCTCTATTTAAAAAATGTTTTTAGACTCTGAGCCATAAATCTCCACTTCATTAACACTAACATATACCAGACTAGTTTATTTTTGATGTTTTCTCTATGGAGGGGTTAGCTCATATGTCATTCCGGGTCTGATCATTCTTACTGGGCCAGTGAGATTAAATGAATTCCCTCTGTTAAAAAAACATTTTGCTCTAAAATCGCAACAAATAAAACAAGAATCTTGAAAGTGGCTTTATCCAATGTTTACTTTTCTGATAGTGTATGCAAACAAGCACATATTTAATAGGAAAATGCCTCATTTGCATATTTAAACATAACTTTTTAGAAAACTTGTAATATAAAAAGAACATTCATAGTGAATGAAATCATGTTTGGAAGTTCCATGGTGAACCCGATGTTTAAAATGTCACCCTATTCACCTGTCTCCCTAACATTACCTTGAGGTCCCACCATGAGTAATTCTCACTGTGGTAAACTGCAACAGTGTCTCCCCTCGGTGCAGAGAGTGAATGCAGATGGGAAAGCGGGCCATCAGCAGGATCTCTATTACAAATATCTCTGTCACTGGGACGGCCTAAGAATAGGCCTAATGGCCTCATTCTCATTTGAGAGAAAAAACGTCTGAGAACCAAGCAAACCTAAGTGTCAAAAATCATTGTGCATTCATGCATTTTACACCAATAATACTGGCTATCAAAAGTTCTATTTCAAGAAAATTGTACAACTATTACATTACATTGATGATAACTTTTGAATGAAAATCCCTACCAGTCCATGCATTTTCTATTGTGGATTATTCTTTCTTATTGCCTTTTGAGTCTATTCCAAGCATGTACTGGTCACAAACTTGTTTTCTATCAATACAATAAGGTATTTAACTGCTAAAGATCAACTGAGTCAAGATAGCTTGACCAATATTTCTTTCAGTTATATAAACCCTCCTAAATTCCTGCCCACTGCAATAATACTGTACAATAAATCACCTCTGGCTGGAAGAGAACTCTCTGCTCCATAGTTTCTCTAGAAATAAAACCACGTTGTACATTTTACTCATATAATCTGTTCAATATTTATACTCCATATTCCATAATGTCATATATTTTGAATATATATTTGTATATATAATTTCAACATGTATATTTTCTATTTTATTTTATTTTTATTTCTATTCTTGTATATTTTGTAGTTTTGTTTTATTGTAAAATGCCTTTATGCTGCTGTAACAACAACACTTTCCCAATTTGGGATCAATAAAGTACTATATATCTATCTATCTATCTAAATGCAATACAATGCAACCTAGCACCTTTGACCAATCAGCACTTTGTTGGGCCACTCCTCTTGTGTGATTGCTCACCTGTGACTTCCTGCCAATTGCCCCAAAACCAGCAGTGTGAGACACTGTGGAGATTAAACATGAGTGTTGTGGTACTCAGAGCTGTGTTTCATGTCGTCTTGCAGGACTTCAGTTACTTGATATTCAGCCAAAGTTAAGGTGAGTCTTCCATCTTTTTGTTCCCATTAGTTTTTGTCATGTTTAGTCTTTAATGCTGATTTATGCAACAAATTAATTCTGAGCTTTAAAGGTCTTTTTTTAAAAGTCCATAACCATTGAGTGTTAAATGGTGCTTTTAAAACTGATGTTGCCATTTGTGTCCATTAGTGACAGTAATTTGCGGCCCTTGCTTGTGCTGAAGTGGTCTCCTGCAGTGATGTGTATGTGTGTTGTGTGCAGGGAGGAGGAGGATGAAGACTTAAGTATTCAATTGGAAGCTTTTGAAGAGGCAATGGCTGAAGATGAGGAGGAGCTGCTGCGGGTCTATGGGGGTATTGACATGAGTGATCACCTGGTGGTGTTCACTACTCTCTTTAACAAGGTAAGAGCAGACTGTCTCTCTGCTACTTGTTATAGTTGTTGCAAAAAGGATCTAATGTCTGAATAAACGGTTTCATCAGGTCTTTGTGGTGCTGGCACACATTGTTAGACTTAAATGTGTAAACAGGACATGCTGTCTTAATTTGTTTGTATGCATGTGCTGATGTGTGCAGGTTAGCAGCACCCCAGCCTCCATGCAGCTGCTGTCCATCCTGCAGGCGCTGCTGTTGCTCGGGCCGGACCACTCTGACATCTGGCAGGCTCTGGAGTCCATCACTAACAGAGCCATGCTGCTGGCCCAGGACTGTGAGTCAGCACTAAAGCAGCAATACATTCACTTTCAGGTCAGATCTCTGGAGAGGCTGATGGCTAGCTAATGGCCTCCTCAGCTATTCATGTGTGAAGGGGAGTGATTACCCAGGAAATGGATCATAGCAATGAAATACATGCAGATGTTGACTGGATGACTAAAAGCGTTTTGTTTTATAGAGAAGTACTGAAATTGGGTTCCTCTGTGTGTGTTTGGATTTGTGCCGCAGCTCATATGGAATCCTCTGAGAAGATCATGCAGCGGCTGCTGTTCTCCAAGGGCAAGAGCTGCAGGGGTCAGCACGAGCTGGACGGGCAGCTGGGGGGGGCGGATAAGGAGGTCCAGACTGACACAGATAGTGGGGATGAAGAGAAGTCAGAGAAAAGCTTAACATCTTCTCAGAAACCACTGTGTGCCTCTGCTCCACCTCCACCTCCACCTCCACCTCCTCTAACCCCAAGTATGCTCCAACCTTCTAACCAGTGCCCACCCCCTCCTCCACCACTACCTGGGGGGTTTGGTGGACCCCCACCACCTCCGCCTTTGCCTGGAATTCCACCACCACCGCCACTGCCTGGTGGTCTGGGTATGCCTCCTCCGCCACCTCCCTTACCTGGTATGGGTGGCGGCCCACCACCACCACCTCCATTACCTGGTATGGGTGGCGGCCCACCACCACCACCTCCATTACCTGGTATGGGTGGCGGCCCACCACCACCACCTCCATTACCTGGTATGGGTGGAGGCCCACCACCACCACCTCCATTACCTGGTATGGGTGGCGGCCCACCACCACCACCTCCATTACCTGGCATGCCAGCTCCTCCGCCTCCCCCCGGCATGATAGTGGCTCAGGGTAGTCAGTCCCTGGGGTCCGCTGCCCCCACCAAGGCACACCGATGCCCCACCCTGAGGATGAAAAAGCTCAACTGGCAGAAACTGCGTGCGGTTACGGGTGAGTGGATAAAACGTTCAGATGCTTCTGTAATTAGTCTTTTGAGGTCATGAGGGCAGCAGACCCTCGCTCAATCTGATTTAGGGACTGGTGTGGCGCAGTGGATGGAGCCTTGGTGTTGGGATCAGGGGGTCACAGGTTCAAACCCCACTGCAAGTGGGGTTTGAACCTGGGGCAAGACACTTCACCCCAAATTGCTCCTGTGGGGATTGCCCACAGTATTGAGTATGTAAGTCGCTTTGGATAAAAGCGTCTAACAAGTAACATGTAATGTAATTTAAAGAATGTGGTGTCACTTACATATCCTAAATCTCTTTTATCTTACATTTTTGCCTCATGTCAAGATCTGATATATTATCACAACTTTTAGAACATTTGTTGTGTTTTAAACAGAACAGCATTATGGGAAATGTGTGTGAAGCTTTTGATAGAACGCATATGAGTCCAGAATAGTTGATGGGGATGGAGCATTGATTTTAATGATTAGTCGATTGAACGAAACTAATGGTTATCTATTGTGATTACTGATTTATTTTGGAAAAATATATATATATATATATATATATATATATATATATAGATATATATATATATATATATATATAGAGATAGATAGATAGATAGAGATCATCACTACTGACTGAAAATGTTGGATAGACAAAAATGTGGGTGTTTTTGAGAGATGGCCCGTTACTTTTAGATTAGCCATGGTAGGATGTTGATACAAAATGGAACCACATGAGCTCATTACAGCTTCCTCTCTTCCTGCACACACACACAGATGGTCACTCCATGTGGGCCACGGTTCAGGGTGAGCCTTCTTCTCAGGAGCCGAACTACAGCAGTATCGAGCAGCTGTTCAGTTTCCCGGTGACCGAGAACAAAGACAAGGGGGCAGCTGCTCCTGTCAAGAAGGAGCCTAAAGAGGTGTGCTTGGTCAATACTCGACACGGCTCGAAACAACAAACGCCAGATTATCAAAGCTGAATAATCAATATTCCTTTTTAACTTGTCTTTTCTTTCCCATCAGATAACATTCATTGATCCAAAGAAAAACTTGAATTTGAACATATTCCTAAAGCAGTTCAAATGGTAAGATTTTACATGTTTTGGAGTTTTTTTTAAATGCATAATATTTCATATAAAATACAATATTTGTAATCTTCTTTGTCCAGCAAAAATGAGGACTTTGTAGCCATGATTCAGAATGGGGACCGTACTAAGTTTGACGTAGAGGTGCTGAAACAGCTTGTGAAGCTCCTACCAGAGAGGCATGAGGTTTGTACTCTTTATCTATTCTCCATCCTTACCTAGAGACTTGTTTGCACCTGTTTTTGCAAACCTGTCTGAATCACTGTCTTGATCTTTCACACAGATTGAAAATTTGAAGTCCTTTCAAGGAGAAAAAGAAAAGTTGGCAAATGTCGACCGGTTCTACACCTCCCTTCTCACTGTTCCCTGGTAATTATTTGTCACGCCAGTTCTGATTTCACTGCTGATAAAGTGCATGCTTGATATTTCATAACTTGGCTCCTTGTTTGCTTTGCTTTCTGGCTCCTTTCCCCAGTTATCAGTTGCGGATTGAGTGCATGTTGTTGTGTGAGGAGACTTCATCAGTGTTGGATATGCTCAAACCTAGAGCCAAGCTGGTGGCGGAGGCCTGCCAGTGTAAGTAAACCCAAGGCCCTTCACAGCTTGTAACATGCATGTAGTGGTCATTCTATTTCAAGATGTAATTTCCCTATTTTCAAATTAACACCATGTAACCGATATCTTAGCTATCAGAACTAGCACGCTCATGCCCAGTTTCTGCAAGCTCATCCTGGACGTTGGGAATTTTCTCAATTATGTAAGAAGCTTTTTTTTTTTTAATACATTTTATTTAAGCTTATATTTAGACGGAGCTTTCATTTTTTCATTCATCCATCTACTTTCAGGGAAGTCACACGGGGAACGCTGCAGGGTTCAAGATCAGCTCTCTGCTCAAACTCACAGAGACCAAGGCCAACAAGAGCCGCATTACGCTGCTTCATCACATCCTGGAGGTACACAAATTAGCTCACAGCTAACGTTTTTTTAACTCAGTTGGGCTCTTGTTTGATTGCTTACTTCATGTTTGTTTTCTTTGGCAAAGGAAGCAGAGGAGAACCACCCAGAGCTGTTGGCGCTGCCAGATGATATAGAGATCTGTGAAAAAGCAGCAGGGTATGTCAACCTTTCACTTCTACTTTCGCTGAGGTTTTTCCTTTTTTTCTTGAAATTGCTCCTAAGTGGATTTGATACTTTATCCACAGAATTAGTCTGGAATCTGTTCAGTCAGAAGCCAGTGCCTTACTAAAACGACTGAACGAGACGGCTAAGAAGGTCTCCACCTCTGACGAAGAGGTGAAGGAGCAATACGGAAACATTCTTCAGGTATGATCATTATTTTTTCTTTGCCTACAAATGGAGCCAAATGTGATAACTTGTGGAAGCTGTTCATATAACTCTATCCATGTCCTCTGCTGCAGGAAAGTCTGGAGGCATGTCAGGACTTGACCGAAACATTAACGGAGACTGAGAAGACAAAGAGTGAGCTGGCTGTCTACTTATGTGAAGATGTCAGCCAGCTGTCGCTTGAGGAACTCTTCGGAACCATAAAAACTTTCCGAGGACTTTTCCTCAAGGCACTAAAGGTCAGAGAAGATACTTTGTTGATGATGTTGATGATATGACTCTCTGTGATTAAACCCTTATAGTCGTTTAAACACTGAATGTTTTCGTTGTGTAGTTTTAAAACCAGTTCCCAGTCAAGCCTTCCTCTTGGATAAGTGGGGAGTGTTTTCTTTGGAATGAGGGTATCAACATACTGGGGGAATAAATTGAAAATGTTCATATTACTCTGTCCAAATTATACAAAGACAAATCGCTAAGTGACAAATCCTCACTTTCATGATAACAGGAAAACAAATCCAGACGAGAGCTGGCAGCCAAGGCTGAGAAGAGGAAGAAGCAGCAGCTGGCAGATGAAGAGTCCAAGAGACAGAAAGGAGAGAATGGAAAAATCAGTAAGTTGTGAAGAGGCCTGCTTTCTTTCACTGTGTACTACAAAATACCTTGAGTAAAGCCTTCTTTTTACCTCTCTGTTACCAGTCAAGAAAGGCTTTGTGCCGCAGGACGACGGCTGCATCGTCGATCACCTCCTGGCGGATATCCGAAAAGGTTTCAGCCTCAGAAAGACCAGGCCAAGGTGCGATTCGGAAAGCCTCCCTTCTAGTGAAATTCGTAGGGATACCCTCCCATCTGGTAAGGACAAGAGATTGTGGCCTCCATCCACAGTTCCTAGCTCCGCTCCCGAGCCACTTTACTGCGAGCCACAACACAGCCTTGCCGCTTTACCTTTGCTTTTTATTTGCGCTTTCTTCCACCTTGATAAGCTATAGCTCCTTCGATTAGTTGCTTTGTCGAGCTATATTAGCGGTTGTTTGCATGGAGAGCATTTTATTTTCATGCAGCGTTTGCACATATTACGACATCACCACATTTATAAGATAATATTGTTTTTAAGCTTCACCATCAAATACTGCTCACTTCTCCCTCTCAGGATCAAGTGTGAAGCCTGTCGAAGAAAAAGCCGCAGAACTAGCCGTCACCTTCGCTCCCTCCAAACCTCCGCCAGAGGGTCCACGGGCCGAGACGGGCGGAGTGAACGGCTTCCTCAGCCCGTCAGAAGAGACTCCTCCAGCACCTCAGGGTGCAATTCAAGACAGACCAGCTCCACCTCCCAAGGCACCCCCAGGAGCAGCCATGATGAAGCAGGCACCCCCGGTAAGACCTGCGGCGCTGCAGGGTGGGCTACAGCCACAGGGACCCGCAGTGTCTTCACCAGATACGATGCAGCCTCAGCCTCAGCCTCAGCCTCAGGTTGAAGCGGAACATCAACCATGTTTACCCACAAATGGCTTCTCACCGGATTCCTCCGAGGCTAGCGTCCTCAGCCCGACTTCCCTCTCCGATTCTGACCTGCTAGAAGCTGTGTTGAATGGCACGTCCAGCCTGGCGTCTGAGAAGACGATTCCCGAAGAGCCAGTGGATGTTAAAGTAGATATTCATATGAAAGAAGTTCCTTTACCGAATGCTAACAATGTGCCGAGTAGTGAGAGAAACACAACGGGAGATGAAGAAGGAGAAATTAGTAATGAAATAAGCCATTTAGCAGAGACTGTAGGACAAGAGAAGGGGCGAGAAGAGAGGAAGTGCATTATTGTGAAAACGTCCGTGACTACACTCAGTGAGGGCATCGAGGGCTTTGATGTTCCCGATGGACTGGTGTCACCAGATCTGCCGTCAGTGTCTGAAGCACTGCCTCCATCCCCTAAGCCCGAGCCAAAGAGAAAGAGGAGCCTCTATAAACAAAACAAAAAGAATCCAGGTAACCTCTCCATTACATTTAATAAAGCGCATGTTGGGAACGCTAGTCTCTTGATGCCTATTAAAGGGAAATTCATATTTTTTATGTTATTGCTTTTAACATTTTTTATTTTATGTATGTGCTATTATACTGTGTATTCATAAGCATTTTATTAAAGACTATGTGTGCAAGAAATGTTGCAGATTAATATTAAATGGATTTGAATCTATCGCCAGGTTGTTTTTAATGCTCGGTTTTCCATTCTGAAACACAAATGTATTTTTTTTTATTATTTTTTTTAGTCTTTGAATATGTATTGTACAATGCCTTGTCTTTTTATGCTGCTGCTGCAACACAAACATTTCCCAAATTGGGATCAATAAAGTACCATCTTATCTTATCTTATCTTAAGGTAACAGGGAGAAAGGACACACTAAACATAAAAAAGGCTGTGTGTTGCAGTGAGGTAGGTCAAATCGATGGGATGGCAAACTGTAAGCAGAAACATCATCCTAATGAAAACACTCGCCGTCGAAACGTTGTCCCAAATAACACGTCATTTGTTGGTCTAACTGGAATCTGGATTTCATTTTTCTCTGTTGTTCAGCTTTTAACACCGGCTCTCTCTTTAACACTTTTACAATTCAGTTATCAAGCAAGAATCATGTGGGTAATTCTAACAATCATAACTCACAAACTAAACCAAAAAGTTCAATTTTGTACAGAAAGTAATCCTCTTTATTATTGAATTTTAGCATCAGTTTTCTGATTTCAAACCACCTTGCAGTGTGTGACGTCATAGTGGACTGAGTTACTTCATGAAAGCTGCCACTTTGTGTCTATCCTTCCATATTTTCTTGTCCATTCCTCAAATCTGCAACTGGGATTGTTCAACATACTAACGTGTTCTGGTGTGCTTCCTGTAATGTGTGCTTTGTGAATTGGCTTTTTATGATGGTTGCTGTATGTAAATGCATAAAAAATGTTTTTGCCACTTTAAAAAAAAAGAAAGAAATATTTAACATTTTTAAAGCAATAGGCTTGTTTTTTGCCAGGTGTATTTTAAAGCAATATTTGTATCCCCCTTGTAAATATAAACATTTTATTAAAGCTTTTTAATTGGATATATTTTGATTCCATTTACTAATTTTAGTCTTTGTTTCCATAGGTTACTCCAGAAAAAGAAAATGGAGAGGAAAATGTTAATATCGCACAGGAGTTGTGAACTGGAAGGACTACAATACTATTAGTTTGTGAGACTACATGAGCATTGACTCCTTGAAGAGGATGCAGAAGTCTTCCTTTTGCAATGATTTGTTTTACATGACCAAGAAGAGTAAACGCGTCTTAAGGCTGGGATTTCCAAATGTCTCTCTATGTAAATTAGTTGTGGAATTTGTGTTAGAGTGTTTTTGATTCTGATCTATTGAAAAAAAGTGGCTTTATATGTTTTGTACAATTGTTGTAATATGAAGTGAATGTGTTTTTGCATTACGCTCTATTACCTTTTCAGCCCCTTAGAAAGAAAGATGCAGTGTTGTTGGTGCAAGATATGTAATTTAACTAATCAAAACAAAACTTTTTGAATGTCTTAATTGCTATGTATATTATCCAGATGATCTCTAACAGGAAAATATAAGGATATTTAATGGATTGTGAATTTAATTGTTAAATATATTTTAATAAAAGTGAATTTACTGTTCATCTGTTTGTGTTGAATATAGTCTTATAAGAATACACTGGACAAGACACACCTCTTTTTTATTTATCATAGTGTTTTTATTTTATAGTATTTTTTTAAATGATTCAGCAGTTCTTGTTCTATTAGTACACTGGAAATGTAGGACACTTGTTGGGGGGATTTTAGTGCTTGTATTTTATATCTTTATGAAAATGTAGCAGTGTCATTTCCTTTCAATATTTCGCATATCATATTACCTTATGACTCAAAATCAATGCAGAACTGTACTGTTTGACTGCACTCGACAAGTAGGACACGTCCTATAGTATTTGGATGCTTTTTCTGTTTTATATGAACTTTATGAAACTCAGCGGTTTCCAATTGAAAAGCTTAATTTCAATTGCTTCCATTTCCTGTCAAATTATGACTACAAATACATGCAAAATGGTTATTCTACACATGACAAGATCACAACTCTTTACAGAGTTATAGTTTTCTTTCGATTGTATTTGACTAAATTGCCCATTTCTAAACAGATGCTATAGAACAGGGGTACTCAAACTTTTTTATTAAAGGTCCACTTGTGAACTAACTTTATACAAGGTCACTGGTCCGGATCGGTAAAGTCACCCCCCCCCCCCCCCCCCCCCCCCCCCCCCCCCCCCCCCCCCCCCCCCCCCCCGGAGCGGAGCAACGAAACTGAAATTAAGAAAATGTTTCTTACGGCGCTCTATGCATGGGGCCCCCTTGAGGGGTTTTCCCGACATGTCGTTTCAGTAAATTAAAGGGTGTTTCATGTTGTCGTTGCTGTGGACCTTCTTAATCTACCTTCTTTTGGGGCCCCCTTCTGGTCCAAGCACTTGCCTGCCTTGCCTGTCGGCAAACGGCGCCCCTGTAATATACACACACACATTCAATACATACATACAGTATGATGGCTTGAACTAGTGGGAGAAATGGCACTGTTTGTCTGTAGCCAATGCCTTGAACCTCGGCAAAAAAGGCATTAGAAGCATTAGAAAGTCAAGGTAAACTTGCGGTTAACTTGCGGTCTGCAATGCGTGTCACGCTCGCGCACACAAGTACATATATATGCACGTTCATTCTCACAATGCGTCAGACACAAGACGCGCGTACACAATGATGTACATTAATTTATCAGAATCAGAATTCCTTTTTTTTTTTTTTTTTTTTTATTCTTTTTTTTTTTTTTTTATAATGGGACACAGGGTTCGGTCCGGATTGATTTGCAGTTCGGTCCGGATCCGGACCCTGGTCCGGAGTTTGAGAAGCCCTGCTATAGAAGAAGCCCTCAAATACAATAAAGAGGTGTGTCCTATTTGTATTCTATATATATATAATATAATAACTCTAATGTTCTCTAAGAAAAAACCTGTTGTGGTTAGCTCTCATTGCTGGCCCATGGTGAGCTAACCATTCACTGACTGCATACAGTAGGCTGAACTGAAGCTATGTAGTGAATATCCATAAAGTATCAAACAGAACAAACTAATTTTTTCTAACCCATTCTCAAAGTTGACGCAAATATAATCAATAATAAAGCCCTCATGTGCAGGCTGCATAAAAACATGTTATAAATGTTTTTTAATAGGTGAATCCACTTCCATTCATCCCCTGTGCTGTGTTGAGGCTATTTTGTCGTTGCAGCCCTGGAGACTGTCGCTGCCACGCACTGCGTCTGCCTCTGACATCACCGGCTATGAAGTTACACATATGGGAATGCCACTCTTGGAGACAGCTTAGTCTTCTTGAGACCGGCAGGCCCTCGCTACCACCGTCATGTCGCTAAACTGGTCGGCGAAAGACCACAAAAACATGAGTCAAGCCGCCGCGACCGGACACAAGCGTTCGCGCAACGACACGGGGAACAAAGCGACGGTGGTGCTCGGTGCGCAATGGGGAGACGAGGGCAAAGGGAAGGTGGTCGATTTGCTGGCGACTGAAGCTGACCTCGTCTGCAGATGTCAGGTAAATGCCTCTTTGATTCGTGATTTCGTGATAAGCCTTAGCAGGGGCGTGTCAATGTATTATCACTGTAAGACATTTTCATTTAAAATGACATGCTGTCACTAACTTGCAACCTGTTAAAGCGCAACAGATGCAAAAACACTGGTTCCTCTGTGATATGGGAAATGTTTTAGAGAATAATTGAAGCCATAGCAGGTAACCTTATTGACTATTACAATAAACCATATTGAGACTGTGCTGTGGTTTCATAATTGCACTAAGTGACTTAAGAACTAGGGAACTGTCTGTGGCCATAACACGTAGATTTCAAAGTATTATATATATCCAAATTAGTTTTGGCATTTGTAAACTCAGTTATTTATCATTTTTAGCACATGTAAATATCTATCAAGTTGAATTCACTCCACCTTGTGTACAGTTGCTCTGACTGTCTCATTCACTTGATCACAAAGAGATTGAATTTGAGATGCCATCATGTCCTAATAAAACAACTTCACCAGGTCACATAGTAATCATAACCCTGTAAACAGAAATCAAAGGTCACTCATGCATTGGCAAACAAGGGGAAATCTGCCAACAGTTGCTGTGTTGTACTTTCTCCACTGATAGGAACAGCACCCTGTGTTCTGGAGGCTTGATAGCCCCACCCAATGGGCGAGAGAGAGGTCACATTCTCAGGGTGGCTTGATATGTGAGAAGGCCAGGATTTAGCCAGGGGGAACTTAGAGCAGTTGGATCCACCAACAACAGCCAAGTCTGTTAAAATAGGTGCTGGGAAAGAGAACTGGCAAGAGGGTGGCTTATCACCGTCTCAAGAAAATAAGACGAGACGTGTGTATGTGGCTGGATTTTCTGTGGGGGTCCTGGGTGTTAACGCCATACTGTATTTGATTAGATCCTCTTCTTAACATTGACAGTATTCAGTATCACACCATGATACAGTGTGTACCCTGCATTTATTTATAGGGTGGCAACAATGCAGGACACACGGTGGTGGTGGACGGCAAGGAGTACGACTTCCACCTTCTCCCCAGTGGAATTATCAACACCAAAAGCATATCACTCATCGGTAATGGCTTTATATATTCAGCTCTTTTGAGACAGCATTGTTAAAAATATTATTGTCTTCATATTCCTGTCCTCTTCTTTTAGGCAATGGAGTGGTCATTCATCTACCCGGCCTGTTTGAGGAAGGCGATAAAAATGACAAGAAAGGTATTTTAAAAGGAAATGCAATTCGCACATAATGCACTAGTGTAAATTCAGACTAGTGTATACTCACATAAAAGTCACTTCTATTCTCTTACCAGGTCTGAAAGGCTGGGAGAAGAGACTTATTGTCTCAGACAGAGCTCACATTGGTAGGTACAGTATGTCATGGAGGTTTACATTATTCAAATAAGCATGAATCATATTTCATTGGGACTTTTTAATGACTTGTCTGCTGTCCCTCCCCAGTGTTTGATTTCCACCAGGTTGTTGATGGCATACAGGAAACTGAAAGACAAGCAACAGAAGGAAAGAAGTAAGAATAGGGGAGAACTGCCGACATTTTGGCCAAAGATAATCTGCCATAGTACACCACAATCAGAATAAGCAATATTAATTCCATTCATTTTTACACAACTTCCTGTTCCATAATAACAGCATTGGAACAACCAAGAAGGGCATTGGACCTGCATACTCCAGCAAAGCATCTCGCACCGGCCTGCGCGTATGTGACCTCCTGGGAGACTTTAAGGACTTCTCCATGAGGTATGTTACAAGGGAAACTTCCAAAAACACCAAGACCAATACTGTAATTGTGACATGTTTGACGATTTTGTTTCCTTTCAGATTTAAGAACCTCGTCCACCAGCATCAATCCATGTATCCATCCTTGAAAGTTGACATTGAGGACCAACTGAAAAAACTCAAGGTAGACATTGAAGCTAAATACTCCAAAAGAGATAAGTCATCGTCATTCCTTCCATTAACGAAAACGTTTATGTTTCCTTCTTTACTGTAGGAATACGGTGAGAGATTGCGGCCGATGGTGAGAGACGGGGTCTATTACATGTATGAAGCTCTTCACGGATCCCCAAAGAAGATTTTGGTTGAAGGGGCGAACGCTGCGCTCCTCGACATTGACTTTGGTAGGGTCAGAAGATTGTAGTTTATGTTATTTGTAGCTTTTTGAAATGTGTTTTTCCAGTGGATCTGAGTTAGTGAAATAGAGAATTTTTTCTCTAAGGCACATATCCTTTTGTGACATCATCAAACTGCACTGTGGGCGGGGCTTGCACTGGTCTTGGCATCCCTCCGCTGAATATTGGGGATGTGTACGGTGTATCAAAGGCCTACACCACTAGAGTGGGAATCGGAGCATTCCCCACCGAACAACTCAATGTAAGAGCTCCATGTTGCACAGGGAAGTCTGTAGAACTACTGGGTTAGATGTTCTCACATGTCTGTGCTTTCTTGGCCTTCATATTGTATGAATAGACACATGGCATGTTATGTATCTCCCTGATATTGAGCTTGACATTTACAGTTTGTTTGTGGCTGACATACAGATAGCAGGGCTGGTGGAGGGGCCCGCACTGGCAGAGTGCAGCTGTCAAATTGTGTGAGAGACGGGCTCAAACGCTCTTTACATGCAGGCCAAATGTTCATAGGGATAAATTTAGGGCCAAAGATATATTTACTGCTTGAGCTCGGATAATATTACTTGTCACGGGAGCTGACCGTACAGACATAGGTCAAGAAGATTAAACGTACTCTCCCCAGCCTGTGTGAAGTTTTATTGTACTTAGCTGTGTTTGTAACTTGTGTAAAGAATTATTACATGCCTGACATGGTTTCAGTTCATTATTATTAAAGTCATGTTTATTTTTCCTGTTCGTCGTACTGTAGGCAGAAGGAGAACTCCTGCAGACGAGGGGGCGCGAGGTGGGTGTGACCACAGGAAGGAAGCGGCGTTGCGGCTGGTTGGATCTTGTGATCGTCAGATACGCTCACATGATCAATGGCTTCAGCGCGTGAGTGGCTAGAAAAGTTTAGCCAAATCAGCAGTTTTTTTGGCTGTTGTGTTCGAATATTGAAGCAGATTTACCATACATGAGCACATTTTGATTACTCCTGCATAATCATATCATAGTAATAATAAACGGCACATTTCAAACATTTTTCCTATTGCTTGTCACCTGTCCAACAGCATTGCTTTGACAAAACTTGACATTCTGGACGTGCTGGATGAAATTAAAGTGGGAGTCGCCTACAAACTCAATGGAAAAAGAATTCCGCATTTCCCAGGTAATTTAACAAAATAAACCATTTATAGAATAAGAACCAGAGACCAATCTGCTTTGTTAATGACATGAATCATGTATGTAAATATTAATAGTAATTGATCTCTTTTAATCATAGCGAACATGGACGTTTTGCAAAAAGTGGAGGTTGAGTATGAGACTTTCCCTGGGTGGAAGACGGACACGTCTGCAGCCAGGAAGTGGAACGACCTCCCGGCCAAGGCACAGAACTACATCCGCTTCATTGAAAACCACATTGGAGTTCCCAGTATGTTTCACACAAATTAACAAACTTGCATATCTTCTTTTTTTCTTTGCAGAGCACACTCATAAATATTAAAGAATGGAGAAAAGTATTGGCAACACAACCCCCGAAGGCCCCAAGATTAAATAAATACTAATGCAGAAACTGCATAATATCTGTTAGGTGGCACTGTTAGACATTCCCAACATGTTTATTATTGGCTTTTACAATTTCTCCTCTTTCTTTCTATTTCTTTTTCTCTCTTTAGTCAAGTGGGTTGGTGTTGGAAAGTCCAGGGAGTGCATGATCCAGATGTTCTGAAGTGGAAACCTGTATCCCCTTTGATGGAAGCAAAGAAGATGTGGCATCTTTTCATCAACTAAACTGATTTTCTCCTCATTAGTCAATAAAAAAACATTGTTTAAACTGTTTCTTCTTCAAATATTACAATTGCATTTATTTATAATGTATGTGTCAATGTATTGCTGTACTGGCAATTTAATAAGTACAAATGTTTTTTTAAATAGAAATCATTGGAATATAATAAACATGATAACTCGATGCAAAAGTCCATAAACCATACACTGTAAGAGTTGTATGTATTATGATAGTGTTGATGATTAAGCCGGTTAATTAAATGAATGAAATATCATACACTAATTTAAGCCATTACTTGATGGAAATATATACATTTTTCACACTTTTGTTTTCCTTAAAAAGTTATTCATCTTGTCTTCAGTTGACACACTGTTAATGGCAGTGCTTTTAAACCCAAGTGTTCTACCAATGTCCATTTCTTCATTTTTGAAGTTTAGTTAAGAAAAGTATAGAAAATCCAACATTATCCTCCACCCGTAAAGGCAGCACATTGTGGATTGCCACGTGACACCAGAACCGTGTCGTGATTGGCTCTGAGCTTTCACGTGACAATAAAGGGTGGGCGTTATTGGCTTGTTGACGTCTCAGTCGCAGTTTTCCCGCAACAAACATTTTGCAGTCTGTAGTACCACGGTGGGACTTTTTCGCTGAGAAAATGACAAAACGAGCTTGTCCTTTCCCGGAAACCTTCTCATCCCAATACAAAATACACGTCGGACAACAGGAGCTGAATAATTATAGCGTGTTTGGCAACAAATACAGACAGGAAATCTACTGTAAGTACATCCCTGTGTTGTTAGCTAATGCTAGCTCACTCGTTGCGCTTATTGGCTTGTGTAAGTTTGCTGTGTTTGGATACAATCAAAACACCCAAATAACAATGGAACAATCGCGTTATTCACCTTTTGTGCATTTGTGAAACTTACTATAGCGATTAAACAACGCATTTATACTTTAGAACATGATATTCATCGTTTAGTAGACTCTGAACTCATAACATTGCTGTCCGACTGAATCACTTGTGCCATACACACCAGCTTCCTGTGCCCTGGGGCTGTCAGGAGTTATTTGGGGGTAATTGCACGAGTTAATGGTCTGTTTTTACTCATAGCAAAGACAAAGAACTTGCTCTTCAACGGTGCCAAGGCTGTGATGGGCAAAATCTGGACTGGAGAGGAGAGCAGCACCAACCCACAGCCTAATGGACAGGCTGAGACACCTGCATGCAGCCAGACACTGCTGAGAGGACAGACTCTGATTGGACAAGATGGGAGACTCACCAGAGTCAACTCTGCACAAGGTGAGCCAATCTCACAAGCAGGTAGGAGGATGGATACACATTAGGTACTTTTTGAACAAAATATGTTGTCAGAACAAGAAATGGTGAAAGACAACATGACGTGTCTTCTCTGTCAACAGGATCTGATAGTGTTTATAAAAACATTTGTCATGTGTGTCCCCTTGTCAACAGGCAGTAGCCAGCCCAGAAATGTAGCCATTTTCTTTTTTATTGATATTGTCTTTACTCAATACTTGATTCTATAATGACATGTAGTTATAGCCTCCTCCATGCCACACACACACACACACAAATACTGGGAATGAGACTGGTATGGTTATTTACAAAGCCCCTCTAACCCCCAGAACACATATGACGGGGCAGACTAGTCACTGAAAAGGAGAACCACGGTGGGATTAAAACTAAAATAGTAGGCCAAATCCAAATGTTTGAGAACAGCGACATCTCCTGATGTACACAGGGAAGTAGCCTGGTCCTCCAAAGCATGCTGCCAAAATAAAGTGAATCCTTTGGAGTCTCTGAAGCACTCACTGATTTTGTTCTTCCTTCAAACAAGACCTCACAAAGTCCAAAACTGCATTTTTGCTGTCCTCATAAAGTTATACCCTTGTTGAAATGATCAACTATGTAAAGTAGTTGTACCTGCCCTCAAACGGCTTGCAAAGTGGAAATCCCAGAGGTGGATAGAGGACAAATATCATTACACCTGAGCAGAAACACTGTCTGGGGAAGCAAAAATAAAGGGCATTACATACTTAAAAGGCTTTGATTTTAGAAGAAACTAGATTATGATTTCATCCCGGCAAGTATGAGCAGAAGGTAAGATTACTATTCCATGACATTTCATTGGGGCATAAAGGTGTGGTAGTATTGTTTTAAAGATTGGTTCACACTTTTTAGTCCTTCCTTTAAAGACCATCCAACTAATGCGAGATGTGTGGCAACATGTTAATTTATTGGGTAATAAATATCAAAAGAACAATACATTTGAGGGCAGCAAAGCACATCATTTTTAATGCATTTTTTTTTTGTTGCATTAACCCTCAACCAAGAAGAATCATTACTCTATTTCAAAGAGAGGGGCTTTTTTTTAAATGGGCCACAGTACAATAAATCAATTGACTCCAGGTGAAAAGCTGAGGTTAGTTCAGTTCAAGCTTCCACCAGCAGATGGCAGGGTTGTCACAGGTTTTGATTCTCAGTTTAGCTACTGAATGCTCATTTCTTATCCACTGTGTTCTTTTTGTCTAGACGGCCCAGTGGCTCCCACCGGCTGCTGTGTGTGCCAGAAGAGCCAGGGGTCCCGGACCCCGTGCTCCCAGTGTGAGCGTCTCTCCTGCTCCTCCTGTACTCGACAGTGCTCCAGCTGCTCCAGCCTCTGCTGCTCCGTCTGCACCATCATAGAGTAAGTCCAAACTTCACAAATGTTCTTTTCACTCAGATTCTGAAAAGACTTTGATGCAAAATATACATTTCTAAGAAGTGTTTGCTGCTCGTATTATGGAGTATTGTCTAAGCTGCAGACTGTAAATTGTGTACATCAATGTCACTGGACCAATAAAGTTCCAACAGATTTATGAGAAAATCAGTCGGTTAAATATCAGTTTTGATTACAGTTATAGCTATAAAAGTGAATTTGCTCGACTGTAAGACATCAAAAAGCAACTGAAGCAGGAAAATAGCTGTTTATTCATCTTTCAATCTTAAAAAACCAAACAAGGCACTTTTAGAGCCACTATTCAATCCAAGAGGACGTGAGTATTTGATGCTAAGAAGAATTCCCAAGGAAATTTGGTAGGGTCCTCGGGACAAGTTTTTTTTTTCTTGGCAAAAAAAGCTGTCTGTTTTATAGAATAGTTTCTATTCAGTTACTAGTGTCTGACAAACTCATCGTCATCAGTTAAAATGTAAGACTTTTTCACCATTGAATTGAACGCAGTTTTCAACATGTTTGTCTTCCTAGACATAGTTTGACTTGCACATCATATTTTGGGTATATAGTCGAGTTGGTAAAACCTCTTTTATTCAGAGTTTTATTAAGTCCACCTTGTGCCTTAAACAAACTCAAACCAGACCTAATGGATAATGTGTTTTTGACGCATTTTTGCACAATAATTCTAATTATTTTCTTTTTGTTCCACAGTTACAGCGGGCAATACGATGAAGTACTTTGCTGCAGTTGCTCGACGTAATGGACGAGGGGTCGGGAGTTTTTTCTTGAACATATTAAGTTGCCTCATGATATTACTAAGACTGCATTTTAAACTTGTGATTTTTATTTGTGATCCAAATCTTTACTTGTATATATGTATTGTATTCCAAAAGTAACCGAAATAAACTTGAAACTATTTTCTATACAGTTTAATGTTGTGATCTGTTCAGCGCATCATTAATACAGTCACATTATGTATTTTGATACATTTTAAAAAGGACACTGTAAGGTAATTGTTGAATAATGCAGGCATCAAAAATGGATGTCTGAGCAAAAATCAGCCAATTAGCTTTAAGGTTAGCCGCCTGCCTTCATGTGTTTAGATGCATCAGCAGGTGGCAGCACACTTCAAGGACTCAGCTGAGGGATGACTTCCTCTCAGACTGAGCCATATTCAGGGGAACACAAACCCTGCTAACCTATTGGATGAGCACATTTCCCTACTATATTTTAAGAAGCACAACCTTTTATTTGAAGAATTAAAGTTTTGCCTTAGCAATGATAATGAAATTCCAGTCCAGTCTGTGCACACTGACCTTGAGCATCTGCTATCAAATGTGTTTATTAAAACAATAAGACCCAGAGGTTGAACACACACTTTGGCAGCGGTTTCCCCTTCTGGACGTGACCTTGGGCTTCAGTCATCACTCATTTGGCGGGGGCTCGTCACTGATGTCGACTGGTATTGTTACATAGTGAGTAATTGTTCTTGGTGGCAGAAGTCCTGAACACCGCTTTTATAGAAAATCAATCACATGGTATGGCGTTATAGATATTAGCGTGGATGAGTGCACTTCCTGGAGCTTACTGCCTGTGAGCGTTGAGTCACATCCCCCGGCTCAGCGGGCCAGTTGTGGCTCCGCTCTCTGGGGAGCTGCAGTTGGTGTTGGAGGACACTGCCTGATTTCTGGCACAATGAACTGACAGCTGCTGGCAGGCAGAGCGTCAAGTCGTCTGAGCATTTCTTGATAAGGCTTTAAGGAACTCGATTATTAATATTTAAGTTTATTTTAATTTAAGATAAAACAATCTGTCTCATTGAACCAACATAGATGTCCATAGCTCTATAGCTGGATATGTGTTTCCGACCGTAAATATTCTTATTTGATTTGGGTCCGGTCTGAAACTTTCCAACAAAGTGTGTTTACTTATTGTGAAATTACAAGTGAAGTTTAAAAAATCGAATAATTTGTCTGACTAAATCCAGATTTTAAAGATGCTCAGCCTCATAACTTTCGATGACGTAGTGCTAAGACATTATTATGGTTGCAAAAGAAAAAATATATTCATCTATTTTCTCTCCTACAATGTCAAAGCGAGCATCCCACTTCTTCCTTTTTCATTTGTTTTGATCATTTACCGACATCACTGACTCTTAAATATCCAAAGTCCTGTTATGTCCTCTAAAATGGACTGTCCTTATCAGTTATTTCAACCATTTCCTGTGGTCTGGTTAGTGTATTCTTTGTACTCTGTTCTTCACAGTTTAATCTAAGTGTTGGCCTCGTGCTCATAGAACAAAATAAATGGTGATACAGTAGGTCTGCCTTGTCTTATATATCCTAAAAATATGAAACATTAATAAGTAAGAAGAGTTCACATGGACTGAAATCCCTTCTTTAATGTCTTGTCTGTCCTCCACAACATTCATTGTGAACTTATTAAAGGGTGGGATGCTGATGCTCCCCTCCCCTCCCTGCTCTCTGTTAACCCCATAATGATGTGTTTATGCACCTTCAAAACAACACAGTGCAGCTGTCAAGGTTTTCAGCACATCCCCATCCGTGACATTCAAAGAAAATAGTCCCGTGTGCTCCCCCACACGAAGGGGTCCTCATCTTCGCCCTGGTACATCTATGGGCCTGGGATGTCTGTGTGGATGGGGGGGGGGCCACATAGTCACCCACGGCGCTCCAGACAGGACCAACTGCAGTCGGCCAGCGGGAGCACGTGGCTTTGTCTTTCACCCATTCTTCTGGGGACCAGCTGTGGTCTGAGTGTGATGCTGCTGCTATAAATATGCGTCAACGAGTGTGAGTAAGTGACAGCTGTACAGTGGACCAAGGACACACTGTCTTGGCACTGTCAGGGCGAGCCACTCCAAAAAAGGCAAACCCAGTGTGAGAGCACTAGTTGATATGTATTTATGCACTTGTAGCAATTGATGTGTGCTATACACAGCTCAGATCGCAGCTTTAGATGGTGGTAAAGTTTAAAAGCTGCTTCAAATGTAGATGACACCAGACTATTATGTTATCAATTGAGATTTCTTCTTCTATATTCCTATTGGGGTGGGGGGGGTTGTGTTTTCTGAAAGTCAAAAGAATTGCTCCTCTCAAAATTAAGTGGATGATAACCATATGCATGCGTGTTGATACGGAGAGAGAAAAAGAAAACCACCCGTGTTTATGTGTGTGTGTGTGTATGCATTGTCTGCACACAGGCGCATGTGTGTCTGTGTTTGTGTGCCCTTTTCAAGTGTGACCACCTGTCTTTTGTTAAGAAATAAATAAATAAACACAGGCCACACCAGCTGTCCCTGGCAGTCCGTCCCCTCAGAGGTCAAGGGCTCCCACCGCTGGCCTTGTTGAGCTGGTGGACACTTACAACTTTCCTCTTAACTTCTCTCAAGCACCTCTAAACACACACACAAACACACACACACACAAACACACTCAGAGCCAAATGAGCCGGGCTTTGAGCCTCGGAGAGGAATGTTTTATTACACCATCGAGTTACGTTGCACATATCCCAGCTCGTCGCCCTGCAGCTAAGCCCTATCACATGGCCCCCCGCCTTCCATGTGAGGGTTTGGGTCTATAAGAAAAGCACCAGGCAGTCTAAGCCCTGGATCCCGTCAGGCAGATGTGAGGTGTTGGTGCCAGCGAGCGCTCTGAGGCCTGCTGCTGTGGATGTTTAGGTGGCCGCAGCCGTGCTCAGGGCCCTTATTTACTGGGAGCTGGCTGGGGCTGCTCGGGGTGTTTATGAATGATCTTGGGAGGACATTGTTTTCTTTATGTAGGAGCTGCCTGGGCTAGCGCCGCTGTGTCGTCTGTTTGTGCATAAAGTACGTGCTGGGGAGCCGCGCCAGACAATGGCCTGGCTGAGCTACTACCCATGCACACAATAGAGTGGAGGGATGAGGCCGAGGTTTGGGGGCCGTGGTTTTGGGGGGGCTGTGGGGGTGGAGGTAGGAGAGATTGGGGGCAGGGGTAGTTTGGATGCGGCCCTTGTCTATATGGTGTTTCCCAGAACGGGTGAGCTGGGATTTAGGGGGGGGAGGGTGGTGGGAACTCGAGCACATCCCAATTGGGATCACGTCGCAGAGCAGCTGGATTTCTTTCATGGTGCAGCGGGGAAATAATTAAAAGTACTCTCCATTGAAAATGTCCAGTGAATTGGCATTAAGCCCCTGAAGGAGACATATATTTACTTATAAATAGTGTGTGTGTGTTTCAAAGGAGATATAATCAAGCTGAGTTTTAGTAATAATTACAGAACAATGTCAACTGGCTTTGTTATCCAAGGTTTATCTCTTTTGGTGAGTATTGGCAACAGGTCAGGAACAATGGGAAACCATCTTGAAAATGGCTCCGTCCTTGAGCTAAGTTTATGGTTTACGGCCTGCAGTATTATCACTTTCTGTTGTCTCTGTACACATTGCTGCCCACACACACACACACACACACACTATCTGGCTGATTGTTGCTGCTCCGTGTCAGACGAGGGCTCTTAAACAATGTTCTTCAGTTGGTATCAGAGTCTACTTCGAAATTTTTTTTATTTAAAAGCTAATCTTCTAGTAAAACATGGGTTGTCAGAAATTGGCTGGTGTTAAAACTAGATTGAATGCAAACAAAAAAGGAAGATTGGTAAAATGAATAAACGCCACACAATGAGAGAAAGTTGTTCCATTTAATTCTATGCATAATCTTAAGAAAGACCTAAAATCAAGATTGTCACATTTCCACAGCACACGCACACAAGCACACTCCAAAAGCGCAAACAAAGAAAATGCACATACAGTTACAGATCAAAAGTAAATTGCCTCAATATCTAAGCAATGTCAACTCTGCATAAAGATTGTCCTCTAATCTCTACACCACTAACACTGAAGCAATTGATTACTATAAAATATACCTTTCTTATTAAAAAATTATATTAAATTCTAATGGCACTTACTACAAATTCTATTAAAAAGATTTCCGTTCGATATTTAGAAGCTTTTTTTTTTAACCAAATTAAAACTGAGACAGTCAAATGTTGAACAAGAAGCAAATGCAGTAATAAATATTTCTCATGATAATACACAATTTCACAGTTGTAACCTGCTGAGGACAAAATTCCAGTATTGGTAAAGTCATTTTTTTTAGACTTAAAACATCATACAGCATGAGTTAGGCAAACATAGCTCTCAAACAAGTTTCCATAGAAGTCAACAATCAAAATCTCAGTGTTTCACATTCAACAGTGACAATAATTAAAGGACCCGACTGTTAGTTCCCAGTAGTAATGACTTCTAAAAAGCCAAAAAAAAAAAAAATGCTTGTCCTCAGTTAACACGTCCAAAACAGATTTATTCACATAGACAAAAACGGTCAAATAAAGGTTAAATGTAATCTCTCGCAAAAGCAGCAAAAATAAATGGACTTGTATCTTTTAGTTTGTCTGATTTTTGACATGATAGAAAGACAGGAACAACAGTTGTGAATCAGTGGGCTTCTGTCGCTGTGAAGTGAACGCCGCAGTGAAGGGCAAAAGATGGACAATATAGAAAAAGGGCTTCTCCAGATGCAACACCTATTCGTGTGTCTACAAGGCACAAGTGGTGAACATCCTGGAGGTATAAATAAAGACTGCAAACAATAAAAAGAAATCTTCACATATTGTTAGTTTTTCTACCTTTGTACACACGTACATCAGAGAATCAAGCAATTTAATTTGCACCACATAAGAAATGTTTCTTGAAAAAGACAAAACTACAGTCCTGTGTTCTGATTGAACATTAACACTACAACAGCTATGTATCTGAAACACATTGTCTTGCGAATGCTGAGAAATCACATGTGAATTCATTTTCTGTGTCCTGAAAGAAGTCTTGGTGATTAACATAAAAACATAAAGACACCTTAAGGGTGCGCTATGCTGAAATGGATAGGTCGTCAGCGCCTACGTTTGACCTGTGTCGTCACAATTGCCAGACATTATTTTCAGTCCCTACAATTTTTCTAAATCGAGCACTTAGAAAACAATACTATGATAATTCTGATATTCTCTTGACGGATGTGCAATCAAATCACCGTTGTATCTCCTCAATGTAAGGGAACAATGAAGCATTTATCTACTGCATGCTGGGATAAGGTGGGGAGGGGGGGGGGGGGGCTGTTCTTTGATGCCTCCAAACAATACACCTGTTTACAGTGTCCTTGGTCTCCCTTTGCTAAATACATTTCTCACATTCCAAGGGCTCCATTCAATACGGAAAAGTGCAAAGAGAGACTTGCGTTTGCCTTTTCTGCCCACAGCCAGCGGAGAAATACACAATGATCCCTTGAGAACTACCTGGGATTTGGTGGTGTGGTGGGGGGGGGGGGGGGGACGACGACAATGCCTGTATTGTCTGGTTTCTATAGGTAACTAATGCCGTATCGGTGTGGCCGCGCTTGTGAACAACTGCTTCCTGTGGCAGAACAGCAGTCAGAGCAGTAACTGCTCTGAAATATGGAAAAGTAACCAAACTCCCCTGGGGAAGACGTGACACTTTAAGAGACTGCAGTCTTAATAAGACACCTGACTCTGTGTTGTAACACGGGAAAAAAAACAAAAACAGTTTGATAAATAGAATATATATTTACATTAAATATACATATAGTAAGAAATAGCAGCCTAGACAATAGTGTTGAAACTATATGCATGCTTAAAACAAGTGCTTCTCTATGTTCCATGTGACAAATCTTAAGCTTTCTACACGGTATATTAAAATACAATTACAGTAACTCGATTTGCACGGAGAAAAAAAAATGAACAGACAGCCCCAATACCAGTTAATGAGTACCAAGATCGCTAGGCAAGACGCGGCGTCTTTTCAAGCTTATAGAAAATAAGAAGTACACCTACAGTAAACCCTGAACCAAACTAATAAATAAATTCTGATCAAGTCTTCTCAGGACAGATTAGACAATATATCATGAACTTTTAGTGCTACGCCCCCTAAGAATCCAGAAAGCATCTATGTTAACAGACTTGAAAGATTCTTTTTTTTAAAGGACAGCATCACTAAAGGCTCCAGCTTCATCAGTAGTCACATACACACATACAGTAAGAAGATATGATAATGTGAAAAGGTTAATTCAAAGAAAGAAAGAAGTCAGTAGATTGAGCTGAATGGCACCTGGAGCTCAGCTTTGATGAACAACAAAGCGCTGAATATCCACCTGTCTCCCTTCCTGCCTGCTGAGGGTTTGCCCTTTATGTCATACCAGGAAATAACAAGGTCATTCACTGGAATCTAGTAGCCTTTAACCCAAACAATACTAAATGTATTTGAGCTTGCTTTAGGTTCTTTTATTACATTCCTGTTAATTATTCAGTTAAGGACGCTCGTGGATAAAAAGGCATTCCAGAGTGGACAATAATCTTTGTTACCACCTGGTATGTGGAGTGTAATCCAGATTATTTCAAAAGGCCTTAAAACTCAAGAAGGCATAGTGATACAGCTCATTCTCGTTTAAGTAAGTACATCAGGTGAAGTGTTAAGAATTTCAGTAGGCACCAGTGTTACGAGCATTAGCTTTTAACGTCCTTCCTCTGATTATACAACTTCTTTTTAAGTAGCAAATTAGAAGGCCATCCCATTGATATGAGCTCACTCACATTAGCAACTAAAGACGTGCTGTCTCTCCTCAAGGCAGACAGAATTAGAAATATGGGGATATGATGGTCTGCTTGCCTCTTGTTATAAACAACAGAAAACTGTCTCCAACTTCATTTCAACCAAATCAAAATTCTACTTTCATGAAAAATAGTTATACTTCCAGTAGTTAATCTTCATTAGTTTTGCTGCCTTATGATACTTGTTAAGGACTAAATAAATCCCCATAAAATAAATAATAATAATAATAATAATAATAATAATAATATTAATAATGTAGGAGTTTTAAAAGAAAATCATATATTGCTACTTACGGACGGTTCTGATCTCCCATGTGCACAAATAAAAGTCTCACTCACTCTGACGATTGTATTAACATATGTTAGCATTAGCTATTAGCATTAGCTATCACCCATTTGCCCATAGGCTCGAACATGGGATGCTTTTTCTCTCAGCAAATATACTCCTCAAAAATAAAGTCAACAGATTGACACAAACAAGACAGAAACAAACAAGTGCATCATCTACATTTGTTCACCTTCATTAACACAGATCCAGCTTGGGTTTCACAGCACCCATGTGTACCCTAACAGCCTGCTTCTGACCCTCATGAAGGCCTGTGTCACAGTCCAGCACAGGAAGCACTTTGCTACATCTTTAACTTGAGAAATGCCAAATGGGGTAGAATCCAAAAAGAGAAGTCTCCAAAATAAACTGCCAACATGTGTGTGTACTAATGGGGAAAGTGTTCAGTAGTATTATTCAGTGTATGAAAAGACATTCTGTCTCGTGTCATGGCACTGGTGAGAGGGGTTTTATCCAATGGCGAGAGTCTTGACAAGGCCACAGTGAAACTTCCTGATGTGGCGGTAGAGGTCCCCAGACTGGGTGAAGCGCCGCTCGCACCACTTACAGGCGTGAGGCTTCTCCCGCGTGTGAACCACAGCATGCCGACTCAAGTTATGGGAGTACTGGAAGCTCTTGCCACACTGGCCACAGGTGTACGGCTTCTCGCCAGAGTGTGTGCGCTCGTGGCGCTTCAGGGTGTACATGCAGGAGAAGGTCTTGTTGCACTGCATGCAGGTGGGGACCGAGCCATCGGGGGACAGCTTGGAGCGAGCCACGTCCTTCTCTCGGAAGTGCGAGCTGAGGTGCAGCTGCAGCACATGGGGGCTGGGGAAGACTTTGCTGCAGAGGGGGCACACACACACCTGTTGCCCCGGGGGCAGGAGCACCCCGCTGGAGGTGGAGATGTCTGAAGAGGCGAGGTCGTCCTCCTCCTCCTCCTCGCTGTCCCCCAGCAGCCTCCCCCTCCTCTCCTCTACCTCCCGGCCCGGGGCGCCCTCCCTCCCCCTGCAGGCCTCCCCCTCCTCGTCCATCAGGTCCTCCTCCTGGGAGAGCAGGGCGGCTGTGGATCCGTTGTTGCCTGGGAAGAGGGCAGCGAACCCTGTCACCACTGAGCTCCTGGCACTATTCCCAAAGCGCTGGCTCTCAGGGCTCATCGGCTCACTGTCCTCCTGCTCTGACAGCAAGTCGTGTTCGTCTTTAACAAGTGGCTCAGTGCCCTGCTGCTGGCTGTCGAGGGCCAGCTGTCCCGAGACGTAGGAGGGGTGTAAGGGATCTCTGCTAGACAGAGGCTTGAAAGACAAATCCAGCGCACAGTCCATGTCATCTGAAGCCCGGGACCTCTGGGACAGCGATACGGTGGAACTACTGACATCAGCTTTTGTTTTTCCAGCTGTTTGGACGCAGGGCTCGGCCTCTGCTGACAAATAATTGACACCTACAAGGTCCGGGGACCTGCCAGAGTGACCGTTCGCCTTCTGCCTGCTCCGCACAGACCTATCACAATCTGTGACAGCCAGCCTGACTTCGCTGTTGTCCATGTCAAACTCTTGTTTCAGGGGGGCCCTGAGGAGCCCCTGAGACTGTGTCTGGGGCTGTCGCCGGATGAGCTGCTTACTGTGCAGCTGGCTTTCCAAATATTTTGCTCTGTCCACACAGCCGAGCCCCAAGCCCTCAGTCATCTTTTCATCCAGAGAGGAGAGTTCCTTATCTTTAAGCTTGCTTTTACACACTTTCACTATATCATACATGTGGAGGTAACTGGCTGCTGCCAGGACATCCTCCACCGGGAGAGAGCTGAAATCCAACTTCCCCTCATACATAAATTCAAGGAGCAGACTGAAAGCCGGGGCTGTCACAATGTCACTGTTGAGATGCACAACGTCCCTTTTGTCCAGCTGGTCCCTGTAGAAGAGATGGAAGTACATGCTGCAGGAGGCCAGCACGGCTCTGTGCGCTTTGAATCGAGCCTCCCCGACAAGAACAGTGCAGTCACAGAGGAAACCTTGGTGACGCTGCTGACTCAGACACTGCAGCAACTGGCGGCTATGGTCTGGGAACTCCATTCTTCCTTCATAACCTGAGAAAAACAGGAAAAACAGGATACGGGATAAACGAATTGAAGCCATTTAGAGGGCAGAGCGGTGCAGCCGGCAGAGGCAGACACCACGGCTAACCCAGAGGAAATGTTAGGATAACTTAACGCAAATCATTTAAAAGTCTGAGCAAACAAACAATGCACAAGCATGCCCGTGTTTTAATCACACAAGTCCATAAAATCCTTCCCAGTTACAAAACTTTATTCAGATACATTACATTCATCAGCAATAACTTTATCCAACTTGAGACCATAAATCCTACATTCTTTCCAGTGGTGCAGGACACGCTACGCTGCGCTCACCCACCCATATCACGGTGTAAAGGGATCCACTCTCCAAATTATCCCAAGTATTCCGGTTTCTGGTAGTCAGCCTACTTCTTGAGCTTCCAAAATTGGCAAAAAGTGGCGCACCGGCGATCGCACAAGAAATAGCGGAGGTTTACGGAATAAACTCCCGAGAGTGGGAATTATAGCAGTCCATCAGGGGGGCGGGGGGGGGGGGGGAAAGGAGGCAAACGTGAAAAATAAGAGCAGTGCAGAGTGAGTAAACTGGTGCTCTGTTTGCTAATTACACTGCAAGCTGTGGAGTCAGCTGCTCTGACATCACCGCAATGGAAACGCTACCTCCAGCTGTGCTCCCCTTTATGCCATATGTTAACTCTGGGCTATACGCAGTCCAAACTACACACACTCAACTTGTTTCAAAAGAAAAAGAGTGGATTCATAAGTATCACAAGATTGCACGGAATTTCTAACTTTACTTTTTTTAATCGTGTAATTTATCACCAAGGAAAACTGCAGCCGATAACCGCGGAGGGGAATAAAAACGCTTCGGGGCACTTATCAGACACACGCGCACAACTGTGAAATATTAGTTTAAAAGGGTAAATTCAAAACTCTAAACAGGCAGATAAAAAAAAAAACTTCGGTGAATTGGATATTAAAGTTTGATTCACCGTAAAGGAAAATGCATTAGTGTAATTTTGCGCCCGGTATTAACATGTTCATGAGAGATAAAAGTGTAAGACACAGCAGAGCCAAGGGCGCAGTAAACCGAGCTCTATGTCCGTGTTGGGAAACGCATTGCTAGGAGCCTTTTAAACAGCACAGGAACTCTGCGCTGAACGAAGCGGCGAGGGGACACTCTTTTAACTTTCGCTTCCTCCGTTTCAAAGCACAAAAACACTGCACTTACATTTATTTCCGCCCGGTTCGTCGTGTTCTTTCCTAGAAGCCCGGACGTCCTTTCATGATGTGCGGCCAGATGTTCGCTTCTCCTTGTCGTTTCTTGAGCTTCAGTCCGACCCTGGCAAGGCAGGCTGCACTCAGCGCTGCTGTGTGTCAAGCAGGTTGATAATGGCACAAGTCTCGCGATATCGCGCGTCCACAATAAGTTCTGTACTACTCCGAGAATTCACACAGCGGCAGCAAGTAGCAGAGTACACTGGGAACATCAATTGGCTGCCTTATTAAAACACCTGCCCCACGGACGGGGGAGGGGGGCTTTCAGTGGGACAAATCCGGAAGTATGGCAAAGTTGAGGAAAGGACAAATAGAGCAATTGATGACAATACAAAGAGTCTAGACATTGAACAAAAAACATTTTTTTGACTAGACAGACTTGTCACCATACAGCTGGATGTTGAAATGTATTATATGTTGAAAAGTATCATGTTTCCTGTTCTATCCAGATCTGTTTGAAGATAATAGGATTTCAATAGTTCAAATCCAGAATGCAAATTGAATTAGCAAGCTTCCCAGAAACGTGGGATGTGGTTTTGAGTCTGCATTTGATGGAAGAAACACTTTCTGTCACAAATAATTTGTATCTTTGAAAGTATCCAAACTGATACAGAGAATTATAAAATCATGCTTTGTTCATTTGGAGGGTCAGTGGACTATAGGGAACTTTTTAAGGGCTGTTCGCTCTAATCCTGCTTTGGGATGTGGAATTCCCTGGCACCGCACCACCCAGCGCCTTTGTTTCTTTAGACCACACCATGTCCCTGGCTGTGACTTGTTTAGCCTAAATTGTCTGAAGACAGGAATGATGCTGATTTGTGTGGACTACATTAGAAAAAAGTTGTTGTGGACTATCAGGCACTACCAGAAAAAAACATCAGTCTCTAGGGTCTTTAATTGTTAAAGCTAGAGATGGTGGCACAGTGCAGAAACAGGGGCTCGAGGTTGCAGCTGCTCATCTCGTGCCCCCCCCCTCCTGTCCCTCCCTGTGCTCCCCCAACTGCTTCAGTCACCTTTGCCCTGTGTTCCAGCTGCCGTGTGTTTTGAAAGGGCCATTTGCAGCTCCTCTCAGCCTTCTGACACAGAGGGGAATGAGCAATGTGACGGGAGGCGGCAGCCACTGGTCGGAAGGGGCCACCGGCTAGATTCTTATCCACTTACTGCTTTATTCCATTTTTAGTCTGGCTGTTACAGAGGGTGGATATCTTGCACTCTGGTCATGTCTCTAAATAAAAACTCTCTTTATTTTAGTCTGAAAGCTTAATTAGGGTAGCAAAGGAAACAACGATGATGAATAACTGCACATTTTTGACAAAACACCAGCAAAATAAATGGTTATACTGAAGCATCAGATGCCATATACAATTTACCATTGAGCACTCACACACACACACAACACACACACACACACACACACACACACACACACACACACACACACACACACACACACACACACACACACACACACACACACACACACACACACACACACACACACACACACACACACACACACACACACACACACACACACACCATCAATGCAGGAGCAGCGATGTGGATAAGAATAGGAGCAGTGGCCCTGTGTTTCCCTGGCAAACGTAGGCGCCCAGTAGAGGAGGGGTGTGTGTTCACAAGGCAAGACAAAGCAGTGGTTGTGCCTGGGGACCGTGGCCTCAGAGAGAGAGGCTCGGCACGGTGAAGGTTCTCACACACAGAAAAAAAAAAACGATAGAGAAAGAGAGGCAGAGAGGGAGAGAGAATGAGAGTGGGAGAGTGGGGGAGCGGGGAGAGAGAGAGAACACTTCCTGGAGGTTCATTCTTCCTCTCTCCAATCATCAATGGCATTCTCCCCCTGACCCACTCCTCTCTCAGGCAAACAAAAGACCCCGCATTCCAGTGTAGCCTGACCGGCCAACCAGCCAGCCATCCAGCCACAGTCGCACCACATCCCTCTCCCCGCTGGACCAAAGTCTCACCATAGGGGTGCATGAGTGGAGGATGCTTATAAGGCCTCCTTATGCATTGAAAATCACTTTTAAACCCCTAAACATTAAGCTCTCCCATTGCAATCAGCGTTAAGCCAAACATTACACACTGTCTGGCCTGCTCCATCTTTTAAAAAAAACTATTTTTCTTGTACACATTGACACAAAGTTAAGCCTAACATGTATGGTATCTGTACATAGCTCAGGGTCTTTCAAATCATTTAGAATAAAATGTTGTGAGTTTGGAACAATGGTTGGCTGCATCTGGTTGTAAGGAGGGACCAAGTATGAGTGACACATTAAATTATATTTGAAAGTATTTGTTTTACAGATATACTTGTACTTGTATGAACTACTATTGCTCACTCCATTCATCCTTTAGACTAGTTTGGAGTTCAAATAAAACTACACATTTAAAAAAAAAAAAGAGTACATTTTTCTTTTAGTATTTAAAAATATATACTAATCTTCATTTAGGATTTAAAAGGCTACAAGATGGCATATGATGTTCAGTTTGTTATACATTTGGGGTGACCAAATAAAACCAGCTTATATTGAGATGAGGTTATGGTCTTGTTTGGAAAACATAAAGAACAGCCAGCTGTGTGCTTTCTTATACAATGCAACAAACTGCCTACCCTTTAAAGCTTTGAATCCTGTAGTGACTGTAGGCGAAGCTGCACAACAGGTGGATAATACATCCTGGAAAATAATGTGACAGTTGAAGCAACATTGCACTGCAGTTGCCGGGAGATGCCGTATTGGTCGGACCCCCCACCACTTCCTCCCTATTATGGCCCTTCTGCCCTTCTGTGTGTAATTGTTGCTGCTGTATGTTATCTATTCTCCTTCAACAGCCCATTCAGTTCTGTTCTGTCCTGTTTGTTATTCTCTGAACAGATACTGCAGGCAGACAAGAGAAGAGATCAGATGAGTCTATGCAGGAAAGACATTATTAACTCACTTTGACTCTATGATCCTGCTTCTTTAGCTTTGAACCTGAAAAACAACAGAGTTGGCTTCCCCATCACCGGACCAGAGGAGGATGAGGAGGAGAGGAGTCACTGCTGAAATATGGGATACCCTCACTCAGCTCAGTTCTTATGACAGGAACAGCTTGGCGAGGCTGACACATGGTAGCAGGGAGAAACACATTACAGTGTAAGTGACAAAGAGGGGAAACGACAACAGAGGAGGCTGAGAGACAGAGGGCAGAGGCCACTACGTTTGTCATCACAGAGGGAACATTGGCAGCTTTCCTGTTCTTGTGACAGTATATTCATTAGTTATTGCACAACCTTTCAAAAGCATTGTCTTGCATTTTTATATCATACACAGATAAAAGGAGTTGATAAAGAAGATATTGTGGTCGGCTTCAAAGAAAATGAAGCGTCGAAAGGTCACAAATGTACCTGCTTATACAGCAAGGTTATAGGAATATTATTGGAATGATATGGAGAGAGGTTTTCTAAAAATGTAATGTGAAACAAAAATGTATGAAGTCATATGGGTTCTTCATTTGTTACAGAGGATCCCTGACTTCTCTTGAGTCTGACTGACTTAACATGTCTGTACCTGTTGCAAACTGGTTTAACTCCTGCCTCTCCGACAGGCAGTTTTTTTGTGTATGGACATGAGTGTTTATACAATAATAATGTGGTATAATAAGAATTATATTCTGATATAAACTCCCAATTTAATCTTTATGCTTTAGTTTTTTCCTTCTGCAGTTTCATCATTCTTTCTTTTCTTTCCTGACTTTGTGTAACTTTATGTTGCTGCATTTCCTGTTGACACAAATGATGCCCTTTTTATATATTAACCTAGAAGTAGTCCTGACCCTGGAAAAATAGTTGCTAGCAAGCTCACCGTAGTGCCATAATTGTACTCCATCCACCCATGGAGTCTGTGTGAAAGCTCCATAAAAAAACGTGTTCACATCTCAATCAGGATATAAGTGATGTGCTGAGGCGCCAAATAAGAAATAATGGTTGGAAAAGTGCATTCAGTAGGATTTGCCCTCGTCACAGAGTAAGAAAACTAAAGGTTACGTTTGATCTGAACTTTACTTCATGGCTTATGTGCCTTTTATGTGAAATGTCAATGGCCCTTTCCTCCTGACAGCAACTCACAGTTAAAGAATGTCTTTTTTAGCAGGACTGCTGTAATTTGTCCAATCAGGTGTCTCCAAAAATAAGCCATAAATCAACAACCAGTTGCCTGCTGCTTGAGTGCAACAAGTAACAGAAGGACAGAAGCATCACAGCCATGACTACGCCGCTCACAATGGGTACCTGTTCTCAAAGTATTCAGGGCTACAATGTCTGAAATGCTTTTAAGCACCCAAGTCAGATCCTGGGGGAACAGTATCGTGAGTGCCTCCGAACTGCAGGACAAAAACCTTTTGCTCCTGGCCATTACCAAGTAAAGAAGTAACCTATTTTAGCCTAGCGCACAATTTTCATTTGCTGATATATATATTTATTTATCTTTTTGCAATTCCCCATACTGTTTGCATTTTTTTGAATGAAGAGTAATTAATTTAATCACTGCATGTTTAAGTAAAACTTGAGCCATTTTTTTTAAGGCTGCTTGGAATATCTTTACATTGCAAGTTTTACATGATTGAATTACATTTTACATGATTAAATAAGTTGGACAACACTAAACAAATTAAATATAACATTAAGGGGTTTTGAACAATATAGCCTTCATCCTGAAGCCAAAATAAGCTCCTTGAAAGCTCCTTTTTTTATGTTTGTAAAGTCTATATTTTTGGGTTTTATAATAATGAATATTATAAAAAGACTTTGCCATCTTGGGCCTTGGGAAATTGAAGATTTTTTCAATTACAAATATTCTGGAATGTTACATATTAATTTAAGGAAGTAATCAGATAGCAGATTTGAAATTAATTTAAACAACCTTTTATCTTTCTGTAAAAAATCTACTAACAAAATTAGATTATTATAATTAGAAGATTGTTTCAGGAAGTAACAGACATCCTTCATTGTACTGAGGATCCTCTGGAAACATGGCCAGGGGCTTCTGTAGATCCCCGGACCCTATTTTGGAAACCACTGGCCCAGATAAAACAACGGAGAGTTCAGCAGGGCCATGCAGCCCCTAATAATCCCCCTACAGAAACACTGCAGGGTTTTTTCAATGGGACGGCTGACAGCCCACCACTCCTCCTGTGAGTGGGACCCATAAAGCGGTAGGCTCTAGGACCCGGGAGACGGGCTGCCACAGAGGCATTGCAGACAGCGCGTTTGGGAGGTGTAGTGGAAGAAAGGCAAAGAAACGGAGTAAATGAGAGCACTTTTGTCCAGATTGTTGAAGGACTTATCAACTTAATACACCGCCGAAACAGCTCACTATAATGAGACGGACACATTGTTGAATTCCTGTCCAGGTAAATGTCCGCGTTTCCTTCGCATGGTTAACTACAAGAGGTCGACAGCTAGACAGGGTAGGTCCCCATTGTACTTACATGGGATGCGGTTATTCTCACCCAAGCTGCCCTGCTAGGCCCCATATCCTTTCTATCGCTAAATGCAAACCTGAAATGAGGTACTTTCCTGACTTCGCCGTACAAGTTATGTAGCTGTAAAGTCAAGGTCTTATACACGTCCTGTTGTAAATAATGCGTTGTTATTTTTCTACAAACAACCGCGAGTCTATGTGCAGAGTTAACCATTCATTTTTTGACAATGACCACTTCTGAGACACAGCCCTCAGGCCAAAATATCTACTGTCATGTTACTTTAAACGCTTCACCTCTGCTAGAAAGTTGTTTTCGCTTGTACTTTATGGCCCAGGAGGCAAATGAAAACAAATGAGCTCAACAAGAGAGCTGCTCATTCATTGTTATGAACTACCACCGCGTTTGTTTACGTGTTTGAGTGGGGAATTTATGGCCAGGCAGTAATTCCAGTGAGTCGTTAGCTTTGCTAGCTTGTTGCTGTTTCTGTTGTAACATTGTTGCATTCACGTTCAGTGATTCAAAGTTGTACATATTTGTTGTGACTAGATGCCACCTTGTAGTGGTTCTCAAAATGGAGCCCAAGGACCTTTTTAGTTCCACAGTTTTTACAGCAGGGAAGTCATAAAGTAAAGGTATAATAGAGGTATATTTCTACTTCCCTCCCTTGTAATCAGTACAATTGCTAACTGCATGTGGGTAGCTGTTTTGGTGATAGGTTATACTGTTCTCACTGTTATCATCCCACCTACATTGATGAGAGTAATGCCTTTCTTTACTAAACCATATTTTAAATACAGGATCATTCTTCAATATTTTTTTTTTCTCAAATGTATGTGAAGCCTACTGATGTTATTGGAGTCATAATGAAAATGTTTCATCTGAGTGTCAGAAGTAAGTGACATGCAACCTGTAACACTTTAATGTCCAACTTGAACTTCCTTCACTGATGTTACTGTCTGTTTGGCTCCCAGAGGATACTCATACATGTACAGTCTGGAAACAGAACATTGTCCCCGGGCATGTTGTACCCAAAATGCCTTTAGTGTCAAAATGTTTTTACCAGTCATGAGACCATGTCTGTCCAGTGTGAGTACGCAGGGGGACTTGGCATGTGACCGGTGAAGACGCAACAAGCTGGCGTAATGATGCATCCAGTGACTCCTTGGCTCTCCCTGTTCTATTTAGAAAATACCAGTCACCTCCCACCCAATCCCCTCACAGCCCTTTTGACGCAAATGTGCCACCAGTTGCATGCAGAATCTGAGGAATGTTGTTTGAAATGTTTCCCCTGTACACAGGCAAACTTATTGTGCTCGTCCCCCTGCCTTTACCACAGGAGTCTAAATGTAATGTCACTGAGAAGGATATGCTTCTAATGATGGTAGCCCACCATCAGCATCACATGACGGTACTCTGTGTCAGAACACTGCAGCCTAACATACTTTTAGCTTTATTCATCTTGTTAATAATAGTTACTCACATTAAAAAACCAGGAGATTTGATTTGAGACAAACCAAAGACACCTGGACTTATCCTGAGTGTTATGTTACGCTTGGTATATATTTGAATAAATCTAGCTTTGTGATCTATCATGAATTCATTTCAAAGCTTGTCTGAACAGCACAAAGAACAATTCATTTTCAGCATGATTCGTACTGTAAGGGGGTTCCTTCTCACGTCATCACAGGATTAAAACAGTGGGTCTATTCAGCTTTCAAGATTACAGTAGCTGTGGTTTTGTAGTCAGCTATACCTACCCACAATATTCTTATCACTAGTGATATGTTTTAAGGGAACTTGATAGAGGAACTGTGCACTGTGTAGTAGTTCACAGTAGTACCGGTCCTATTGTGACATTTGAACACAAACGAAGTGTAGCTTCAGGGACTGTTTTCCAGCAGCAGGTGAGCATATTCTCATATTGTTGTTTCAATATGTTATCTTTGTAAATCAGACCCTTGTATACCCAAGCGGTGGTATAAAAAGGAGCAAAAACAGACTTGTATCTATCGATCTGTGATGAAGGAAGTAGTGTGGTGATGTCGGCCTGATTTTCTGCTTCCTGCCATAAACACATGGGACTGTCCTCTGTGGCTCAGTGACAGGCTCAGTGTGTGGCATCTCTGCAGCAGGAGACTGATTTGCATTGAATGGGATGGCCCCTGGTGCCAGAGCCAGAAAGATGAATGATTGAAAGCTGCCCTGACAGCAGCGTAGGCAGGCAGGCTGTGGCCCAGAGGCCTGAGGACCATGTGACCCGCTGTCAGGGTACTGGGTTCATTCAGTGGCTGCTGGCTGCAGCGCTGGCAGCAGCCCAGCTTTTCCACATAGGCCGCAGTAGCAACAGGTCCGCTCCCATTAAAACAGCAGCGCTCTGTTGTGGCTCCAGAGCCGGTCTTGTGCATGTGTTGCTTTTTTGGCTGCGGTGTGTGCGTTCAAGTTTGTTTGTGTGATGTATCCAAATGTGTATATAATGTGTGCGTGCCTGTGTCACAGAGTACACACTAAGATGCTGGAGAGATCCAACGGTTTGTGTGATCCCTCGTTTGAATAGCACTCACTGTGCTTTTTCCTCTCCAAGATCCTCCCAGCATCCACTGTGTGACACAAACACCGAAACCCCAAGTGCAATAAACAAAAACACTGAGCAAAAATAAACTGTGCTTCCACAAACTCACTTCTGCTCATTGATGGAAGCGGGCAGAATGGCAGTAAAAGGCGTGTTGATCGCACATTCACTGACAGATGTGTTCAAGCCTGGGGCTCTACTGATATGACTCGTAGTCTGTCAATAGTCACATCCACTTCCTGTTGATGTCCCCACTAGTGAGCTGGATGAGGCCACTCAAACAGAGCTCTCTTTTGATGGCCTTACCGACGGAGCAGCAGCAGCAGCAAATTGATTTCAGTTGATGGTCAGAGATTGCCTGGTGCGGTATGTGACATTTGTGTGAACAAGCATGGCAATTGATCATTCTTTGGCTTCTTCCCTGCGTTCAAAGCTATCTTTATATAATAATAATAAAAAGCACTGAATGAATCAAAAGGTCAAGTGTTTTGGTTGTGATAGCCTCCAGGTTTTTTCAGTATGTGCTGATTATGAATAACCGATAAGGCTGTGATGGAATTCAGCTGTATTTGGTTTATCTGTCAGTGACGTCTTATCCTGTCTTATCATACATGGTAAGATTATTGTTGTGGCTTGATCTTTTAGCTACATTCAGTTTTTAGGCTGCACTTTACTCGTACATCTTTCTGAGACCCTTTTCACACATTTAACTGTAAAAGTGTCTGCATTTTTGTACTCATGTCAGATGTCTGTGTGAATAGTTGCCCCGCGTTGTAAACATCAGCCTGGCAGTTTATCCTATCTGGACTAATTTACATTTCTGTACTGCTTCAACCACAGGTCAGGTGCAAACAAACTAAACAACACTCATAGATTTATTGAACCTTTATCTCACAACATGGCTATTTTATTGATTCAATAGCCACTGAATCTTTTGATCTCAGTTGTGTTGACTTCACAAAAAAGTGTAAAAAAAACAGCTTACAGTAAACAAAACCATCTCATTTCAAAGTAAAATTAGTAGCTGTGGTGGAGTTGTGGATCATATGTTTTGCATCCTTCAGCATGTGATATGACATTTGAATCTTAAGTGTGTTGTTGGGCTTTAAACAAACACATCAGGTTGGATAATGTCACACTGATTAAGCAATTTTCTGATTTAGTACTCTACTGCAAGACATAAAATCTATAATTGATTTAACATTTATTTCACAGTATCTATATCTAGATTACTTCAGTTACAAAATAATTTAAATGAGTACATAACAAGTAATGGGAGATGTGAAAAAAATGTATTTTATTTTTTAATATTTATTGACTGTCGTTGAGTACTTTAATTTCTCTGGTTGTTTCTGTTTTATTTGGTGATAACTATTCAAAGTGAACAAAAATGTTTATTAAAGAAATGTTCATAAGGCCCCTTCCATATTCATGCTGACTTTTTTTGTGGTAGGCAACGGAGCACAGGGACTGCACTGTTGTATGTTTTTTAGCCAAAATGCTAATCTGCAAGTGGGATAATAATCCCTGCTATCCCCCTCGGAAATTCACATCCTACAGTATGCTCGGCAAAAACTAAATCATAATACTCCTCAAACTGTTTAACAAGAGAGCCTTTAGATCTTTTGGACAATCATTTTGGTATACCATGGGCTAAACCATCAAGGTCAACTGTTTACGCAACTTCAAAATAAGTTTGAAAACCCTTCATTCAGTCAGCCTGGGTTCAGAATTGTTTCATGCTATTATTTTCTGACTCACTGTTGAAAAAAAAAAAAAGGGAATATTTGTGTGAGAACAGCATGGAATTTTCCAGTAGGGGGGAGACTTCATTGTGAATGCCAAAAACCATACACAGATATTTGAACCTTGCAATGTTGCAGGTTCCACGTGAGAAAGGGACTGTGCTGTGCTTTTAGCATATCTTCCCTAACTGGGTCATAAAACACAAGGATCCTCTCAAACTCATTGCCTCTCTTCTACTATGTTGACCTGAGGGTTAATATTCAGACGACAGAAAAAAACGTTCACCTCGAAATGCGGCTCGTTTTTACTCTTTTTTTTTTTTGACTAATAGGTAACCACCATTGAGAAGGCGGCTGTAAACCCCAGGACCTCGTCTCCAGGCTCCAGCAAAGAGCCCTGTGAAGAAAACTTGGGAAACAAAGCTGTGTCTCTCCCTGTGGGAAACCTGGATCCTCCACCCTGCCCACCAACATGACCAATGTGGTGATTGTCAAGGAGGGATGGCTGCATAAAAGAGGTAAATGCACAGATACATCTATTCTTTGACTTTCATTTAATATCACTTTGTATGGCACCTCAAATGTGTTTGTTACCAGAATTAAATAAGAACATTTACCTAATTATCTATGGGCTATGGTTTCTTTTCAGTTCAAAAAGATATTGTATAGTCACCATCACCTCATGTACAAAACCAACTGTGCAACCTTGCAGCTTAACCAAGCCGGCAAAGAACACAAACTATGCAAAGACCATCAAATATGTTAGTTATGCACATTAAAAAAAATCCCTTGTTGATACATGTTAATGCATTAAAACGGCTTTCATGGAATACATGCACATGGCAGTTTCCCTGTACTCATAAACGTCTTACGCAGCGTCCACACGGCGGCGTGCGTTGAAGCTTGACCAACAACCAATCACATGAATCTCCCGCCCCGGACATACAAGCACGCGGTTTGATTGGCTAGAGCTTATACTGGCATATGATTTGATTGGCTGACGCTTCCGTCGAAGCTTCAAAAGTTGAACATTGCTCAACTTTTGAAGCGAAGCGACGCTCCCACAATGCAGTTCGGCAAAGTGTGACGTCACCCCATTCAAAGTGAATGGGCAGAAGCGTTGAAGCTTCAACGCACGCCGCCGTGTGGACGGGCCGTCAGTGTGTTGGGGCATAAATGGTGTAGTTTTTGAACAATTAGATTTTTTCCCTAATGGTTAAAATATCACAAATCACATTACCTTCATTCTAGATTTGCAAGAGTTTAATGTAGTACACTATTCGCAGATGCATTATCTGAGTTCTTCAGTGCTGAACCAATGACATTGGTGCAAGGTGATTGATCACTGGGTGACTTTATTTAAACAGGCTGTAATCCAGATCTACTGTACAGAGCCTTCCAGTGGCTGAGGCCCCAGCGGGCCCCCTTTACTCTGACAGTGCTGTGTGGTGTGGCACGGCTCTGTGTCGGTCGTGAGTCCTGTTGTTTGGACGAAGAGGCATTCCTCGCATACCTGCTGGCTTTGAGCAGCTTTATGTGTGCATACTCTCTCTGCCTTCAAACTGCAGCCGCCTCACAGAGCCTGCTCCACCACCACCAGGGGCAAAATAGGATAAGGAACTTCTCCAAAACCACTGAAGGCTCCTGGGCCCAGTGCCAAAGAACCAGGCTTTTACTGGAAAAGGGGAAACCAAGACTCTGACTCAGGGGATAGGGTGATGGTGGCAGGTCACTCGGAGAGTTCCTGGGACTCTTGGGTGGGGGGGAACAGTGTGCTGCTGTGGTGATTTAGCCCACACTCCCCCTCCTCAAGGCTTGGGCTAAGAGCAGAACAGGCTGCTGTTTTAGGAAAGGGTCAGCCTGGTTCGGCTCAGTTGGTCTCAGTCAGACACACCCTGGTGCGTCCAGAGAGGGAAATGTTAGGCGCTTTTAGTGTTTCTCTTAGAATATCAATGTTTACAAAAAATAGTTCTTCAAGTTAGATTTTTTAAATCCAAACCACAATCTATTGTAGCTCATATTTGGTGTCTCGATGCTTTAGGTGCAGGTTGTGTTTTTGAGTCTATCTGTAGGAATAAACAACAACAAGAAAGTTCCTTCTTTGGAAGGGAACATGTACATTTACTTTAGCTAGGCATGACCGATAAAGGTGTCGTGTCATTCATTTTGTACATTTGTATACTCTTTCCGGGTTTTAGTTCCTTTTTCTTCATATTATTATTTGTGCAACAGAAAACTGGCACAGGTAAATCTTTCCAAACATTCATCAGTGCTGATAAGAATGGGAGATGTGAAATGAGGAGCTACACACACACACACACACACACACACACACACACACACACACACACACACACACACACACACACACACACACACACAGTTGTAGCCGTGACACCCTTCAGGTAGTTACACACACATGAACACACTAAACAAACAACCCTTCAGGAATAGTGAGCTGGCATGCTGTCGCAGCCCAGCAGCTGTGTCCTGTGAAATGTCACCCAGAGCCTCTGTGTTTTGATTGGAGGGCGTCCACCTGCCTCCTTGACAGGAAGGCTTTTAGTGTCGCGTCACTGTCACGTAGTCTTTGCCCCAGAGCCACGGCACAGAAGGTGAACCTGCAGTAGCCCCCTGTCTCTCTGTCCATCACCTCAACCCCCACCTAGCCGCTATCATCCCAGTTTGCACCTTGAGTGGAGCTTTTTTGTGCGGTGGCGCCACCCAAGTGACTCACAACTCCATGTGGGCGTAATAATAAACGGCTTATACCGCTTCCAAGTGTGTTCAGCATGCTCATTACTCCCATGTGTGCACTCAAAACATCAATTTAATGTTTTACAAAAGATAGCCCTCCATATTTGCCGCAGCATTTTGTGTGTGTTCCATAGACACGCTCAAACCACATTGGTGTAAGAGGAGATACAGTTAACGTGTTTTCTTACAGTAACTCCTATTAAATGAAGCTACATGATCAATGGATTTCATACTGGGCCAGTCACATGCACAGAGCACGTCAGCTGAACATGTCACTCAGTCTCGCTCTTTGGGTCCTGTCTGATTAGTCGTGGTCAGCGTGTGTGTGTGTTAACCGTGTGGAGGCTCCTGATTGGGAGTAGAGCGAGCATTGTGCCATAGTGTTAACCCCCCCGGTAGAGCTAATCTCTCATGAGAGCTGCAGAATCTCAGCCTTGGAGTGCTCTGTGCTCACTCGGTGAAATGATCTCATTCTGAAGGACACACCTTCATACTTTCTCCTTAAGCCTTGTGGACGCTGTGCAGGATGTGTTGTTGTGACTGTCCTGGTTGTCTGTTTTAGAAGGACACTTTTGGAATGCAAGACAAAGCAGCTGTAGGATGGGAGGAGTGTGTACTTATGCCTGGACATGCATATGCAAATGAGTATGAATATATGGACAGTGTGAAGCATATTTATTCAGAAGGTATACTGCAAGCAGGACGTTACCCCGGTGCCCTTATGCTCCGACCGCATCCCAAGTACAGGCTTTCGAAAACACTGTAACTTTGTTGTTACTATCATAACCAGTTGTTATGCGTCCCCAAATGGTATTTCTCTTGTAGGTTCTTCACAGAGTGCACCCACACACTTTGAATGTGCCTACGGCCTCTAGCGGCCACAGAGACCAAGCAGCATGTTATTTCTTTTTGCAAGTGTGTTTTTCCAAAGTTTCCATCAAAGCAGAGCATCATCAGACATCAAAGAGGCAGATTGTGGGTTCCCTAGTTTCCAGGGAAGTGCTGCGGCCAAGAACCCAGTGAAGCTCAACAGAACAGCGCTCGCTTGTCCTCTTCTCTTCCCTGGCCCTTGTTTGTTTGACTCATTTGCTCTCTGACAAGTATAAAGAGCCGGCCCCTTCGTTAGGCTAACGAAGGCCACAACAACTGTTGGATTTGGGTAGCACGCTCAGCTGGCTCCGGCTCAGGGGAGGGAGGGGAGGCAGAGGGCACACCAGTAGAGATAACGGGGGAAACATAAAGGGAGAGAGAGGGAGACAGAAGTTGAGCAGCATCTTTGTGATGTTCCCAGAGCATTGCTCAGTGACCCGAGCGGCCTCAGGAGAGCGATGGATGTTGTGTGTGTGACATGCCACAGAGACCCTCTCGCCGTTCAGTTCGGAGCTCATCAGCTGATTGGCTCCTATGCTGGTCATGCGGCTGAAGGACACCCATGAGCTGCTCCTCCAAGCGAGACCTTGTTGGTGGTCCAGCAAAGTGCATGAGACTCAGAGTGGGACTGAGAGAGAGGGGGGGGGGGGTGGAAAGCATGCATGACTTTTGTGAAACACCAGACACAGTAGTCTGTGTAGATGAAAACAGTTTTTCATCTTTGATATCTGTGCGTTGTGCATCTGGAGAACAGGCATGGGACATTTCAGCCAGCGCTTTCCACATTTGTTTGAGTTTCCTCTCTGTGTTAGTGATGTCAGTAAGGGAATGTGGTGTTTCCTGCACAGTGAAATGCTCTTCAAAGGAGCAGCCCCACCTGATTAAGAACGTCTCATGATGCTGCAATGCTGACGGACTCAGGACTTTGACCGGCTGCCAGCTCTGCTGCTGGGCTCGCCCTGGCTCCTACACATCCCCTCATTATGGCTGTCATGGGCCACACACTGCTGCATCACACACACACACTAACACCCACATTACGTACTGCAGAACTCAAGCTTATCCAATTTGCAAATATTTTCACCTATTTTGTGGGGCTTTTAAACACAGCAAACACGTTTCAAGTCCTCTCTAAGTGGTCCAAAAAGGTTTGTCATATTGCAGCTTTTTGATAATGTCATGGCATCAATGCTACTTTTATCAAATACACAATGATGCGGTGCTTTACTACTCAATTTGAGCAATGCGATTGCATTATAGTTAAAAAGGTTTTACTCATTATTAAACTTTTGTATATCTCCATTTGTTGTAAGTACAAATAGAGAAATGCTTCTGTCTTCTGAACACTGTCACTGATAGACAACCACTAAACATTAGATAACTGATTAAGTGTCTACAGAAAGCTTCTACCTACTTAAGAAACTCCATTTAGCCGACGTTTCATCAGAGTACGCGTTTATTTATTATTCTCATTTTAACACTTCAAAAGTTTTTATTATAAGATATACAAAACTGAAAAAGAACATTTTTAATTCTCTCTTTGCATCTAGATATATAGTGAACACTGACCAATATTTAACATCTGAACATCATTTAAAAGAGTTCAGATAAAGGCATGATAGTAAAGATTTAACAGTCTTTTTCTTTAAAATGCTTGGTTATTCCCTAATGTTTTTTGTATCATTGCACTTGCCTCTTAAAATAAATATTAAATAAACACTCAAGAAAGGGCAATGTGTGTAGGGATTGTTTTTCAGGGGGAAAACTGAGTAAACTGAGGGGTGTAATTATGTGACGACATGTCATTTAATGGTTTTACTTATTTAGAAATCATAACTTTAAAAAAATAAACTTAACAACAGATATCTCCAACTTTAAACTTTAAATACTC